CTGCCTCGACTGCGGCAAGTTGGGAGAGATTGTCCAAGGAATGTCCGAGGTCAACAAGAAATTCGAAGTAAGCCAAACAAGCTTTGACATAGCGTAAAGCGGTTGTGTCTGCGTTGAGCTGCAAGAGCTTCAATGTCAAAGCAGGACCATTAGGTGATCCCTGAAGCTGCTGCAGCACCGAACTGTAAGGGCCAATGATATCTACCAAAGAACGCCAGAGCAATAATATGGCATCCCAGGCCTTAGAGTGCAGGGTGCTCTGAAGAACAACACCCCCCAAATTGGAGGCAATCGTAGCGGCCTCAGGGCAGAGTGCGGGGGTGTGATTACTAGACTTTAATGTTGCAGGTCCCTTTGGGGAAGGGCGGACAAAAGAAGAAAGCCGAGAAGATTCAGCTTCTGAGGCAGACCTTACCCCTTCCTGAAGTGGGGCAAAAACCTGCAGGCCGCGAGCTTCCGAAGGGTAGACTGAGTATGCGCGGGCAGATTGATAGCTCGGTGGAGGCAAAGGCGCCTCTGACGGCAAGCGAGCCCGATGTATATTAAGCCTAGTGGGGGCTGGCAAAGGCGTTGCGCTAGGGACCGAAGCAACCGAGGGCCTAGTCCTAGGACAGAGAGTCCGATTAGGTGCCGGCAAAGGATGCGACTTTGATGCCGGGCGTTCCAGGGTCGTCCAAGGATGCACAGAAGCAACGACCGACCAAGAACCTGAGGCAGCTGAAGATTTGGGCGTTGCAGACATGTCAAAAGATTGCGAGCACACAGGTAATGGAGGTGAAGGGAAGTGTTCGCTTGGCACCCTCTCCTCAAAGGCTTGGTCAAAATTTGAAACAGCATCGATCAAATCGCTAGCCGCGGCACGCCCTGGACCCAAAGGGTTGTTCCTATAACGCTTGACCCTGACTGGCGAGAAAGCTGAAGTGTCTTGCTCTGCATGTTGACCAGAGTGTGCTTCAATGGGGTCAACTGCCACGATTGCAGCATGCGGTACCGGGTCAGTGGACATCTCAAAGACCAAAGAAAATTAAGGATGACTTCGGGGAGTGGTGCGGAGTGCCCAAAGTTGATCTGCACGATCAACTGGAACAGAATGCAGCCCGTAAAGAGCTCGGGAACCCAGGTGGATGTCAAAGCAAGATTGCTGAGTATGGACCCGTGAAGCTTTATCTGAAAAATCCCAAACTGAAGTCCAAAGTAATTTACGCAAGGCCAAGTTCTCGAGATCACTGATGTGATACCCGACAGGAAGCCAGCCGAAGCCGGACGACATCCGCGTTCCCACAGGAACGCTTGCACGCCGCCTAATGCGGAACGGAATTACCTAAAAGTGCATTGTAAAGCTAAGTTGCGTCAAATGTCTTGCTCTATGAAAGCAATGTATTGTTCGTAAGTTGTTCAAAAGTAAAGCTAGCCAGCAATGCACTGAAAGTTGCACGATTTGGTGTGTGGCTTGAACCAAAGGCAACAAAGTACGGTGATCTTTCACAAACAGCAAACAGCTATGAGTAAACACATGACCCGCGATGCGCCAGCAGATTTGCAACACAGTTTCGGCAGTGCAAACACCCTCACCCCACACCCTTAAACCCTAAAAAACGCGACTTGCTTCTTTGCCAGGTGCTCACGAACATCAAAGACTTTGACAGCGACGGCTTCTTGAAGGTTCGCTCCTTTTTAGGTTTAGTTTAGGGTTTTACTTTTAGGGTTTTTTAGTTTAGTTTAATTTAGTTTAGGCTTTTAGGGTTTAGTTTTAGGCTTTTTGGGTTTTAGTTTAGGCTTTTAGGGTTTTAGTTTAGACTTTTTGGGATTTAGTTTAGGCTTTTAGGGGTTTTAGTTTAGGCTTTTAGTGTTTTTAGTTGAGGCTTTTAGGGTTTAGTTAGGGTTTGGGTTGGGCGAACAACCATCTCAGAACAGATGGAGCGGACAAGGGAAAAGCCTGACTGTTTAACAGTCAAAGCATTGCGATGGTCTCAGAAGTGTCGTGGCTTTGGGGTTTAGACCTATAAAAACCCTATACAAATATACCCTAAACCTTAAACCCTACATCCTAAACCCGAAAACCCATAAGTAAAAAAATCATCATAAAAAGTATGCACAAAAATCAACCTAAAATAGTTATACCCCCCAAAATCCAAAAAAAAACATATAAAAACCCTAAAACCTTCGGATGTCGGCACTTCCTATCAAGGAAGACGCAGAAGTCGCACAGCGTCGGATTGCTCACCCGAAACCCTAAACCCTAAACCTTAAAACCCTAACGATGTCGGCACTTCCTATCAGGGAAGACGCAGAAGTTCCAAAGTGCTGGATTGCTCACCCTAACCCCTAAACCCTAGCCCTAAACCTTAAAGACAGATGATAGGAGAGAAGAAAGACATTCTGGATCAAAACACCTTTAACGATACATTAAATGCCAACGCACCGCCCAAGCCCCCCGACGCGAAACCCTGCCACAAAATCACTTAAAGAAAAAACACCTTATATAGTAATGGAGTCTGGGGAGTACGATAAAGTTTTAGGATTTCTGTTTTCAGGTGGAGATGCAAAGCATAAACGTGTGGGAAACCACACCTACAAAAAGATTATCATTGATGGGGTAGAATATGGATATAATAGCGAAAAACCACTTCGCAAAAAACTCAAAACAAAACTCAATCTAGTAGCAAAAACGCCCGAATATAAAAGGTTTAAGGTTCTTCACAACGCCACCAAAGGCGTATAGTGAGGAAAGCCTTAAAGAAATATGCTATTAAACAAAAGGCAAACATAACCGATGAAGTATCAGCATTAAAAAGATATGCTAACAGTTATAGCATCACGAACATTAACCTACAAGCATACAGAGGTTTATCATATCTTAAATACCAAGAACCCAAGTTAAAAGAAAACCTAAACCGTTTGAAGTCAATGAAGATACTGATTGATGTAGATGTTGATTTCGAGCACGTTGAGAGTGGGGATGAAACAACCCACACAATCAGGAGCAATCTTTAACGAAGAAGACCTCAAAAAATCAATAGATAATATGGCATCAGACATAGAACTATTAATTGAAAACAAGCAGTTTGATAAATCGGTGTATAAGATAAAGAAGATACGAAAAATAAAAATCCACTTTGACAAGTATGACCCTACACGAGCAGGTCATTACTTAGAACTACCAAAGGTCATAGCAACCAAAAAAGCGTGTATTAATATTAAAAACGATGACGATTATTGTTTTAAGTATTGTGTTTATTGTCGCTTCTACGAGATATATAAGAAAGACCACCCACAAAGAATGTATCACTACACTAAATTAGCAGAGAACGATACATTTATCAAATGGAACGGTGTCGGATTTCCAGCATCAAACGAGGACATAGACACCTTTGAGACGATTAATGACAACACCATTTCGGTGAATGTTTATACCCTTGATGATAACGATAAAATAAAACCAGATAGGATTACAAAAATCGCTAAACCCTTTTGCCACGTTAATCTTTTAAGGTTAGATTTTGAAAATAAAAGTCATTATGTATTAATAAAAGACTATTCACGAATAATGGGCAGTCAGACCAACAAACATAAAGATAAACTCTTTCATTGCATTCACTGTCAAAAAGGCTTTCAACAAGAAAAACTGCTAAACGCTCACGTCTTAAAAGGATGTATGGCAAACGAGGTTCAAGCAATCGAAATGCCAGAGGAGGCAGAAAAAATGTTTTTCAAGAACCACTACAAGAAATTAAGGTGTCCTTATGTCATTTATGGTGATTTTGAGTGTTTAACTACCAAAACGGATGAGGGAATAAAAGGGACTTATCAAGAGCATAAGCCATCGGGGTATATGCTAAATGTCGTGAATAGCATAACCAACGAAAGCAAACAATACTTATATAGAGGACAGGATTGTATGGGTAAATTTTGTAATGATATGAACAACATAAGAGAAGAGATATTTGAGAAAATGAACTCACCAAAACCGATGATAATCACAAAAGAACAGGAAGAGGAGTAGTAAATTTCACTAAATCACCCGGGGCCATGGTCCAGTTGCTGTTTCTCACAACAAGGCAACAGCTCTGATTTTGAGCCGGGGTTGACAATTAAATCTGGATGGGGTTCCAAAGCTCTGACTTTGCGCCGGGTTGCAAATGAAGACTCGATGAGTCTGAAAAATCTGTTTGGAAATGGTTTTGAAAAATCCAGGCTGATGAACCCAGTTGATTTTGAGTACAAGCTCTGATTTTGAGCCGGGGTTGAAAATTACATCTGGATGGGTCTCCAAAGCTCTGATTTTGAGCCGGGGTTGCAAATGAAGACTCCATGGGTCTGAAAAATCTGTTTGGAAACGGTTTTGAAAAATCCAAGCTGAAGAACCCAGTTTTGGTTTGAGTGAGCCTTGAAAAGAAAAAAAATATCAGCCGGACAAGGCCACAGTGCGGCACAAGGGCCGTGATGAGGCCACAATCTCTGTTTTGAGACGGGCTTTGAATCACCTTCGAGCCGGAAGAGTCCAAAGAGGATATTCAGGGTTCCACAAGCTCTGTAGTAGAGTTTTCTGGGGCAAGGCCTAGAACTAACCCTAAACCCTAAACCCTAAACCCTAAACCCTAGAACCCGTGCAACCTCAGAACCCTAAAGCCGTGCTAGTGTGTAGACTCACGACCGAAACTCAACCTGTACCAGCAGCCCCCCCCCCACCCCCCCTGCATTCTCATGTCTATCGAGGTTTCCAATAATATGCAACATAGGAAGAAAAAAAGAACCATGCGCACTACACAGACAAGCCTTCAGACAAGCACGAGTGAACTCAGTGAACCAGCGTTTCTTTTTTCGGGCAGCTGAGCGAAATCACTTCACAGCTTGCGCAAAAGGCTTTCTGGGTTCTCTCCCCCTCTCCCTGTCCTACTGTTTCACACGATGGACCCACATGCCACTGCTGCACAGTAAGCACTGCCATCGTGATCCAACCCGCGGTGCTTCAAGCATCACGCCCGGAAGAACTGGGTCGACTATGTCGACGGTGCAGCCTTGAGGATCTCCAGGATCTGCTGCATGCGTTCTACATTGTGCTTCATGTTAGAGGCAACCTGGATGGCCTCCTCGTACTTTGCAATGTGGCTTTTTTCAAATGTGAAGAAACCTTTGCGAAACCCGTAAATGAGCGGGTTGTTTGCGGAAATCTCAACCACCAGCCAACCTGTGGGAACAAACAACGCCGTTTGTGGCTTGAGGGTGCACTGCATCCATTTCACTTTGCCTGCCAAACCCTCAACTCCAGCTCTATCGAGCCCATGGAACCTGTCAAGGATGCTTTGCACTGACAGCTCCTCAGTGGCTTTGTCCGCCCTGAGGTCCAGGGCCTTTGACAAGCTGTCCCACTCAATCATGATGTGGCGCATCTCACCAACAACCCAAACCCTGATGCAGGGTGCATGGTTGGGCAAAAAGGCAACGGTCCTGTGGTCAGGGCTGGCACCGAAAAGCCACGCGCAATCCATAAACTGCTTGCCTCCAGAGACAGCTGAGATGTCCGGCTCGTTTCCTGCAGGCCTGAGCTTCTGCATGAACTGGTTCACCAAGCCACGACCGCTCTTTTCCTCCATAGGGAAGGTTGCTTGCGTTTTTTTGGGCTTGGTGGAAGCCATTGTTTTCTTGTACTGAGACCCCCAAGAAGCCAGGGCCTTCTGCATCGCGGTATCGCCAAGCACTGGCACCAATTCGGCAGCACACTTCATGACCCACGGAGAATCCCAGGCCAGGCCCTCTGTACTTAGACCTGTCCGCTCTGGGACAGCATCGCACAGATTGAGCGGCAAGTCACAGGTGAAAATGGCGGAAACGACTGCTTGTTGCTCCAACTTCCTCTTCTTGATCTGATCAGCTGCTTCCTTGGCCTCGTTCCTCACACGCTGCAACTCATCGCGGGCTTTCTGATCCTCCGCCCGCCTCTTTTCACGGGCGCTTTCTGTCACTTTCAACTTCATGTGCTTGGAAAGATCATCCGCCGCTTGCTTGATGCCCTTGTGTACCTGCTGGAGGGACTTTTCTGTAGCCAGCCAGTCTTGCTTGTACTGGAGGAACACAGCTGCATCTTTGCACTCTAGCAACTCCTCCATGGAATCTTGCACGGACTCAAGGGCCCTCAAAGCACTCAGCTCACCCTCCCAGAACTTGCCCTTAGCGGTTCGGGCCTCCTTCAAGAAATTTTCCCAGGACAAACTCGCACGCTCCTGCACAAACTCTGAACTCACCGCATCAGCACCGTTCAGGACACTCACAGCCCCAGCAGAAGAATTGCCTGGGTTGCTTGGGGTGGCTGGCTGGCTTGGGCCCTGGCCAGGCACGGTAGGAACAGGCCCGGATTGACCCACAGAGCTCCCTGCGCTGGAGTCTGGGACAATCCAGCGCAAGTCCTCCGGCCTGCCAAGACAGCGGACGCCAGTCTCATGCCGAAACTGGAGAGTGCGACAGAAGGCCAGCAAAGCACGGTCAGAGGATCGAAGTTCAGCAGGGTGCTTCTTGTAATCATCCATAGCCTTGATAGCCAGGGGCATGGCTTTCTTGAACTCTGAATTAATCTTCTTCAGCGAGGATTCCATGGCACGGTGCAGCTGAGCGGGCTCCCGTGACAGGTTGACGGCGGCCACCTTCTCAGGAGTCAGTGCGTCATCTCCGGCCTTCTCAGCAGCATCCTTCTTCTTGGGGGTCAGCATCACCCCCTGTTGCAAGTCTGCAGCTTGCTCAGCCGTGATGCCAAACCGCACGTCATCGAAGGACAACTTTTGTCTGGTCAGGTGATCCTGGCAAGAGTCAGCACTAAGCAACAAACAGCATGACTGGACGTGACAGAAGAGGTTCAATCAAAGTGCGGTGAAACAGAGCATGACATGACACTTGACACTACTCACCATGTTGCTAGGCCCGGCCTGCAGCATCTTGCGCTCCTCCACACTGGGGGCTTTGAAGTCCCCGCTGCCCTCGATTACCTGGGAGTCCACATAGTGTTCCCGGTCATCGTAGTCGAGCTCATGGCAAGGAACCCAGATTCTTTCAGCTCCCTTGTAACCCAAGTTGTCCCTTTTCAGGCTCTTGTTGCTGACAAAGCCCTTCCATTCTTCTGCCGCCTCCTCCTCGGTCAAACCGAGTTCGTTCTCGGCATGTTTGAAATAAGCCCTTTCAGTGAAAGGCCTCTTGCCCTTCTGCAAGTGCGTGCCTACACGCTGGCCATGCACTCGCTGGAACTTTGCAAAGTCCACCAAGCCTTTCTTTTTAAGTTCCGGCGGATTGTCGAGGGCAAACTCCTCCACCTCCCTGCCAGCATCTGCCTCGTTCGCCATCAGCTTGTCGAAGGCCTCCTTGTCTGCCTGAGAAAGAGCTCGGGTACGTCGCTGGTACATCATGTTGTCGAAGGCCTTCTTGTGATGAAACAAAGAGCAAAACTTCGAGCCTGGGTACTTTGGTGCTGTACAGTTGGGACATATGCAAGTGCTTGCTGGTGCTTTCTTTCCTCTGCCCCGGCCCTTGCTGCCACCAGCAGCACTGGAAGGACGACCTCTGCCGCGGCCGCGGCCTCGGCCGCGACCGCGTCTGCCTGTCGTGGGCTCTTCCTGCTCTTCCTCTTGTTCCGGATCTGCGGTTTGGTCTGACTCACGGGGCAAGCCAAAGCCAAAACCTTCCTCTTCCATGGCCACTGAAGAGCAGTTGCTCTGTGACACAGGCACACAGATTCCTTGATCCTACAGGCCTACACACGCGAACCGCAAGGTGAACGGACGAACGCCCGTCACGGGCCGAAGCATGAGAAAGGCACGCAGCTGGGAAGGGCAGAGGCAGACTGACTGAAGAATGTTTCTTCGCCCAAACTGACACAGATCTCGCAACTTAACAGCAGCTGTCATGCTCAGGACTCACAATGTGGGCTGGAAATGCGGCTGCAGCCTACACTTGCTTACGAACTGTTCCACGCGACAAACCCAAACACAAAACAACGCCTAGGCCAATCACAACACTGCACTCACTGTGAATCCTCAGGAGCAGCGGAGCTGTGCTCCAGAAACGGCATGCCTGACTCAAGGCTCATTGTCGCGTCGAGGGCAAACTCCTCCACTTTTCTGCCGGCATCTGCCTGGTTCGCCATCACCTTGTCGAAGGCCTCCTTGGCTTCCTGAGAAAGAGCTCGGGTACGTCGCTGGTACATCATGTTGTCGAAGGCCTTCTTGTGATGAAACAAAGAGCAAAACTTCGAGCCTGGGTACTTTGGTGCTGTACAGTTGGGACATATGCAAGTGCTTGCTGGTGCTTTCTTTCCTCTGCCCCGGCCCTTGCTGCCACCAGCAGCACTGGAAGGACGACCTCTGCCGCGGCCGCGGCCTCGGCCGGGACCGCGTCTGCCTGTCGTGGGCTCTTCCTGCTCTCCCTCTTGTTCCGGATCTGCGGTTTGGTCTGACTCACGGGGCAAGCCAATGAAGCCAAAACCTTCCTCTTCCATGGCCACTGAAGAGCAGTTGCTCTGCGACACAGGCAAACAGATTCCTTGATCCTGCAGGCCTACACATGCGAACGCAAGGTGAACGGACGAACGGACTAGCGCTCACGGCCGTCACGGGCCTAAACATGAGAAAGGCACGCAGCTGGGAAGGGCAGAGGCAGACTGACTGAAGAATGTTTCTTCGCCCAAACTGACACACATTGCTTCCTTGCCCCGCTATGATGGACTCAGATCTTGAAAGCAGATCTCGCAACCTAACAGCAGCTGTCAGCTGTCATACTCAGGACTCACAATGCGGGCTGGAAATGCAGCGGCAGCTTGCAGCCTACACTTGCACACGACAAACCCCAAACAACATGTGGGGCAATCACAAAAATGCATTTACCAGCGGCCACAGTGAATCCTCATGAGCAGCGGACAGACTTGCACTGTGCCCCAGAAACAGCATCTCAGACTCAAGGCTCAATGTCGTCTACCTTGCTAGGAGGCCCAGGCAATGCGCGGTGTTCACGAGGGCTGAACTCGGCAAGACATCTCTTTAGCTCTGCCTCGTCGACGTCGTAGTCTGCGGCATCGTCTGCCTTGTCGAAGTCTGTCTGCAAGTCCTTTACCGGACTGTGCTTGCCCCATTCCAAGGTGGCCTCGCTGTCGGTGTCGCTGACGTCACTGCTCTCCTGCAAGCCCGCGTCAGAAGGATGACGCACGGTTTTTGCAGGCGGGTGACCTTCCCAATGGTTGGCCAGCTCCATCGCCAAGTGCCACGTGTCTTTCTCTCCGAGGAAGCTGAAGCGACGTTGCTTGCCCAGTTGCCCGTGTCGTGGGATGGCACAGACTTTCTTGGATTCGTCTTGCACCGGCTGGCCCTCCTTCTGCTCCAGCTTGCGCTTGTTGTTTGTCACTGCGGCGCTGGAGGAGACGTGGTGGGCCCGAGCGTCAGCGCTGGAGTCTTGAACTTGCTGGTCCTCCTGAAGTGACTGTGACTGACCCAGGAATTTATTAAACTGTTGGATTACGAATCACGAAGCCCCAACAGTTTTGGCCACACGCAAGAGTCCTCGTGGGAGCAGCGCACTACGGCACCGAGTTGGCTGGCCGACATTGCGAGTCCTAGTAGACAGAATGAGCTAAATGGAAACCAAAAACCTCTCTGCAATGATGAGCTCACGATGATGCACTTGCAGTTGGCGCCTGTTCTTCAACAGCCTGAAATGGCCTGAAAGAGCAACCCGTGTGAATCGCTTTTCAAGCCCACGACGCGAAGAAACTCTTCATGCGGGACAGCAGCTGGGGAACAAGACTTCCAGACTTCCGTATCACGAATCACGACTGCTACACTGCTAATGGCTAACCCATGTCCCATGCGCAATGCACTACATTCTTGGTTCAACCTGGTTCCTTGCCCCCCAATGCTCCGGACTTCGCTTTCTGAAGGCCTAAGACTCTGCAAAAACACTAGCGAATCTACTGAAGAAACACCCTGTCACCGTGACTGTCAGAGTCACTGCGCTGCCCGAAACAGACGCATCCTGCCCCAGCTGCGAGCAGCAGCACAGCAGACAGAGACGCTGCAAGCCTGTAAGCAAATCTCGAAATTCTCGAAAGCTCAGTTGCTCTCACTGGACTCCTCAGAGGCCTCAGTGCCAGCCTCAGCCTCAGCATCCTCATTGTCACTGGCACTGGAGTTGGATAGCCAGGAGACAAGCGGTTCACACCTCTCACGCTGGACAGTGCTGCCGAAAACATATAGGTTCCACGCCAGAACAATGGGCAGCGATTGCGAATTTCCGGACTGGCGTTTTGTAACCCTGTCTGGCTGGCGCAGCACGGTCGAAGCGAGGGGCCAGAAGAAGCGAGAGCTCACGTGGTTCATAGCGTGGAAGCCCAAGCTCAAAAACCGTTCTGCGGGCAGCACGAATCGGCTCCTACTCAGCTCCAAGATGTTTCCATGTGTGAGGAGGCAAGGCATCATGGGTCCAAAGGCTGGGCCTGGCGAGTCAGGCCAATGCTCCAGGTCACAGAAACATGTTCCATCTAGAGCTGCACGCTCTGCAGCGCGCTGCTGGTACGCAGCCAGGCGTTGTTGCTGGCCGGGCACTAACAGCTTGTTGAACAGCTTTTGTCCTTCAGGCATGATGTCGGGGTAATGGCCACGGGACCCCAATTGATCCCTCAGAAAAGCCTGATGCACTGAATCATCCTCCTGCAAGAAGACACTCCCATTGAGATGCGGGCATCGGCCAAACATCCCTTCAAACTCTGCCTGGATCTCCTCATCGGTCTTAGGACCAAGCCAAACCAGGCTGTGAAGGTTCAAGCCGGCGGAAAGAAGTCTGTCTCTGGAGCACGGCCACCCCAGCAGTCTAGGTCCCGCGATCACTTTAATGATGCGGTGTGAGTCTTTCAGGGGTTGCCTCAAATGCGTGTCAACATCGAAGAGCGGAGTGCACTCTTGAAAAAAGAGATCCTCCTCTCCAGCCACAGCAAGATGCTTCCGCATGCACAGCCAAGCGGCCAGCGGGACCTGAGAAGCATGAGAGCCCCTGGCCCTCTTACCCTCAGAGGACCATGCCTGGCAGCAATTGCCTGCGTCAGCAACAACAAGAGCGCGTGGATTCGGAAGACTTGCGCGGGACTTGTGCACGATGCAGTCCTGGCCGTGCACCAGGCAATGGGCCTTGTGCTCCTGACCAAAGCCAAACAAAAGCATGCCATGGCAAAAGCACTCGCAGTCACTTACCTCCTTGACAGACTGGACACAAAGCACACAGAAGTCAACAAGCTGTCCTTGTCAACAACCCACATGTTCTGCATGAGGAACTCCAGAATCTCCTTGTTGATCTTGCACTGTTCCTCCAAGTTCCTTTCCGGCATGTCCGCAATCATCTGAGCACACCAGTTTTGCGCTTCTGGTACCAGTTGGTGCATGATGTCGGCAAACACACAGGATGACCCCTTGTCCAAGATATGAGACGCATGCTTCAACACCTCCTGACAATGCACATCAATGTCGCAGGACTTCGTAAACATATGTGGAATTTCAAGGGCGTGTTCCTCACGCAACACTTGCAACAGCAACCTCTTCACTTCCCTTTCAGCACCAATGCCACTGTAGTCGGAATGCTGAACTATTCCATCTGCCAACAGCCTTTTGCATTGACTAGCAGCATACCCCGTGCTGCACAACTTCTCCACCAACGACACAGGATAATTGAAGAGTTCAGTCAACGATGCTGGCCCGGAAGGCAAGGTGCTGCGAGCAGACAGGTCCGCCAAGGACCCATGCAGAAATCTCCTACGACGACCTGCAGGAGTTAACCTTGCTGGCACGAACTCCCACTCATCGTCCAAAGCACGGTCCATGACTAGGGGATTCCTCCCTCACTGGCAAACAAGCTAAGTGGCTGTAGCGGCTCTAGAGCTTTACTAACTGACACCTTGACTTAGCAGACCGCAGCAAAACAAGGAAGCCAGGGATGGTTGTGAATCCATGCAGAGTCCGGGCCTCGGGACATGGTGACTCTGGGTGTGCTCTCATGCGAGCCCGTGCGCCCTGTGGTCGTTGAGAGTCATTGGAAGCCAACTAAGGCCAAAACTCGCGCACGAAACCCTGCGCGCGCTGTAAGGCGTCTATATTTGCGTTTTTACCCAAATTCAGCGTTTTTAAAGATCTTTAGCCTGGCTCCCCTCAATTTGGAAATCCAGCCCCCGGAGCAGGAAACCCACGAAAGCGCACGAAAGCGCACGAAACCGCACGAAAGCGCACGAAATGCACGAAAGCCGGGCCGCCCCGCACACGTGCAAATTTGGGGCCGTGGCCCCGGCCAAGGCCTGGAAATGGAAAGAAGTCTTGCCTGGACAGGCCTCCCCGAAGCACCCATGGCCACCCGAAACCAGCCCGTACTCCGCCCAGCCCTGCCCCAGCCAGGCCTTTTGCACGGGCCCACAAAGGGCGCACGAAGGCGCACGAAGGCGCACGAAACCAGTTGGCCTCCCAAGCCCTTAGGGCCCGTTATTTTAGCCCCAAAATATTCAAAACCTAAAAAAAACAAACCCCTTCAGAACAACCTGTTTTTGTCCATTTTAAAGCTGTTTCCAGGCAATAACACAAGGAACTGCGCGCCAGAAGCACCTTCGTGAAAATTGAGCGTTGCGCGCGCCAACTGTGCGCGCGGTGTGTCCTAGGCACAAAAGACAATGTACTTTCCAATAAAGGAACCTGGCAGTAATCTCATTGAGACATGATCCACAACAATCGCAAACAGAAGCTGAACTTCCTTTATCGCTTGCCACTGCCTGTACAACTGCCTAGAAACACAAGTGTCACACAAAGCGTCGAAGGCTTGCCTCTTCCGGCAATGTCTTGCTCTTCCAGGCAGGCACTACAACTTCATCAAACATTTTGAGGTGGGCGTCGGCCGTGTCGCAGTCGTGCCCTAGGCTGGCCCAATATTTCAAGCACAGCAGCACCTCCTCTTTGCCACCAAAAGACACAGCCCGTTTTTTGGTGCAGGTGCGCTCGGTGTTGTGACTTGGATGGGAACACTTCATTTGGAAATGCTTGGGGTCCTCTCCGACTTTTCCCACAGGTGTGATCAAGTGATCACCCCACGGTTCAGACCGATCCAACACCCTTGTCCTACGGCCGTCGGCCTTATCCTGTGCCTCCGCGGCTTCAGGCACCTCACTCGCAACGCGGCGTGCGTGTTCACCATGTGCCTGCGCGCAAGTTCAAAATCCTGCATCAGCTCAGTCACCTGTGCCTCTGTTAGGCCTCTCGGCATCATAACCTGCAGGGCACTGCCACTAGCCTCGAACAAGGACTGGAGCAAGTCAAAGAAGCCTCCAGAGGCCAGTTCGGCACACCGCCGGCCCCTGAGTGGACACGGCGGGAGGTCCGAGTGTTCGAAATCCACATCCTGATGGCAAGGGCAGCTGTTCGCAAATTTCACTGCTTGTCGCTGCACAACTGCGACTTGCAGGAGGACCTTGATGGAACCTCAGAAGTACGGGGACGAAATGCCGTCATCTGCGGCTTGCAAATTCACCCCCAAATCACCCTCTGCCCCATCACCAGGTCGAGCAGCAGGCACTGCAGCACCCGCTTCACCTCTATGTCCAAGAAAAGAAGCCAAGTTCCAATGCATTCTCAAGGCACCTTCCAGATCATGGAGTTCCTCGATTGAGGTCGCAACAGTGTTCCATCGCTTTTCGTGAGGAACGACCTGAAAGGACTGAATCGCATCCATGTGCGCCTGGCCTGGCCCGAAGCTGAAACATGTTTCGATGAGCTGCTGCTTAGTCTCGCGACCCGCCAGCAGGGAGCAAATAGCTTTGAGCGCAGTCATCATTGATGAGTAACAAGCTAGAATATCTGCAAGGTTGGCTGTAACATTGTGTATGATGTGCATCATGTCAGGACCCTCAAGCGTATCTGCAAAACTCACCTTGTCGTCCTGGCCTTCACCGTCAGCGTCAGGATGGTCCGGGGCTGCAGCAAGAGCGAAGCACTCCTCAACAGCCGGCATCGGACCCATAAGCATTTCCTCCTCCAGGACAGGCTCGCTGCCCTTGCAATGCAGGTAGGGTAGTATGCTGTCCAGGTCAACCCCTTCTACCCGACACAAAGCCTTCTCCGTTCCATAGTCTGTGTGCATGCTCACGACAGATTGGCAAAGCTCTCGAAGCTCTGCTCTAGAGTTGCAGAGAAGCCCAAGCGTGTGAAGAAAACATCGAAGCTTTGCAGGAAGGTTTGTCCGGGAATGCGCCAGCATGATGATCGGTGCAACATGCCAGGTAATGCGGCCAGACAACCTCCCCAACAACTCCTTCTCCCTTTCTTGCAGCCTGGCTCGGTCAGCAGCGGTCATGGAGGTGAGGCTGTCCAACTCCACCATGTCCTGCATTGGCAAGTGAATGTGTCGCACCGCACACAAGCCGGGAAACATGAACTCTATTAATGATTGCGCTGGAAACTCAATCGCCTTTTGCGCACAGGCCACAGCCACACCACCACGCAAGTTCTCAGTTCTCACTGTACAGGAAACTCAGATACAAAAAGCCAGAGCCAGGTTTCAGGGCCTAATGCGACCTCAGGATTGCAGGCATTCCGGCGCCGGCGCAGTTAAGGTTTATCTCAAACACGTCTGGGCTTAAAGGTTTATTCCCTCCGCTTCCTGCCAAGAAGCATTTGGAACAAGCAGACACGAATCTCCTTCCCTTCCCCCCCCCCCCGCCCTGTGGGACCCCCACCTTGCCCAAAGATCTCCAAAGGTTTTTCTCTGGCACCCCCACCCTGGAACCCCCCCCCACCCCCACAACCACCCTCCTGACACACCTGCAACGCTAACTGGTTACGTAGTAACCCCAATAACCCCAACCGCCCTAACACTAACCCTAACCCCGTAACCCCCCTCTCCTTGTTTAAGGCCCTTTCGGCTGCTGAGGCGGCACGCGCAAGCGTTTACAATTATTATACTATTGTACGATGCGCTTCTTCCATAGCAATGGATGGGGGCGCACGGTCACTGCATTGCCTCACCCTGACTTCAGGAAGTGCGCTATGCTCTCCAGGAAACAGCCTACCCGCGCACACTCACTGCCAGCGTTGCCGCCACCACTGGCACTGCTGCCGGCGTCCTCCCGCCTGCGCGGTGCAAGGCCACGATCCCGACGATCCTCGTCCACCTCGGCGGCAGGGCGCTTCCTGGCCAAAGGTGGCTGCTCATTGGCTCCCATCCTCCACGGGGCAATGGCCTTCACCTTCTCTTTCTTCTCCGCAGGCTTGCGCATCACAGGCTCTGATGGCGAACGCCCACGCAGCTGTGACCGAGAAACCAAATCGATCTTTCGGCGTGGCAGCGGCGAGCGTGTCTCTTTCCTGTTGCCGGCTGCCTTCTTGCCACCGTGCTTGCAGGTGTACTCATGCTGCGCCCAACTCATCGCACAGTCCACCACCCACTTGCCGCACTTCTCACATGGCTTTCGAAGGTCTTTCTCTCCCCGCGCCTTGCGGCACCTTGCGCTGTACTTCTGGGGCTCCCTGATGGCCCAGGCACTATTGTCCTTGATGTACTTGCCACAGATTCGACAGTAGATGCCTGTTCCATCTCCTTCTTCACGGTCCGATACAAGGCTGAAATCTTCATCCGCACCCTGATCCTTCTTGACTTTCTGGGGATTCTCTGGTGGCACACGCGCTGGCTCCCTTTCCTTTGGCTTTGCCTCCGTCGCATCTTCTGGCCTGTGCGGCCTCTCGTCCTCAGAGCCACCGTAGTCCACAGACGAAGCTTTTTCATCTTCCTGCTCTCCGTGCTCCCTCTGTGGCGCCTTCTTCTTCACAGTCTCCGTGTCCTCAGGCTCAGACTCATAAGTGTACTCGTACGACGGTTCGTCATAGGAGGCGGACTCGTCCCGCGCCCTAGCTGCCCTGCCTGCCATGGCACCAACGAGACGGCCTATTGGCCCTAAATACATCCTCACACACAGCACCCTTGAGCACTGCAATGCGCCACACACTGCATCACTGCCATAGGCACAACATGCCAGGACATGCCACACAAGCTGACCGACCTGCTGACCTGCTAACTGCTGCCTACATCTAACATGCAATGTGTCACTGAATGGTTGAACTGCTTCGGTCCTTGTGATTCTCCAGCAGGTGACTCTTCTGAACGACGTTCACCACAGTCACTTGGTACTCCTGCTTGGCCTGCCACGTCGCATCAGTCTGCACGTACAATGAGACTCCTGCCCCACCCTGGTGTTGCAAGTGGGAAGTCAGCCACTTCCTGAAGAGCAGCATCCAAGACACGTCAAGGCGTGCACGACATCTTGACAACGTTGCTGCAGACGGAATCCTTAAGTACGACCCACTCTCGGAGACCCCATCAATGAACTGCAGCGTTTCTTCTTTGGCTCCAGGAGGAAGAAGGATGCCGCACGCGTGCCGCAGAGCTGACTTCAAGTCCCTGTCATTCTGCAAGAACCCACTTATCCAGAAGAATTCCACAAGCCTAACTGCTGCGTACTTGCGAAACTTTTGCAATGAACCCGCTTCATGCACGAACACCCGTTTGTCAAGCGCATGCTTCTGCAAGGCCTGAGCTGCTGACAGGAGGTCTGCCAGGACTGTTTTCTGAGACCCCTCCCCATGCATCGGCTGCAGAATACCTGCGCCCACTGTCTGTAGAATACCAAGAATATTCTCTGTAACAGCTTGCCCAGCATCTGGAACAGCATGCCCCTGGATGTACTTGTATATGTGCATGTGAGCCGGCAAGTCCTGAAACGAATTTTGCAATGACATGAACGTCTGCAACGCAGGCTCTGCATCATCAACAACACGTCGACGGTTCCAGCCTGAAGCTACCAAATCAACTGTTTCCACAGCGTCAGGCACTGCAGCTCTAGTCCATTGCTGATCTGCCAGCAAGTACACAACCGGCTTGGGCAATCTCAACACAAGCTCGGGAATTCTACCACCACTAAAGCGCATCCAACTTGCGAGCTCACGTGGCCCTACTCCAATCACTCGGCAGTTCCACAAGCGCGCCGCCCAAACAGGGTTCAGCTGGAAAAAAAAAGTGTTCTTGCCCGTCTTTGTTTCCTGCAAGGACATTTTAAGCGACAGCATCTGAACCTTCACAATGCGATAATAACGCAACGATGATTCCAGTGTGCTTCCTGCTAGCACGCTCCAGAAATCAAACTGACTTTTCATCTCTGCACACAAAGGCAAGAGAGAGTGCTGCACAGCAAAGGCCTCAACGAGGACCAGGGCGACAACTTCATTCCCAGCAGGCCAAATTGACCGGCAAACAGTGCCCACTTCTAAGCCATTGCTCTGCTCATACTCTGACAAGCATGCATGAATGCCTGGGCTGGCTTCGGCTTCAGCATTCAACAGAGCCACGGATCGATTGCAAACGCCAGGACGGCCTTCCGCATTTTGCGCTTAGCATTGCTGAAAGTAGCCAACCACACCACAATTTGCGCACCATCGCACGCCATCGATCACTTATGAGCGTTTCTAGATCTGAGTCTATGACCAGGAAACTGTCTTACAACCTATTTGCAGAACAAATATGCCCTGCCATTGAAGCTGCCAGAATACTGCTGCTGCAAAACATGAAATCTCCGTTTCACAGACAAAGTTCGAGACATTGGCCGCAAGCTCACCAACAATAGGCGCTGTTCAAGGCAGTGCCCCCAAGCAGTGAGCGATATGTGCTTTTCTTCGTAGGGTTTTCAAGCTGCTGTGTTATTTCTGCAAAAAAAATGGCGAAACAGGCTACTTAGTAAAATCCCGCAGACAAATTCCAAAACATGGCAGGGAAGCGCACCTTAAAAAGTATCTCCAAGGCAATGCCCCCAAACAGTGTGATTCACCGTGTGATGCTTCTTGTTTTTGACCAGGAAACTGTTTTACATCCTTTTTGCAAAGCAAATATGCCCTGGCATTGAAGCTGCCAGAATACTGCTGCTGTAAAACATATTTTCTGAGCTAGTCTGTCCATTTCACAGACAAAGTTCGAGACATTGGCAGGAAGCTCACCAACAATAGACGCTGTTCAAGGCAGTGCCCCCAAGCAGTGAGATATGACTGCTTTTTTTCGTAGGGCAATCAAGCTGCTGTGTTATTTCTGCAAAAAATGGCGAAACAGGCCACTTAGTAAAATCCCACCAGACAAATTCCAAAACATGGCAGGGAAGCGCACCTTAAAAAGTATTTCCAAGGCAATGCCCCAAACAGTGTGATGCTTCTTGTTTTTGACTCGGGGGCCAGAGCGCCTGCGACAGGAGAGCTTTAGCGAAATTAACTAAAGAGGAGTTCCAAAAATGTAAAAAGTGTTTTATATGTGGTGGCAGTTTTAACAACACTAAGGATAAAAAGATGGAACGCGACACGAAGTTCGCGCATCTTGGCCCAAAGGCCAAGGTTCGCGACCATTGCCACTTTACAGGATTCTACAGAGGATGCGCGCACAACAAGTGCAATTTAGACTACTGCTTTAAGCACTTTAAAAATACCCATCTTCTTCCACAACCTTAAAAACTATGATGCTCACCTAATAGTATCTCACTTTGACAAGTTAAACACCGAAAAGGATGAGGTGAATGTCATAGCACAGAACAGCGAGAAGTTCATATCCTTTGAACTGAAACAGATGGTTTTTAAGGATAGTTTTAGTTTCTTATCTTCTTCATTAGACAAACTCGTTAAATTAACCAAATATGAAGAGAATGTTAAACGTCAAGACTGGTATGAACACTTCACACATAGCAACCAGTCAGAGTATGTAAAAGATAATAAATGTTTAGACTTACTGACAGACAAGGGTATTTATCCCTATGATTATATGGATGACTTCAAGCGGTTTAACGAAACCGAACTGCCGAGTAAGGAGCATTTTTATAGTAATCTATCGGAACAAGACATTACTGTCGAAGACTACGAAAGAGCACAACACATATGGAAACACTTTAACATAAAGAACCTTGGTGAGTATCACGACCTGTATTTAAAAACTGATGTTTTATTACTAACGGATGTCTTTGAAAATTTCAGAACACAGTGCCTAAAAGACTATGAGTTAGACCCTGCCCACTACTACACACTACCTAATTTTAGTTGGGACGCTATGCTTTTAAAAACCGGCATCTCATTAGATTTGATATATAACGAAGAGGTGTATAAAAATGGTTGAGAGAGGATTGCGCGGTGGAATGTGCCAAGTGTCCCATAGAAAGGCAGAGGCAAATAACAAATATATGGAGGGACTATATAATGAAAGTAAGCCGAGTTCATACATCAATTACTTAGATGCGAATAACCTGTATGGACTGGCGATGTGTCAGAAATTACCTTATAAAGACGTCCGATTTTATCCGAACGCATTAACCGAAAATTACATAAAAGAATCGGCAGATACATCAACTGGTTATATCTTAGATGTTGAGAATTTTCCTGATACTTTCAGACGCCTGCCGGGATCACAACATACTGCACTGGAGATCACAACACAACATGACTTCCCTACCAAAACACATGTGGCCCAACGTGTCAAACGGGTGCACCAAAATGTGCACATGTAGCTATGTACCAACTTTTGCACCCCGCCAAAGTGAGTGCAGGATTTGATGCAGTCCAACTGCTCAGTTCAAAGCTTGCATGAACTTTCCAAAAGTCCTACTGTGGCCACATGCAATCCCTGTACAACATGATCTCCACTCGCGCAGCATGCATCCCAGCAGCTTTCATCTGTTCTGTGTCCATAGTGCGTATGCCCCCTTTTCGGGCAAACGATGTAAACACAACTGCCTGCTTTCCTCGTCCTTTGGCACCTCCAAGGTTTCAAGCACAGTGCAATCACCTGTGATCCAGACCGATCACATTGCACCACGAAGATTGGTGGTCCTAGCTGACCACGACTGCTCAAAGCACCATGTGAAAGTTCACTGGTGCACACCAGTCAAGTCATCATGAGCATCGCACAAGTGTGCACAAGATTCATTCACTCTTCCTCTAGGCATTTCATGCCTCATCATCAATAGGTTCAAAGTGGCGGATAGTGCGCTCGATTCTCAAACGGCACAGGCTGCAGACATCAAGGTCACGATACCTCGAATTCTATCTTTGGTCAGACCGTCACAGTTACGACACACATGGTTCCGACAACCACTAATCACGTCTTGGATCCATGCCATGCGACCTGGATAAGTTTGATGATTCTTGTGTTGACAGCAGTGGCTGTTGCCTGCAGTCTGCAGGGCTGCTACAGCCGTGAGCAGTTCGCGTCATGGATTGCCATCAACCTGCCCCGAATCCTTTTAAGTGCAATTCTCCTGCTGATTAATGGGCTTTTGGGATTATCCTTCTTGAGCCCAACAAGCGCTAGTTTGCAGAGTCTGTCAAGAAGACTTTCAAGTAAGTGTGCTGTCTTGCCCAACTAGGGCCAGGATTGGTCCCACTTTTAAAAGTGGGTCCACTTGATTTGCGGAGAGTCCGCTTGATTGGCAACTCTGGAGAAGATCTGAGAAACCATTGCGAACTTTGTTTTTGGCCGGGCCAAACATGGAACCACAGAAGAAGTGAGTATTCCCTTGGCTCAACCAACTCTGCACTGCTATCGCTTTCTGAACCTGAAATCTCCGCCTCTGCAGCTAGATGCGCTGTGCGTTGTGTTCCCCGCTGTTGTCCGCAAGAGTTTGCAACAGCTGGAGCTTGCGGGTGCGGGACAGCAAGAGTTTGCACAAAAGTCTTGCAGGCACATGCGTGGAGCACTCACAGAATTCTCCAGGTGTTCCCCTTCGGATCTCTTGATCTCCAGTTGCTTGGTGTTTGGTTCGGATCCCTGGATTTCCAGTTCTTTGCTTCTCTGAACTCCTCACCCCCTACTTATTACAAAGGCATCTCCAAGTAGTGCGCGCTCTCCCCGTGCTCAAAGATGAGCCCGCAGGCCGCGGGGCTCCAGAGCCGAGGGGGGGACGCCGCCTTCCGATTTGAGGAGTTGGGTTGCGCATCCCTCTCTTTTGCTGTGCGACATGAGGGGAGGGACCTTCCCAAGTGCAACGTTGCAGTCCGCCGTCTGGCAGTGGAGGCAAACCTGCAAAGTTGGACGCCAAATTCCTTCAGACGTTGAAGTTCTGGTCCAAGGGGCCACCGCCAAGTGGTCAGGACGGACCCTAGGTCGGTAGGTGACTGAGAGCTCCTTGCCTGTGCCGTGACGCCATGGCGCCGCGGTCCGATGGCTGTGACACTTACGAGAAGGACATCGCTCGGCGTTTTCTCTTGATGGACGAAGCATTAGTGCAGCCGAGCTCCTTTCCTACCAAGGGAGCTGTCAGGAAAGCTTGGCAAGCCACGTGGCATCGTAATGTCTAAAGGGACATCCGCTGCTGCAACAGCTTTAGCCGAGCACAACAAGCATGATACCTGTGGCCTTTTGCGCTCGTGGCGCTCGAAGCTCCTCCGTGGCTCTTTGCTGTGAGCACCGAGCAATTCGGTGGCCAAGTGGGCGCAGATCCGAAAGGGATTGGGGCGCCTGCGAGCCGCTGCGCCTGCGGCTAGCACGGCTAGCTCTTCGTTGATTCGGATGGTCCGACCTTCGGTGGCATCTACCACAAGTTTGAAGGAACATTGCTCAATCTGTGTGGCGGGCAGGGCGAGTCCTCCAACTACCAGTTCTTTGGGCGCTGTGATGACGACTTCTGGAATGTTGAGCAGGCTGCGTGTGAGGCCGAGCTCTTCGATGAGGAGGTTTTTGACTACACAGACATCGTCCCCGCCTCCCTTCTGCGACTGTGCGTGGCAGGAGTAGGGCTTCGCTTGCGAGACTCGATGGTGCAGTTCCTGAGAGTTACACCATGGAGGGATGTGTTCTTGAGGACTGGTCTGACACGAGTGTTGCATGTCACAACATGTCAGTTTGCACTACTGTGGATGAGAGTTCTTCAGCGGGTTCGCCATGGACCCTGGAGAGCACTTCGTTGAAAGGCCAATGGGAACCATTACGCCCAGCTTCTCCGCGGTTGACCTCGTGGCGCGCTGGAGGCACGGAAGATGGGATGGACCTGTCGAGCAGCCTGCTTGAGTCACTCAAGCCCATGATCCTCAAACTAGTCAAGGATGCTGTTGAGCAAGCTCTCAAGGGTTTGTTTGGGCCGTCTTCGGTCGAGGGATCTTCTCCTTCTTCGACCAGGGAGGGAGCTTCAGTGCACAAGCCGACGGGTGACGAGCCACCTGCCAAGAGACCGCGCAAGGGCAAGGGAGATGGAAATGTGCCAGTTGACAGCAGCGAGCTTTGCCAATCCGGGCATGCACTTCCAAACCCGACTAATGCAAAGGCCGCATCCAAGGGTGCCAAGAGCAAGAGTGGTGACTTGCCGTCAGTTGTAGGAGGCCGTGGCCAGGAGAAGGCTGCTGCGCTGAAAGACAAAAAGAAGGGCAAGGGCAAAGGCCAGTCCGAGTCACAGGAGGCTGACCAGGGCTGGACAACCGTGAAGCGCCGCGGCTCAGACAAGGATGGAGGAGGGTTTGTCCTGGATACCGATGACTGGGACACTCCTCTAATCCTCTTCTCCGAACTGGCCAAGAAGTTTGACGAGCTTAAGGCTGATGAGACCCTCTCAGGTGTCATCTTGTGCTCTGAGTCCCAGGTCCGCATGGCTTCTACGATGGCTGTAGGGTCGAAGAAAAAGTATCGACTTCTCCTTCTTCATGTCCACAAAGAGGGTGGTGACCGCATTCCTGGGCGTTTCAATTGGGAGACGCCACTTCGAAGCCGGGACCGTCACCAAACTAGTTGCGGAAGGCGCGGCCTCGCCTCAGCTGAAGGGCAAGCACACGGTGGTGGAGATTGCCAAGAAAGCCACCTCGGTCCTGTATGTGCGTGTGCCGAAGATCTACGTCGGCAACAATTGGCAAAAGTTCAAGCAATCGCCTGGGCGCTCCTTAATGGCGTGGGCGGCAAGGCTTTCTTTGCAGGTCGTTGACATCTTTGGGTGGCAGGAGCAGAAATCCATGCAGGGCAACGAACAGATCTTCGCCTTGATGCGCGTGGAGAATTCCCACATCAAGGACATCTTGACCAAGAGCGGCGTCGAAGGCGTTTTCATTGAGCCACCGCGCCAAGCTATGGCCACCCGCGTGGAGTGGGTTGAGAGGGACAAGCAGGAGAGCAACGAGCACTACTTTGAACGAGCCGGTCGTCAGAACAAGGACCTGGGCTTGGCAGTGAATGGCCGGTCGATCGGTGTCCGACACGTCTTGCAACAAGACGACAGGATCACAAGGCTGTGGGTTCTGCAGGATGCCCCGATCGAATGGGGCTCGAGTGAGGCAAGTGCTGCGCTCCAGCAGTCTTTCCAGAATGTGGCCATCCAGCGCTGGACACGCTCCCGCGGCACCAAGCTCTTCTTCTTCAAGGCGAAGGCGGATCTGGAGGCGGACAGGGACATGGTGCCCATCTACGCTCGCTTTGATGGCAATGAACACACCATGTGGGCTGTGTGGGCGCATCAGAAGCGAGGAACCACAATGCAACGACCTTTGAAGGGACGCTCTGTTCCCATCGTCGAGGGTCCGAAGTTGTTGAAGGCTATGGCCACTGCTCCGACAGAACCTCCCACTGCGATTGACGACCAGGGCAAGGAGACTTCAGCGCCTAAGAGAGCTCGGCTTCCCGCTCAGACGAGGACCCGACCCCCAGATCTGGTCTTCAAGGCCATGCCGAAGGACGGGAACTGTGTGTTCCATACCCTCGCGGGTGGACTGGAGTGGCTGTCACGCAAGCACAAAAAGCCGCTGAGTCTTTCTGCTCGGGAACTCAGGGCACGTGTTGTCGAGCACATGCGCAAACACAGCGAAGCCTACGAGGCCGACTATGACGGCAAAAGCCCCGGCGGGGCTGACATGCCGTGGGAACAGTACCTGGATGCGATTGCCCAGGAAGGTGCCTACGCCTCACATCTCGAGATTCGTGCTATTTGTCGCATTTACGCAGTTCGTGTCATGGTCGTCCCAGAGCATGCTTGTGTGCCCTGCGAAACTTTTCATTCCAAGGTGAAGGACAGGGTTCTCGTTACGTGGCTAACCGGCAACCCGTGCTCTCACATGGACTTGTTATTGCCGCAAGGAGCAGACAATGATGAGGCCGATCCCAAGGCATTGAAGTATCCGCAGAAGCTATTGGACATCACGGCGCCACCTACTTTGAAGTACCACGTGGGTGGTCGCGCTGCCTCGTGCGGTTCGGCTCGGACATCCTTCACTGCAGGCACGGACTGGACCTCCGGGACTACTTCCAGGAAGACTACCTCGAGGGCTAGTGTGGCAGCTACTGACTGGACGCGACTCCCTCCCCAACGTGAGTCGAAGCGGGCCCGGACTCTTTCTGAGGTCACGCCCGCGCTTGATGGGACTGCTCGAAGTGCGGTTTCGTCTGGCCCTCTTTACGGCAACGACCTTCTTTCCGAACTCGAGTCCTTCGAAAACCCGGTGCAGGTCACCAACAAAGGTGGGCGAAAGGCGGTCGTGGAATGGATGCAGGATGGCATGGCCAAGTGCCGAATCTGTCCCTTTCGGAAAAAGGTGAGCGATGCCAAACAGGCCAGACACATCCTTCAATCCCACTTCAGGAATCATCACAAAGGCGAATGTTTTTCTGGAACCCCTCAGTTCGTTCAGATGCCTTCTTTGATTGGAGAACTTCCTGCTGAAAGTGACTTCAGTTGGAAGTGTCAGTTTTGCGCGAGCGGCATCACTCTGGAGGCTGCGCAGCATGTCACCACGTCTCGCATTGCCAGGGACAAGATCCAACACAAGCACGATGCCCACCCCGAGGTGTCGTGGAAGACTTGGCGGAAAGCGAACCATGCCGACCGGGGTTTGAAGGTCTCGGTCACCAAGCGCAATTCGGCCATCGCCAAGTATGGGTCCTCGACTACAGCGCCAGAAGGTGGTACGCGCTTCCGCTGGCCACAAAGCCGCGGAAAAACCATTCGGTTCGACCAGAGCTGGCTGTGCAATGCTTGCTCTGTTCCCTTCTCTACCCCTAAGAAGCTTCAAGCACATCGTCCTAAATGCAAGGGTACGCCCAGCAAAGCTCGGGCTCGAACGCGCCTGAAGATCCTCAACAAGCTCAAGAAGCGCTACCTCAAGAATGCCTCTCCTGGCCCACGCCGAGCCCTGGACTTGGCTTGCTTTGATGAGGCGACGAAGATCTTCCAGAGTGCAGTGTCGCCGTTCCCCTGATTCGGGCGATGACAGTTAATGCGGCGGGTTTGGGGGTATCTTTTGGCCCCGAGCTCGAAAACTTCATCCATGGATTTGAGGCGGAGATCGTGGCTATCCCGGAGGCTGACATCCCTGAGCATGCCAGTGTCTCTTTTGTGAATCATTGGCGAGCCCAGGGTCGGCATGCTGCTGTGAGCATCCCCGAAAATGGCCGCTGCAGGGTCGCTTTGCTGAGCAACATCCCCTTCCGTCAGGTTCCCATCGCACAAGGTGAAGCTGCCACTCGTGCGGTTGCGGTAATGATGGACCTCAAGAACCAGCAGGACCGCTACGAGACATTCCTGGTCGTGGCTGTCTACTTGCAGGCTGGCGACGAACGTGTGGCGAGTGTCCAGGCGGAAGCTCTCCTCCAGCAAGTCCTGCGCTCAGGCTTCCGCTTTGTGGCCCTGGGCGACTGGAATTTGGAGCAGGAACACAACGCTCTCGTCGACTATCACGCAGGCGAGCTCCTGAGGCGATGCGATGAGTGTTGGCTTGGTGAGCCTACCCCAGCCACCGGTCCGGTGTACCGTGGAGCACGACGGCGTCGCATCGACTTTGCTTTGTCCCACTTACAGCTCCCGGCGGTGGAGCTGGATCATTCCCAAGGCCCCTCGGACCATCTGATCCCGCGGTATGGCTTTGACCTACGGGCTCCTCTTCTGCGGGGTGGGCCTCGGCGACGGCAACTTGTCCTTGACCTGCCAGAGGACATTATCGCTGAGGCCTTCGATGGGATGAATCACGACGACTTTGAGCTCGCGATTAAGCAGGGTGATGTGAATCTTGCATGGACGACCTTGTCAGACATGGCCGAAGACCTTCTAGGTGATGTTCAGCCTGATGCGATCCCTCGGAGCGCGCATTGGGAACCCACCGAGCCTTCCTTCCGTAGGGTCGTCGGCAGCAGCATCGAAAGATCAGCAGCAACGGGGCGTGGCACATGCTCCAGAATGGCATCCACACGAGCCAAGTGATCCGTGGTCTGGACCTCCTCGGAAGTGGTCCATTTGTCCATCCAGATGTTCTCCTGTAGCTGAACCTCCCGAGCAGGATGTCGACCAGATGTCGGAGTCGGAGCCTTGGACCGCTTAGCCTCCCACTCCAGCAGCTGATCAGCGCGGCGCTTGACAAAGGCCCGAACCACAGCAGGGTCGTGCCGCGCCCTCTGCTTCCACTGCCTGCGGCAGGCTTCATGCTCTTCGCGAGCGTAAGCATCGGCCAGAGCCTGCACTTCGGTGAAGAAGTCGTCGTCGCCCATAGTCTCGTAAAAGGGTAGCTCGGGCACCAGCTGACGCGTCCCCCGAAGCGATCGCCGGATGCTGGAACGAAGTTGATCATCATAAGGGCGACGAACTGCAACCTGAAGACGGGCCAAGAGGCGTCGAAGAGCTCGCAAACCAGCCCCTTGCGACTTTCGACTGACTCCGGAAACTTTGAAGCAAGCCGTGCGTGCCATGAAACACAAAGCCGCCGGTCCTGACCACTGGAGCGGGCCTGCTCTTCTGGCGCTTCCGTGGAAATGGTGGGTGATGGCGTCCAGGGTTTGGGACTTGGTTCTGGATTCAGGGGTGGTGCCTGATGCCTGGGCTCGTGGCAGGACTGTCCTCTTGTTCAAGCCCAATGGCAAGACTCGACCTCTGACGATCCTCCCGTTGATATGGCGCGCCGGCGCCCGTTGCTTGAACTGCAAGTTGAAGGCATGGTGCGACAGTTGGCGCTCTCATCGTGACGCTGGAGGACTTCCTGCCACCTCGGTGGGCCATGCTCTCCAACAGCTTCAGCTCGCTCTCAACAAGGGCATGGTGGCTGCGGTGCAGCAGGATGTGGCTGGATACTTCGACTGTCTGGAGCATCATCTCGTTGATCGAGTTCTTCGTCACCTGCGAGCGCCGCCTGGAATGGTCTCCGTCCTCGCTGATTTCTACCAAAAAGGGCAAAGGATATTCAAACTTGAAGGGGCGCTCGGCTCCTCATGGAGGCGACCGACGCGAGGCATCCCTCAAGGTTGCCCGTTCTCCCCCGTCATATCTGCGGCCCTCACACATATTTGGAGCGTTTTCGTTGTGGGTTTAGGGTTTAGGGTTTGGGGTTTGGAGTTTAGGGTTTGGGGTTTAGGGTTTGGGGTTTGGGGTTTGCGGTTTGGGGTTGGGGGGTTTGGGTTTCGATGGATTAAAGGTTATAGGGTGCTCCCTGTCCCTATCTCTTTTACTGCGCAGCACACTGAAACATTCTAACTTCAAATGCTAAGCTCTATCAACGTCTCTATGGCCTCTGAAGCCCACAGCAGCCAGCACTGTACAACAAAACCATGAAAGCCAAAAGACCCCAAAAACTCGAAAACCAAGTCCTTATACCCTAAACCTAAGCCTTAAACCCCGAAACCCTAAAACCCTAAACCTCAAACCCTCAAACCCTAAACCCTAAACCCCAACATTACAACCCCGTGAACCACCAGTCCCAGCAAAACAAACCGTCAACACCATGCAAGGCCCAACCCCCCCGGCCCCCCAAATTTAACCACCCTGGCCTTGGGGTTTAGGGTTTCGGGTTGACGTCTAAGGTTGGGTTAAGGGCTTAGGATTGTAGGGCTTACGGTGTAGGTTTAGGGTCTATAGGGTTCACCTTACACCTCGAGCCCTCTGAAACTCTCTCCCCCAAGCCCACACAAGCCGTCCACGTCTTGCACGTTTAAACCCCAAAAGCTAAAAAACCTGAACGCATACCCACAACGAAGATCAAGACCAAACCAACCTTGGTGTCCTCAACCCCAAACCGAAACCCTAAACCGCCTGGTTTAGAGTTCCCAAACTCCCCCCCCCCCCCCCCCCAAACCCTATAAACTCTAAACCCTAAACCCTAAACCCTAACAAGGTCCCAGAGGCCCACTGGAGGTTCCTCCTCGGCCCTGGCAGCGTGACGGGATGCGGCCGACGCGCCGGCGGGCGCCGGTTCATCGCGCCTGCGGCCCGAGTGGCCCCCTTGTTAACCCCAAACCCCAAACCCCAAACCCTAAACCCTAAACCCTAAACCCCAAACCCTAAACCCTAAACCCTAAACCCTAAATCCTAAATCCTAAATCCTAAACCCCAAATACTATATCTTGAGATGTTCCCCCTTCTACTAACAGTCCTTAACAGGGATTGTAGTACCTCTATTATGATCCCGAAGGACTGTTAGCATGAGGACTATATCCTCTGAACCCTGAACCCTAGACGGAACCACCCTGAAAGCACAGAAGCAAAACACCCTAAGCTCAACAAAGCATAGCCAAGCTTGTACCACAAAACCTACAACTCGCCCTGTTTCCAAGAAGCCGTAAACCCTCTCAGGGTAGTTTCGCGGGCCCCCAATGTGGGCCCTTAAAAGGGACCCCTTATATAACCCTTGTGTACCCCAAAAAAACCGAGGAACTCATACTTTAGAACCCTTTAAGTAGGGCAAGGGACCATGCTAAGGGCCCATGAAACTTCCCTTCTATACTCCCCCTTAAAACCTTAACAAAAATCCTGTTTTTGATATCTTCTTGGTTTTTAAATAAACATAAACAGAAATAATTCCCAAAGGAGATATAGCCTTAGAAGCCCGAGATGCCATCGATCTGCAATTTCCGGGTCTGGCTCCTGCCTGCGTACTCGACAACGTCCACTCCTCCACTACCTTGAGGGTTCAGGGTTGAGGGATTAGGGTGTTAAACGGTTCAGAGTCCAGAGATTAGGGGTTTAAAGTTTAGGGTTTAGGATTGAGGCTCCTGGGGAGGACAACCGTTCAGCAGGTTGGAGGAGGCGGTCGAGCGCTCCACCTGCTTCGATGAGGCATTTCACCTAGAACTCAATCTGGGCAAGTGTGCAGTTGCTGCGAAGACAGTGACTGCGGAGGTTTCAGCCCTCGCGGATGGACTGGGCTATGGCTGCGCCGACTCACTTGACATCTTGGGTGTCGTGGCACGTTTCGAGGAGCCCTGGAGCCTCTTGAAGTTCTCGGTGCGCAAAGTGGTTTTGCGCCTGCAGCTTCTACGCAGCACGCGTTTGTCGGACAACCTGTCCAAGGCGTTGATGTCGTCGCTGATTACTCCGTGCTATTCCTGGGCGGCCGCTTTCGCCTCGCCGGACCCCAGCGAACTTGCTGAGATCCGCCAGGCTGTTCTTCCACTTTTCAGCGTCGGGGCGGTCACCGGCATTGCCAAGGTCCTGATGTACGAGGTGCTGGGCTGGGAGCTGGAGCCGCAGTTCGCTATTGACAAAGCGTGCCTCAGGGCTGCATGGCATTTCTGTGTGAGGCCACCTGGTTGGATGGAGGAGAGGCCTCTTGCTGAGGTTGCTGGACAGGGCCTGGAACTTCTGCCCACTACTCGCCCCACTCTTGCGAGGCTTGGATGGTGGCTGGAAAGCGGCTCCTCCGTGATCTGTAGGCGTGACGACATGGGCGCCGTAAGGCGCATTTACGTCGGGCATGAATCCTTCGCTGGTCTGTACAAGGCTCTGGTCTACCACTACAGGCAGCTGTACCTGTCCAAGGCGGACCGTCTTTGGCGTCCACGACCTCGTGAAGTTGGTTGTGCTGTTGGACTGGATTTGCCGGCCCCACCGCAGGGCCTCAACTACGAGTTTGAGGGGCACAAGGCGGCTTACTACCAGGCGGGTGGACAACGCAGCGTGCGATTGGCCGCTCTGGGTGCAGGCGCCTCATGCTGGCACTTCAATGCGGGTAACTACTTCCCTTCAGAGCATAGAAGATGGCGTTGCGTCTGCGGTGGTGACACTCCATCGAGGCCGCATTTATCATGGACGTGCGCCAGCACTGCACCTTTCCGCGAGGGTTGCACGCCTCCGGTGGATAGGGCTCAGGAAAGATTGCTGGCTCGGGCTCTCCCACAGCTTCCAGTCGCCCCTCTGACTCTCGACGAGGACGACTTCTTGCAGGAGGTGGCGATGCGCATCACAGGAACCTGGCAGGAACTGGAGAGCCAGCCGTTGTACCTCGCTACGGATGGCAGTTCCAAACACGAGGTAGGGGCTTGGGCCATCGTCGTGCATGAAGAGGCTCACTCATACGCAATGGGGGACGGCGCTGAAGATCAGTCTCCATTTCGTATGGAAGTACGGGCGATTTGTGCAACTCTATCGGCTCTAGAGCGGGCCACTGCCGATGCGAGTGCTCTTCATGGCTCCCAAGGTCGTTGTGTCTACATTGTCTCTGACTGCAAGGCGGCCATCTCGGCTCTGAGTGGGTACGACGGCTTCGACCTACGCTTGCTGCTCGATGCTGGCCGCCGTGATCTCCAATTGGTCCCTTGTCGTGGCTTTCGAGTTGAGTTCACCTGGGTGCCATCCCACGACAAGCGTCAGCACTGGTGCCCTCCTGCGCCTCATGATGCGGGGCGCCTTCGTGCCCTTAACCGAGCAGCTGATCTGGCAGCTGGCGCTTGCATGGCGCGCCGTTGTCAAGGTTCTCTTCGTCAACGTTGGCATCAACTCGCTGCTGAGACCCGACGGTGGGAGGAACAGGCCATCGCGCTCACTGCGAAGGCTGCTGAGATGTACCATGCATTCTTGAAGACCTGGGGCTTGCGGCCGAGCGAGTTCTTGGCATCCTGATGTTGCTAGGTGTCTTTTGGAGTGGTTGACTTCCTCATTTTCATCGTGCGCCTCGTCATCTTCGAGGGCTTCATCTTGTACCAGTTCGGGCCTTTGGGCGGCTGATCGGTCTGATGGGCTTCTCCGATGGTGAAATATATACGAATCCCCCTCAATTCCACAGGGCTACCTCCCATGGACTGGGGCACACATTGTCTTCTTGTTCGTCATCTGCTGTGGTTCAAAGGAGTGGAGTCCTTTGCTCGAAGGGCTTCCAGGCTAATCACCTCTCGGGTCGCTTGAGCCACTTCACGATGCACGTCTCCCGATGTGCTTGGGATGCAGGAGGCTTCTGCGAGCATTGCTGTTGCTGGGGGCCAGCCCTCGCTGCTTCCGTGGCATCTTCTTCGGCGATTTGATGGAGGAGTTCGATGCCCGCCCATGTTCTCTGTGGGCGGCCAGGCGTGCTTCTCCACCTTCTACAACCGCTGCTGCCTACGCTGGCGCTGTGCTGCTGTGGGTCAGGCCTTCTGAGTTCACTCCACGAAGTCTCCTGAGTCACTGCATTTCGTCACTTCGCTGAATGTTGGGCTTGTACAGGTTGCTCAGCGCCTGAATGAAGCTGTTGTTGCTTGTATAGTTCTGCTGTACACGGCGGCTTCTGTTCTGATTGCGGCTGCCTCTTTTCGAGGTGGCCGCCTCTTTTGAGGCGGATGCTTGGAGTGCACCTTCGGAGCACTTGTCCAGTTTTGTTCCGAAGAGCATGCAGTCTGTTTGCGTCTTACGCGAGCAACCTCTGCCGGTTGGACTTCCCTGCTTCCCGGCATGTTGCCAATCAACGTTTGGTTGCACTGGACTCATGGTCTGGGGCCCGTATGTCTATAGTTGGTGGCCCGCGAGGGCTTGCACTTATCTTTCAGTGCTCCCCTACGCTGGTGCCGTTGTCCTTTTCTTTGCTGCGACTCGTAGTGGCTGCGCGGACCTTCTTGGGCGCGTAGTTGGACGCCGAATTCCAGCTTCAGACGTTGAAGCGTCGAAAGTTGCAGTGCTTTCGTTTCCGTTGTTTCCGCTGAAGGTGAAGATATTGGTCTGCCATTAGGAAGCGCACTAGCCGCGAAACAACAATCTCCTTTCGTGTGTTCTTCTTTCTTGGCTTCTAGGCCTCATCGGAAATCTTGAGGCCAATGGCGAGCTGGTCCCTTTTCGATCCTCTTCGAGGGCTACAGTTTTAGCCTAGCCCAGAAGAAGACTCCGGGAAGCTAGCGGCTGTTTATGAGCGGGGCTCCTGACGCCATCCCTGGCAACCCATCATCTCCAACATCCAAGGCCTCCATTAATGCTGACTGCTTGTGGTCTCTTCGACGTTGGGCCACAAGCAACCCTGTGTGCAAGAGCACCTTTCCGCCGCACGTCCCTGCTCGTGTGCGTCAGAGCATGCGGTGCATTGTGGTCATTTCAATCTTAAGGTTGCCTCCGACTGGATACCTGTCGTGCTGCCTTCTCGAGCAGGTCGCACGCGCATAATTGGAGCTTGGAATACGCGGTGCTTGCCGGACATGCTCCAGAACTACTGTCTGCTTCGGCAGGGGGGGGGGGGGGGGGGGGGGCGGACGTTGAATCCGCATGTTTGATTGTTTGCAAAAATACCAATCCCGGTTCAAAGTGGAGGCTTCATCCCAGCATGGCACCGAAGACCAATTCGCTACCCATTGAGCACCAGGACGACTCTGACAAGAACACTCCAAGCAGTGCGCAGGCACACAGTTGCTTGTGCCAGTTGCCTATTGTCGCAAGTCCACGGCCGTTGTCCCGCGAAGGAACGTGAAAAGTCCAAGGCCACGTTGCTCTTTGCCCCAAATCGAGAAGGCACACGCGGTCATGCAGCTCATTTGATATTTGTCGGTATGTGTCGGAGTGCAGACATGATCCTGGATGGCAGCCCTCGTGGGCAAAAATTCACAGCTGCGGGAGCAGAACGCACAGTGAACCCCAAATCCTGAGAAATGTGGCGGTCGCCCTGAAGCAGTGTTGCTGTACATTCACCTTCCGAAGGAAATGGCTAGCAAACGGAGCAGCAGGAACAGGTGGTCTTCTTGGCGTTTACAAACTCCGCCTGTGCCGCGAAGCATCTTTGCAGCCTTCAGGCATGAGATGAACGCATTAACAAAAACAGCAATACTGCCACAAGAAGAGGCACATAGAAGGAATGGCTGGAATATAGCTTTTGCTTGCTTCACTGGAGGGACGCGACATCAACATTTTCCAGAATCCTACGTTGTCTTGGCCGACCACATGTTCCATGCAGCCAGTCTTCGGATCTCGGTGGAAGTCCCCGAGACCACTTTGCGGTTTTCAGCGTTTGCTGCCTTTATAAAGGCAATCCTTGGGTTCATGACCCGAGTCGGAGCCCGCCGATGATTTTGAGCGGGCACTCGCTGGGTGTGAATGTGGCCCACGGAGTGGCAGGGCACTTGGAACTCGAGCTTGGGCTCAAGACTCGAACTTCCCGAGTTCCAAGCTGAAAACGCCTGGGGGTTAGCAGGCGGCCAACAGGGTCTTGCTGGTAGGTGTCTTGCGAGCCATGGCACCATCCTCCGGAGGCACGATGAGTGGTTGGAAGCGATGGATGAGAAAGCAGCTGGGAGCCATGAGGGCTCATTTCGAGGAAAGAAGTGCCATTTCCTACCCAAAGTGGCTTGGCCAAGTGAGATTCGCGAAGGGGAAGCAAGAGATTTCTCCGAGATCTCTTGCAGCAGCCTGGCAGGCTTGTGGAGGCCTGGGCTGAAGTCGCTGATCCGTCTGCAATTAGGCAGTGGGCTGAGATTTGGAAAGGTGTTGGGGTGCCTGGCAGCATGCTCTGGACTGGATCCTCGAGATGGGGCCTTGGCTTCGCTGGCTGGCTCAGTGCTTGTGACAGCAGTAATGAATGGAGGTACAATTGGCAGGCGTCAGGCCTTGCTGAAGAGAAGAGGCCAGACTCGTACTGGCAAACCATGGCGGACTATGGAGGCGATGTGGACTTGGACATGGAGGATTGGTTTAAACAGCCTGATGGGGCTTGGGCAGCTGGGGAAGGCGGCCAGAACCTCGTCACCAATGAGCCGATTCTCTTCAAGGACATACAGATCCCAGTGGGCGTGGCGGCAGCGCGGAGCGGCCAGTTCCTTTACCTGAAGGAGACGATCACCCGGGCGGACATTGCGTTCGGCGACCAGTGCCTCGAGGCCGATTACCTGATTCACGATAAGTACAACATGTTGCTCTTCGGTCAGCTTCCGAGGGGCTGGTTTGAGGGATGGACAGTTTTGACTGCTCTACTCCCCACTGTGTGTTTTAGCTTTGATCCACTCAAAGCCCAGAGAATAGGAGAAGCATCCAACCCTGGCCCTCTTGATGAGGAAACCAGAAAACAAATCCAAGAGATGGTGCAAAATACGGTTACGCAGTCTTTGCAGATCGCTTTGGCGAGCATCGATTGGACTGCGATAGTTGCCAAAGCTTTGCCCCACCAGGGAGTTTCGGGACGAGATGGTTCAGCAACGCTTGCATCTGGACAAGACAAACGACCTGCTGACAACGACGCTCCTTCACAGGCCAAATCCAAGCGACGCAAGAAGAAACAGCAGGTTGAAACGACAGCTACGGGACAAACCCCTGCTGAACCTCCTGCTCGCCAAGTCTACGTCGCACCTGGCAAGGACAAAAACAAAGGCAAGGGGCATGGCAAGGGTGCCACGCTTAGTGAGGCGCACAAGGCATTTGAGCCTGAAGAAGGGTGGCAGGTCGTCGCACCACAGGGCGAGTTTCAACTTCGAGCTCAGGATTGGTCAGGCCAACTGGTCAACTTTGAGTCCTTCGGCAAGTTTGTTGATGACACCCCTACCGGTCGGTCGGTTGAAGCGGTTGTGTTTGCCAGTGCTGCTCAGATCCAATCCGTGCACTCCATACTTCGAGGAGCCACGAAGCCTTATAAGGTCACCACTGTCCATCTCCCGGAGGAGGGCACTAAGACCGACACACAGAAGATCCCCGGAAGGATTGGCGACCGCCTAGTGTTTCGGCAAGCGCGTGTCGTGCAGTGTGTGTCCGAAGGCAACCTGGGGGCCGCTCCTCATCCGAAGGGGATAGGCAGCAAGGTTGTGAAAATTAACCCTACCAAGAGCATTGTTACCTTCATTAAGGCCGCCAAGCGTTTCTGTGACAAGCAGTTGTGGACCGATTTTGAGAAGAACCCGGCTCGGGCCGCCCTAACCTGGATCGCCTCACATCATGTTCAGGCCTTAGACACTTTCGGGTGGGTGCGTGAGAAATCTAGGGACGGCGAGTTTGAGACTTTCTTTGGTTTGGCAAGAATCCCTGAAGAGGACTTAACTTCTTTAATGGCTGTTTCGGGTCGCAATGGGGTTTTCCTCTCGACGCCTCGTGGAATAGGCCCGCCTTTTGCTGTTGAATGGGTTGACAAGGCTCCTGGCGATAAACCGCAAGCTTACTTAGAGAGAGTTGCAAACTTGTCCAGTAGTCTTGGGCTGATCGTGTCCGGTGGCCGCCTTGGCTTCCGCAGACCCTTGGGAAACGGCGAGGCAACCCGTCGCGTGTGGCAGATCACTGATGTCCCAGCCTCATGGGATCAGCGAGCTGTTCAGCAGCTATTGGCCGAGTCCTTTGAAGACCTCCAACTGCTCAGCCACCGCCGGCAGAAGCAGTGGGTTTCGTTTAGGTTTAGAGCCAAACCTAAGGCAGGCCATGGAGATTGTGACCTTATCCCCGTTGTGGTTGAGCACCTTGGCGCCAATGTCACCCTTTGGGCTGCAGGTACGACCTGTTCCCGAGGACCTCAAGTTGGTTGAGTGTCCTAAGGATGGGAATTGCATGTTACATGCTGTGCAGAAAGGTTTGGAATTCCTTGGCGAACCACAGCCTGCCCACCCGCGAGTCATCAGAGCCGAGCTTGTTACGCACATGCTCAAGCATGAACGATACGAAAAAGAGTGGGATGGTTTGGATCCGCGCGGACAGAAGTCAGCCACGGATTTCCAGCAATATATGAGCATGATTGAAAAGAATGGCGTGTTCCTCGGGGAGGCAGAACTCATTGCCTTAGCCAGGATCTACAACGTCAAAATCGTAGTGTGGCCGCAGGGCGTTGACTTCTCGCCTATTGCTGTGCATTGCAAAGCTCCTCGCACCTTAGTGCTCTGGTACACAGATAAGCACATCGACCTGCTTGTTCCAAAGGAGGGAGCCAAATACCCGGACACTTACGCTAAGGTTAGCGCCGGCCCGGTCCTAGGCCTTCGGGCTGGTGGTAGAAGTAGTCAAGCCTCTTCGTGCAACACACCTGTGCGCAGGCGAGCCCCTTCGGTCATGTCTGAAGCCAGCTGCCAGACTGCCAGCGCTGCCAAGGCAAACCCGAAACGAGCCCCAAGTTCGTCAGCGGTTTCTTATCCTCGCAAACGAGCTTCTTCTCGCATTTCTGCCAGTCTTGACACTCGCTGCTCAAAACGACAAGCCTGCGACAAAAGCGCGAGCCAGAAGCCAATCCTGCTGGACGTGGATGGTGCCAACGCAGAGATTTTGCCTGTAGGCGTGCCTGCTGCCTCCATTTCCTGTTCAGTTGGTAAGTCGGGTTGTGGGTCTAGACGTGGTTTTGCATCTTGCCCAGAGTCCACGAAAAGCGATGCCACTCACCTCGTAGAGCAGGGAGCTGCTATTGCCCCTGCGCCCAGGCATAAACCCTTTCGATGGCAGAAGCCTCTCAAAATCACCAAGTCTGGTCTTTTCCGCTGCGATTTGTGCTCATTTACTGCCAAGGTTACGCCCACCAGCCTCCATACTGTCAGGTGGAAGCATATGACCGGGTTCCACAATGGTGCTGGACTGAATCAGAGCCAGAAGCGATCTTTTGAGTACCTTGAAAGCCTCCCTGGTGCTCAGCACCATTACCACTGGAAGTGCCCCGAGTGCGACATCGGTACGCGCAAGGCCTTCGGGAAGGCCCTCGCCCCTAGCACCGTGCGTGCTATCTGTCGTAACCACCTCAAGCAAGCCCACCCTCACATGCCCAATGTGGATTATCAACGTGCACTAGGCATCCAATCCAGGTCCCAGACGAACCGTGTCAGAAAAGCCAATGCGGCAATTGCTGAGAAGTTTCGTGACCGCATTGAGCTCATAAAGAGGGGAATGCAGCCTTTCACCTGGCCCATCTTCCGCACAAGGAAGAATAAGTCCAAGGCCGTCTCCATGCAGCAGGTGTGGCGTTGCTCTAGGTGCATGCGATGCCTCTACAACTCAACCGACGCTAGCGCACATGGCCCTCACTGTGGGCGAGGCGAGGCCTCCACTCCAACAAGCAAGCCATCCGCAAGCTTGGCCTGGTGCGTGTGTGCAGGACCTCTATGATAGCTACGTGACCTCTGAAAAGGAAGCCCGCATCCTCCGTTGGAAATGCATGGTCCAAGACTCCCCGAACAAGCAAGTCGCTTGGCTTCGTCGACGTGCGGATCTCGCTTTGGAACTCCAAGCCCGGCCCCTGCCTGTCACGGACGTCGCAACTGCCATTCACCCGATTTCTGTGCTGAAAGAGCACGGCCCCAAGTGGGAGAAATTGTGGACGTATCCTGAAGATGACCCTGTCAGGCTGGATGACATCAATGACATCTTGAAGGATGTACCGGCGTGCCCTACCTCTGAAATCATGCTTACCCTTGAGCCCCAGGACTTAGTTCGGCAAGCTAAGCACATGTCTGGCAAGGCTCCGGGCCATGATAGCTGGAGCGCCGACGACCTTGCCCGCTTGCCTCTCAACTGGTGGGCTAATTTAGCCCAAATCTGGAACAGCATTATTGCTGGCGCTCCAGTACCTCTCACGTGGTCTCGCGCGCTCGTTGCTCTCATCCCTAAAAAGGTGGTCAACACAAGACCGTTGGGCCTTTGCCCGATCGTGTGGCGCATCGGCGCACGTGCCATCGTAGGCAAACTGAGGCCTTGGATTCATCAGTGGATCACGCCGTTGGCCTTTGGAGGCGCCCCGGGCACCTCGTGCGCCGACGCGCACTTACGCATCACTGCGGCGATTTTAAAGGGCGCCAAAGAATTTATCCAACAGGACCTCAAAAACTTCTTTGATCACCTTTCTTTACCCGCAGTCCTCCCTGTGTTAGCCCATTTAGGAGCTCCTCATGCCCTAACCCACGTCCTGAAAAGTTTCTATCGCTGTCCAACCCGCCTCTTCAAAGTTGGGCGCTTTGTGGCTGGGGGTTGGGTCGGGGTCTCTCGGGGTTTCGTTCAGGGGTGCCCCTTTTCCCCATTAGTCGCTCTAGCGGTCGGCCATGCCTGGAGCCACCACTTTTGTCCCGCGATGTCCGTGGTTTCATTTTCGTTGACGACCGGCTTCTTTGGCCGCGTCCAGAAGCTTCGTGCCCTGTTGAAAGCACTGCAATCGCTCTTGCGCCCTCCGACCATTTTGATAGCACTTTCAAATTGCGTTGTGAGCGCGATAAATGTGCCTACGTCACTGTACCCGGACAGGGCCGACTGGGGGGCCTTGCTCAGACGTGGGTACCAAGAGCTTGCTCGTCTTGATTTCTTAGGCATTGCGTTGGATGTCGAGGCCCTTGAAGGTAGACCACTCAAACTCATCCTCGACAAGGTCCTTTTCCGTGTGAGGTTCCTCAAGTGTCTTCCTATCTCCTTGCACCGCAAAGTCATTCTCATCCGCAGCATGGCCTTTTCGTGCTTCACGTGGTGTGCCGGTGTGGCTATGCCTGAGCCACAAATTCTTCGGTCTATCCAACACGAGATCTCTGCTCTCTTCCGTGGCGCTTTCAAACAGGAAGTCCCTTTCTTCCTTATGCACGAGATCCTGGGCTGGGAGTCGTCCCCTCAGTTTGCCTGTGATTTTGCAGCGTTGCAAGTAGCAAACCGATTCGCCGTCAGACGGCCCTCTTGGTACGATGACCTTCCACTTGATGAGGCTTTCGTTACCTGGCCTGACGTCATGCCTGTTGCTCGCGACGCTGTACATCGCTTGGGGTGGTCCATTCTGCCCGGGGGTAGCGGGATCACGCGGTGCGACGCTAATGGTGTGCGAGTTTTCAAGTTTGGATTCTCTAACATAAGCGTCCTGAAGTCGTGGCTAACCGCTGCTTTTCGTGACGCTGGCGTGTATCAGTGTCGTCGTGTCCAACGGCGGGGTCATCGTGACGAGGAGGCTTGTGCTCGTGGTCTGGACCTCCCTGCGCCCGCTACAGGCCACTCCTTCGACTTTGCTGCTCACCGGGCTGCTTTCTTCGGCTTGGGGACCTTGGCCCAAAAACGTGCCGCCGCTGCATCGGGGGGTAGCTTTTGGTATCATAACCCTGTTAAGTGTCGTACTGTCACTCCAGAGGACCCTGCTGCTTCTTGTGCTTGTGGCAGCAAATTCCCGTCACGCCCGCACCTCACTTGGACTTGCCCTGTCACTGCTTCTCTTAGACAGGGACTCCCGCCCCCAACCGACCGTGCCAGCGAGAGGCTTTTTGCTCCCCCTCTGAAGCCTTTCCCGCCTGCCCCTTCCGGTCTAAACGCGGATGTTTTCCGTGACGAGGTTGCTGCTGACCTCTACAGCGCCCTAACAACCACTGACGAGATCCTTGTTGCGACCGATGGCTCCTCGTTCGAGGATGTTGGCGGATATGCAATCGTTATCCGTGCGGGCACCGGAATCCACTCTCACGCCTCTGGAAATGATGATGAAGACCAATCTGCTTTTCGTTCCGAGGCTTGTGCCCTCCAAGTGCTTGCCAGAGCTCTTGCTGCCATTGTGGCCAAAGTTGCTGGCAATGTCACTGTGCTGGTGGATTGCCAGAGTGCTCTGCGCGCCATCGAAAGTCCTTTGCGGAGTGCCCTTCCGCTTCTTTTTGAAGAAATTGCCAAAAACTTCCTCGCCGCTAAGGAGTCTGGCCTCACCACTCGCTTTATGTGGGTCCCTGCACACGACCGGCATGACAAATGGTCCCCAAATTGGGGTTATGATGCCGCCTTGTGCAGGAACTTGAACAAGATTGCCGATGAACAGGCCGGTCTAGATCTCTGCGCGCTGCCTGGCACAAGGAGCTTGCTACCGCCCGTGCTTGGTCTGCGAAGGCCATTTGCAATTCGGCTAAAGCAAGTGAGACCTATAGGGATTTCCTTCTAGAGTCCAAGTGTTCCGCCAATGCCAACCCGCCAGCTGCCTCCAGAAAAGATGCTGAGGATCTCCGCCCGGGGGTTGCTGATGAGGTGGGTGTGGGCTGAAGTTTCTTGTCAGCTTCCACTTCCTTGCCGTGCGGCTGACCCTGCTTTTGGCTCTCAGCTCTCTCCCGCGACTTCAATGCACCGCTGGGCTTTCGGTTTTGGGTTTTTCTGTTTTAGTGGTTCTTGCACTCCGTGCACCCGCGGGACAGAATCACTCACTGCCGTGCCGCCTGAGGTCTTTAATTGGTTTCCTAGTGCACCTGGCCTGTCTCGTCGTACAGACGTTTGCCCTGTGCATGAGGATTTCGCCTGGTTTTGTCACGGAGGTGTGGTGGCTTGGGTTGCTTTGGGTGACCGTCCCTGCCAGTACCTCCTACATATGTTTCGAGACTCGATACAGCCGTGTTTGCATTGCCACGCTTTGCGTTGAAAGAGATGTCTGCTTTTTCTCGGATAGGCCGCATGAGCTTGTGGACTTCAAACTGTACACGAATGTCCACTTTTGAGCTCTAGTACGCTGTCTGCAGCTTGCAGCGCTCATGTGAGCATTTTGCGAGTGCTTCTGCACTTTCAAAGGGCTTCAGGACGAATTTTCTCCTGTGTACAGTTGGGAGGATTCGCCAGCTTACGCGACCAGCCGCGTGTCTTGAGTCTTGCGTCGCAAGTTCTTCACTTCGGCGCTCACTTGGGGCACGTTTGTTTCCTATTACACTTGGAACTCGTGGGCATCGATGTGATTGCCATCGTGGCCTTGGACCCGCGCGGCATTCCAAGACATTGCTCGCAAAGTGATTGGGTGGCTCTGAGAAGTATTTGGACTACGGCGTTGTGCGTCCGCCTGCAGCCTCGGCAATTGACGTGCGATGCGCCGTATGTGCCCTTTCTGAAGCTGCCTCAACGGCGTTTTCTCTGGAACCATGAGGTGATGAAAGATGCCACGGTGGCCATTGACACTGCAAAGATGCTGTCGGATACCACCCATTACACTCTGAACATTACGCATGTCTGGACATAGCCTTGGTTGTCAAAAAGTACACAACCAGAAAACGAGGACAGCTGACGCGCGAGGCCGATGCTAGAAAAGCGCCCGTGTGTTCAGGAGTCGTTTGATCGGTCATTTGTTGGGTTGCAGACTCTTTTTCAGTGGAGCTGCTTGTCCTCTTCTTTTTCCCCATCCTATCTTCTCTTCCCAAACCCTAAACCCCAAACCCTAAAAGCCCTAAACCGTCTTTTGTCCTCTTCTTTCCTCCTCTTTTTCCTCTGCAGCATGTCTCCGTTTTGCGTGCTTGTTGCGTTGCATGGAGGGCGAGGAGGGCTGGCAGAGCGCAGTTGCCGTTCAAGTTGCTCTCCTCTTCTTCTCTTCTCCTCTTCTCTTCCTCTCTTTTCTCCTCCATTCCCGCATTGTTTGTCTTTAGATCCCTCTCTGTCTCTCTGTCTCTCTGTGTATGAGTGCGCGTTATCTCAAGCGCCTGTTTTGGAAAGCTCCGTGGATCTGGAGGGTTCATTACGCGGGGATCTTGAGTTATAGATCGCGGGTTGTATGAGGGCTTGGTCCTTGTTGCTTTGGCGTTTTGGGGCCCCTGACCCTAAGCTGAACCCTATAAGCCCTGAACCCTGAACCCTGAACCGCCTCCCCGATCCGGCTCAAGCACATGCCGGCCCGCATCGTGAAAAGCAACGTGACACTTGTGCTTGTCCGCGTGCCATCCTTTGGCGGGGAGTGAGCACGGTTTTGGTGTTTTGTAGGACGCCTGGTAGGTTTCTACTGATGACTTGTACACAAGCTCACGACCAAGAACAAAAAAGCGCACCCAAGGTGAAACAACAGCAAATTGAGGAAAGGCAATGGCCAGGGGCCAGGGCTTGTAAGAGGACGTCCGCTCTTCTTCCCTTGTCTTGCCGGGCCTGAACGGGAGGTCTCACAACACCGTGTGGCCAGGGGCTTGTGTTGCTCTAGCGGGGATCGACACCGACGCGCGCGGTTTTCAAGCTTTTGCTTGGCCTTGACGCGTGAGTCCTTTTGTCTCCTTGCTGGCAACTGTGGCCCAAGCCAAGCCAAAGGCTTGGCCGTAAGTTTGTTTCTTTCCGTGTTTACATTCACAATGAAGCAATTGTCATGGTCCTCACTGGCCGTGGCTTGCGTGGTGGGCTGGTGTCGGGCTCAGAAACGCGCTCTCAGGAGCATACCACGTGAATTTGCCATTTGAACGTGTTTACCAGTTGTCTCAGTGGTCTTATACCATACACTGCCAGGGCAATGCTATCCCTGCCTTCTGCAATGAAGCTGGCGCAGGCACGAAAAGGGGAAGAGTACAGGCAGTTGTAGAAAGCAAACACACACACACACACACACACACACACACGCACACACACACTGTGTGCATGTTATAGATGCTCATTTATTTTGCCTTTCGCGCGCAGTGCAGGAGTCGCAGACCTCCATTTCTGAATCCAGCATCAATGTTCATTCCGGTGACTTGGAGCACCACTTGAATGAATCCACTTTGGATTCTTTGGGTTCTTTGGATGTGCAGAGTGCCTTGCTCGCTCGCTCCTCGAGAACCTCTGTCGGTGACCACATCAACCGTACCAGGGATGAAGAGCTCGAGGACCCTAAACCCTAAACCCCAAACCCCAAACCCCAAACCCTAAACCCTAAACCTTAAACCCTAACCCCTAGATGGATGAAGCGCTCGAGGAGTCCCTGGATGCCGTGGTCTCGGCGAAATTCTTCGGCTCGGTCGTCAACACCTTCAAAGGAGCTGCCCAGGTGGTCGCAGATGCCGGTGCCTGGGATGTCTCCTTCTGAAGGGCCCTTTGTGGGAGGTGTTTTTTTTTGATACTGCAATTTGACCCCCAAGTTTAGGGTTTAGGGTTTAGGGTTTAGGGCTTAGGGTTCAGTGGAGGCATGGCCGTGGGCTCGGCCGTTGCCAACGCCGCCGTCGTGGTCGGGAATCATGTCATCAGGGCACCGACCATGCGCATTGACCAGCTGCCTCAGGGCCTCAAAAACTTCGCGGAGGACCTGGGAAATCAGGCCCTGAACGTTGCCACAGTCACAGCCCACACCGCCGTGCACGTGGCCCAGAAGGCAGCGACGACAACGATCCAGCTGGCGGGGACTGTGTTGGAGCACGCGAAGAAGACGGCCGAGCAAGGGGCAAAGCTGGCAACCAAAGTGGGAAACTTCATCGCAGACCAAGCTCGCGCCCTGGGAGGCGAGATCGCCAAGCTTGGGCCTTTGGCCGCAGGCCTGGGGCAGGCAGCTTGGAACGAGATGAAGAAGTTCATCAGCTGCCTGAGGGAGTCCACATCTCTTTGTCAGCTGCTGATTGGAAAGGAGTGTGATTGCAGTGCCGGAAGCTACGTCGAGATGCATCACGACCGGATGGAGCTGAGGTGCGTCTTCAGCAAAGTCTCCGAGTTTTCGCAGGGGTTCGGGATCAAGGCAACCCGGGCCGGCAGCGGTGACCCGAGCTTAGGGCTTCCGGGAGAAGAGTATGCACAGGCCACCAAGATGTACAACGACGTCCTGAAGTCCCGAAAGGGCTTGAAAGAGACTCGGATGAGCTGTGACGAGGTAGAGACTCTAAGGGTGCCATATGGCCACTCAGAATCCCCAACCTACTAACCTTAAAAATGCGGCTGCATCAAGTCGAGAGGCACAACATGCACAATGTCAGGGGCCCAAAGGGCCCAATGTTGCCGAGGCCATGCAGCAGGCTGCCCCCCAGCCGTTATGCGAAGCAGGGCTCGAGATCGCCATCGATGGCGTCTCGCAGTTCAGCCCTGACGTCAAGGTCACCGTGCACACGAACGGGGACACGTGGTTCGAGATCAGCGGCTCCATCCGGGCATCCTACGACACCCTCGTCACGGGCCAGGGCAGCTGCAGCTACACGCTCAAGAGGGGCCTGCCGGAGCAGCCCAAAACCAAGGTGATCTGTGCCGGGAAATTCTGCATCTCGGCCGAGACCGCCCAAGGTGAGAGCTTCTCCAAGCCCGAGCATCCGACGAAGGGTCGCAGGTAGGTGAGTGAACTGAAGTGAGGATCTTTCCAGGGAGCACAGCAAGCATCGAAGGTTAGACACGGTTAGACCTCTCTCCATGTAAGAGCCTTTCGAAGCTCGAAGAAAATGCTCACGTCCGCTGTCCTAGGCATCATGATCTCGCTTCAGATGGTTGCAGCCCTGGCGATAAAAGGCTTGCTTACTGGAAACCCTAAACCCGATAAAACCCATAAACCCTCTAAACGCTATAAACCCTACAAACCCTACAAACCCTACAAACCCTATAAACCCTGTAAACCCTATAAACCCTATAAACCCTATAGACCCTATAAACCCTATAAACCCTAAACCAGAACCCCGAGCCCTAAACCCTTAACCCTGAGTAGGCGTCCTCACGGGAACTATGGACCTGTCCACCGAAGTGGAGTTCGAGATCTCCGCCAACGTCTTTGTCAACAAGCACGGCAGATCCGACGTGACGGGGATTAAGGTATTAAGGGTTTGGGGGGTTGAAGGGTTTAAGGGTTTGAGGGTTTAAGGGTTTGAGGGTTCAAGATTTGAAGGGTTTAAGGGTTTAAGGGTTTTAGGGTTTAGGGTCTAGGGTTTAGATCCGAGGTGACTGCGAACAGCCCGGTCATGAAGCACCAGGCATGGCCAAGCCCTGCTTAGGCTAGCCTAAACCCTAAACCCTAAACCCTAAACCCTAAACCCTAAACCCTGAACCCTAAACCCTAAACCCTCGTTGCCAGCTTTGGAGTTGCCGGCTTCCTTTGTGCTCTTAGATCATATGAAGACTGTTTTATGTCCTTCTGTACAAGAAATATATACCCTACTTCATATATATATATATATGCACGCACATAACATACATGCCATACATGCACCATATATTCGCTCTGTTCGCTCTTTCGAGGCACAGCGTCTAAGTAAGACGCAGCCTTTTCACTATTTCTTTTACATATGTTTTAGAAATACATATAATATATATATATATATATATATTTGTTTTGGAGGCTTCTCGTGCAAGATATTGGTCCTACATTGCTATATGTATATATACATACATATGTGTCTGTATATACCTTTCTTTTAAATTTTATAATATATGTGTATAGTGTATATATACATTCGTAGCGAAAAAAGCCGCAGGAAGCTGTCAAGATCGGCGTCAGCGCCGACGCATCCGTCAAGTTGAGCGTCGGGCCAGAGCTCGTAGCGACCCGGCAACAGAGCGCCCGAACAGTTCTGGGATTTAGGGTTGGGGTTTAGGGTTTAGGGTTTAGGGCTTAGGGCTGAGGGCTTAGGGTTTAGGGGGTTTAGGGTTTAGGGTTCAAGGTTCAGGGTTTAGGGTTTAGGTAATGATGAAAAAACAACGTCTCTTAGAACTGTTTAGCACCTATGCCTATGTGGCCTGTGAGATGTCCCTGAGTTGGTGCAGCAGGTGTGGCCCATGCCGGGAATTCCCATAACGTTTGCCCCCAAGATGCATGCCGAAGCCAAAGCGAGGGGCACTATCCAGCACTCAAGTGTCCAGGCTGCTATCATGGGGGTTTTAGGGTTTAGGGTTTAGGGTTGAGGGTTTTTGTTCATCGGTTTCGTCTCTGCTGGTCGCGGAGTCCGGTTGTGCTGGACAACAGTTTTCAGGTGCACTGCTGCTCGACCAGGAGTCTGATTGGGTCTCCCATCCTGCGAACACGAGCTCAAACGCAAGCTTCAGCCTTCTCGAAGAGCAGGACAGATTTGCCCCAGGAAAACCACAAACTGAGCACGGAAACTTCCCCTGCTGACACCAAGAATGGCAGGTGCCCTCTGAACCCTCGTCATCCCTAAACCCTAAACCCTAAACCCTAATCCCTAAACCCTAAACCCTAAACCCTAAACCCTAAACCCTAAACCCTAAACCCTACACCCTAAACCCTAAACCCTAAGCCCTAAACCCTAAACGCATCTGAACACGTCTAACCTCGTCAAGTTGCATCTTCTCAGCTTCGAGAACTCCCCCGCCATTGGGCGCTTCCGTGCACTCCCTGTAAGCACCTATCCCCCTAAACCCTACCCTAACCGTAAACTTCGGATGTTCCCCCTTTTTGTAGCAGGCCTGAATAGGGCCTATAATCCCTCCTATGCGAATCCCTATTAGAAGACTCTTAGTAGAAGGGGGAACATCCCTCAAACCCTGAACCCTGAACCCTGAACCCTACCCTAAACCCTATCCCGGCGTGAGGAGAGCCGGTCCAACGTGCTCGAGCCTTGTGGCGCAGCGGCCGGGAGCCTAATCAAAAGAGTGTTTAGGGTTTAGGGTTAGGGTGTAGGGTGTAGGGTTTAGGGTTTAGGGTTTAGGGTCTAGTAGTAGAGTAGGTAACCTTGAACCTTTGTGGGGTAATAGAATCCCCTGATATTCTGTAAAAGAGCGTTGCGGTTGAATAAATATTTCTTGTGAAAAGGTTGATTTTTTGTTGGAAAAAGACTGTTAACACATCATTTTTCTTTCCTGTTTTCATTGTTCGTAGTGTTGTCAGTAGTCTTCCTCTTCTTATGATTTGTTTCTTATTATTGCCATTCTTGCTCTCATTGTTGTTACTGATGTTAACTATCGGCGCCTGACTTGCCATTGTCTTGCTGTTGGTGTTATTGTTGGTACTGTTGCTATTCTCTTATTTTTGTTATGACTGTTACTGTCGTTCTTGATATTCTTGTTGCTTACTCGCAAGTGTTGTCCTTTCTTACTCGTAAGACACGCACCTACAAATGGCAAGCGGGGGCAACTTTCAGGGGGCAACTTTCAGAGAGCGAAGGACGGAGAGAAGACCTTATGGTTTAGGGTTTAAGTTGGGATGTTCCCTTATATCAACAGTCCTTGCTAGGGATGATAATGGGGGTACTATATTCCCTATTCCGGGCTGTGAGCAGCACGGGGAAGATCCCAAGGTTAGGGCTTCAGAGTCAGGCCGTGACGATCTACTCGGACTTCGGCATTACCGGCTTCGGCCTGCCCGCATGGCTGAGGGCTTTGCTGGATGACGGCTTGCTGAGGCACCTGATCCTTTGTCACAGTTGAGTAACATTTTACATCTTTAAGGGTACTTCAACCCAACAAGGAATAACACCTTTGAGTTTCTAACATTCTCCCAACCATGAACGAGGATCCATGTGGCCTTGATGAAAGGTGCCGAGGCGATGATGAAGATGATGACCGGCCCCATGCAGTGCGTGCCGGGCGCCTCTGCAGTCACCAACAGGGTCATGGAGGCTGAAACCCGAAAAACCCAAACCCTACACCCTAAACCCTAAACCCTACACCCTAAACCCTAAACCCTACACCCTAAACCCTGAACCCTAAACCCTAAACGCTAAACCCTAAACCCTAAACCCTAAACCCTAAACCCTAAACCCTAAACCCTAAACCCTAAAACCTAAACCGTCATGGAGGCTGCGAGCGCAGCAGCCTCGGCCATCTCAAACCTGATCCCGGACCTGGGCCTGAGATGGGACTTCAAGACGATCCAGCTTCTACAGCCTCAGAAGTTCTTCTGTGAGGAGGTGTGGACGACACCGAACTTCCAGGATTCTCCTTGTGCTTCGGAACTCGGCTGTAAGACTGCTGGCCAGGGACGTCCAGACGAGTCGGAGGTCGAGGATGTGCCACCAGCAATGGTGACGAACACCCCTCAAAACACACACGGAACGCCCGGATGCTTCGACCTTCCCATGGGAGATCGCTTCATACAGCTTGGCAAGTGGCGCATCGCCGACATCGACGGGAACCACTTCACGATCTCGCACCAGGAGACACAACTGGGCCTACCCTGAACCCTAAACCCTAAACCCTAAACCCTAAACCCTAAACCCTTAGTGTCCCTCACATCCTGAAACTCCAGCAGGATTGGGCTTTCAGAATGGCCCTCTGAACCCTGAGGACCATCACAAAGTGCCCACCTTGTGGCGAGGTCATGATGGGACAACCCACCATACCCACAGAAGCGGCTGGGAGACTCACTGGCATGCCTGGGGCAGGAGCAGCACTCAGATGTGATTCTCTCTGTGTACACGTTTAGGGTTTAGGGTTTAGGGGTGCCCTTCTTTGGGGCCTTGTTTGGGAGAAGCTGAGGCCGATCTTGCCGTGCGGCCAAGCCAAGCAGATCAAGTTTGGGTTCCAGTTCATCCAGATTGGCAACTTCCGCATCGGCGCAGTCGACGACAACCACTTCTCTGTTTCGTGGCCCGGGCAGCACATTTGTCGCCTGATTTGCCTCTGTCCAGAGCTTTCGCCAGGCCAGGGTGTGACTGTTTTTTTTTTTTTTTTGGTTTTTTTTTGCGGACATCCACGCAAAAAAAAGTGTCTACTTCGAACATCCCCAACCTCAAGCCTTTAACCGAGCAACTTCACGGGCACTGTGAGGACCATTGGGCTCTGGATGGCTCTGGGATTTCCAGGGAGACTTTGTCGGATTCTTTGCAGGATTCTGGGGTGGGCAAGGAGCACAGGAAATCTAACAATCCCAACGGCTTCAGGCCTACTTCGTTGATGTCCCCTAGCAATACATCTCAAGCTCTACACCGGCGCAGTCTCGCAGTTTCAGCATTGTTGGCCCGTGTAAGTTGACTGTTCAGTGGCATGATAGCGTTCCGGCTTGGAGATCTTGCCTTCGCCTTGAGAAAGTTGCCTTGGTACACGAGCTGTTTTTGCCCCATGCAAGAGAAGAAGATGTGTGTGCATGCATCTCCTTTGTGCGAAGGATGAACCAACTGTTCCATACTCCACAACACTTCAGTTCCACACAAGTCGGTTGACTCAGTACTCACTCTGCTGAATTTTTAGCAGTCTTAGCACACAGAGAAACCAAGGTGGAAGGTACATAAAAGGGCCTGACAAATCAGGCCGAAGGCTCCGCTGCATGAAGATTTTTCGGGAGCGCATGCCTGCTCTTTTTTTTTGATGTGTCCTGAGAAGCTCCGAAAGCGCGCGGTGCGGAGCACACTTCGTCCGGAGTCGCACTAAGACGAGACGCTCTCAGCTCAGGCAGGTCCACTCCAAGAAGACGTGTGCGATTTACAGAAACGATGCGCAGAGGTTTTGGGGACCGCGCACTGCTTCTTGGCAGGCTTGACATGGCACGATCCCGAAGACCGGCACGAAAGCCATGCCTACCCTGCGTGAAACAGAACCCTAAACCCTAATCCCTAAACCCTAAACCCTAAACCCTAAACCCTTCTTTTGCCGCGACAAGGACTGGAACGTCTTGGACCGTTCCGAGGGCGCTCCAATCGGTGTCACTGTTGGAGACCGGCCCTTCTGAGCTGAATAGTATTTTAGGGTTTAGGGTTTAGGGTTTAGGGTCTAGGGTTTAGGGTTTCGGGTTTAGGGTTTAGGGTTTGGTAGTAGAGCATGTTCGCAATGCAGTAGTCTAGTAGCATAGTAGCAGAGCAATATCGTAGTGTAGCAACATAGAGATATGGCAAGGTGGAGTTCGTAAGTTTGGAATTTGCGCCAGTTTGCTTAGCAGTGATGCAAGGAACAAAGTGTTTTTCAGTCCTTACGAACGGTATGGTGTGCGTTGAGTAGCATGTATGCGTGTGTTTCTAGTATATATCAGTCGGATCGACAAAATATGTGCTCGTGTGCATAGAAATGATCAAATGACCGAACTGTGAGGCTTCACCAGTGCTAGCTGCTAGCATAAAATCGGGGATGTCTTCCCATGGGTGGGTGGCGTGAGGGCGAGGGGGGGGGGGGGTGTGAGCTAACCTATATATATATATATATTGTATATATATATATATATTGTGATATACTCATGGCATCGTAATATGGTAAGTAAATATAGCAACACAATATACATGTAGAGTCTATGTAGAAGTCGATGGGGCCGTTCACCGCCCCCTGCAGGATCTCCCTATCCATGTCGAACGTTAGAATGAGTCATCGATTGTAGAAATATCACAATATATACATATATATATATGTATATATATATATATATTTCTCGCTATTTTTGGTTATTGTTCTCTTTTGTTTACGTGATTCCGGTCAATTTTGTGGCGCAGCCAATTAGGCTGTGCGTGTTGTGAGTGTTTATCCAGAGACCAGGGGTCAATCGAATTTCCTCGAGGGCTCAACACCGCTACCGAGGCTCATCGCTCCTGCATGCCCTTTTTTGTCGCCCCCACCCGCCCCTGCATGTCGTTTGGATCCCGGCCTCCACTGAAACCAGGTTCCTGCAACTGGGCAACTTCCGCCTTGGGGACGCGGACGGCTCGCACATGCCCTTGATCTGGACGCATGACGGACACAAGCGGACGATTGAGGTTTACACGAATGCCGGTCATGTCGCCCACGACAACCAGAATTGGAACTACGTGCTGCACCGTCCCGTGGCCCCATGGACCTGCAAGGGCATTGCGGAGGTGTGGCTCATACATACGTATCTGGAGAGCAGGCTGCTCCTCTTCTGTATATATATATATACATGTACAGTTATTGTGACTATGAGTGTGTGAAGAATATGTTTATTCACATGAACATGAAGGTGAAGGTCTTCTATGAACTGTGGGTATGATTGTGCGTATGAGTATGAAGACTGATCGTCAAAAGGTACACACACATGGATATATATTATATATATATATGTATGCTACCCCCCCTCCCAATGCCCAAGACCAACCCCAACTCTAAACACATAGCTATTTTTGGAAGGTTTGTCTCCTATGGAGATGTAACTCTGGACAGATATGACGAAGGAAACATGCGTGTTACATATAATATCCTCTGAGATTTAATACTCCGGACTCCATAGAATTGTGGGAAAGCCTCGGGGCCTACTTTTTGTTATGTGTGAGTCGTCACGAATTAGTATAAAAGTGAGCTGTTGTCCCTTAAAATGCACATTTTTGCAGGGCTTGGCTCCTATGAGAACGCAAAGGAAATGTAGAAGTAGAGAAGTATGTATTGGGTATCAATTCCAGATACTGAAAACATCTTGTAATCCTGACACAAGACTACAGGCATTCGAGGGCATAGGGTGATGCGAAAAAGATCATTGCATCCAAGCCCGGGACGCGAGGATACTGTGAGCAAATATCCTTTCGCATCTTCGAGCTTAGAAATGCCTTTGTTCGTAGGCTTGCCTCCAATGGAATTTGCAAGAACTACCCACATCATGCATGTATATAGGGAAGAGGTACTGTAAACGAAAAACAGATACTGGAGAAGAAAGGTTGGCGCAAAACTTGGAAGTATTCGAGCGCATAGGGTGATGCGAGGAAATCAAGACTCACAAAACCCTAGACCCTAAACCCTAACCCTAAACCCCAAACCCTAAACCCTAAACCCTAAACCCTAAACCCACATAAGCCCTGCCCTCCCGCCGTTCCATATTCTACCAAGCTTTTGCATTCCCGAGGCGAGCCTCACAATCATAGGCATTTGACTAAGGAAATGCGACGAGAATTGGCTTAGGGTTTAGGGTTTAGGGTTTATTTAGGGTTTAGGGTTTAGGGTTTAGGGTGTAGGGTTCAGGGTTTAGGGTTTCCCAAGAGATGCCTATGCAAGTGCAAAGAAGGGGTAAGACAACTACACATGTCATGTATGTGTAGAAGGCATATTGGAGTATGTTCTGCGTATTTATTGAAAGAAAGTATGATAACAGCAGTTATTCGAGTAACCACAGAACAAAACAAACAAAAGCAGTTATTTTACTTCGAACATCCCCACCTTGCTCCTCGTTAAGAGGAAAGAGCGCAAATAAGATGTTCACACAAAAGACATTGATTCCAATACGCTTTCTTAGTTTTTGCTTGCAATTGGGGTTGGGCACTCCAGAGAGACTCTGGGGTTGGGCACTCCAGGGAGACTCGGGGGTTGGGCGCTCCAGGGAGTCTCTAGGAGCAGACCGGGCGAGGAGAAGAGTTCCGGGCGAGGAGAAGCACCGAAGGTGGTGAATACAAGCAACAATCTAAACTAAACAAACAACATGCAAAAAACGGGGACCCGGACATTGGGAAGTAGTCTCCCGCAATGTTTTTCTTTGTTTTTTGGGTTATGCATTTGTTGATCTGTTTCGATTTTGTTTTGGGGGAAACCGTGACCTGGATACCCAACCAAAAAACTCTTCCCCAAAACCCAAAACAATAAAAAACAAAAGCTGGCAACAGTATGACCCGGACCTGGGGCACTACGGGTTTAGGGTTTAGGGTTTTGGTTCTTTGGGGTTTTGAGGGAGCCCACTGTCTCCGGGGCACGTCTCCCCCAAAAGTTTAGGGTTTAGGGTTTCGGGTTTAGAGAAACTACGACCCGGACCTGGGGGACTAGCGTCCTATTGTTTTGTTGCTTTGGGTTTTTTTTGGTTTGGAGGGATTTTTTTTTGCCTCCGTCTCCAGGTCACAGTCCCTCCCAAAATCGAAGAAAACTTAAAAAAACAACAAAACCAAACAACAACAGAAAAATGAAGAACACAACAAAACCAACAAACGCCAAAAAACACATTATTTGTTTATTTGTTGACTTATTTATTGTTTGGTTTTTTGATCTTGGGAGAGACTGCGACCTGGAGACGGAGCCAAAAGCAACCCCTCCCAAACCAATAAACCAAAAAGACCAAAAAAGCCAAAAAAACAAAACAAACAAAAAAAGGCCAAACACAAATCCAAAAACATATAAAAAACAAAAACCCGAAAGGAAAAAAAGACAACCAAAAAGCAAATCCAAACTCTTGGGAGGCTAGTCCCCAGGTCCGGGGTCATAGTGTCCCATTTTTTTGGTTTTGGGAGAGACTGTGGCCCGGGCACAGTGGACTAGTTTCACACAATATTGATTCTGGGCTGTCTTTTGGTGTTTTTCAGTTTTTGAATAGTATATATCTGTACTACTGCTCTTTTTTTTTTTTTTGGGGGGGGGGGGGGGTGGGGGGGGGGGTTACCATATATATATATACACATATAAATACGTATATATATATATATATATACATACACGTAATTGTTGATTTATCCTAAGCCCTAAGCCCTAACCTAAATTATAAACTCTACACCCGTATATGTATGTATGTCTTGTCGCATGCATGCACATGCATGTATGCATGTATGTATATATGCGGGTGCTGGGGGGTGGCCCATGGACCCTAAACCCTAAACCCTAAACCCTAAACCCTAAACCCTAAACCCTAAACCCTAAACACTAAACCCCTAAACTTCAAACCCTACACCCGTATATGTATGTATGTATATATGGTGCTGGGAGGTGGCCCATGGAGTCTGCAATCCGAACTTCGGATCCTGGGGAGACCGCTTCGTGCAGATCGGCGACTGGCGCTTGGCAGCTCTCGATGCGCACCACTTCAGCATCTCCCACAAGAATGGCAACAACGCCCAAATCTACAAGAGCAATGGCTGCTTGGTTTAGGGTTTAGGGTTTAGGCTTTAGGGTTTAGGGTTTAGGGTTTAGGGCAGTTTAGGGTTCAGGGTTTAGGCAACAACGCCCAATTTACAAGAGATGGGTTCTTTTTAGAGTGCGGTTGCGCTTTTGGGATGGGCTGCGCCTTCGGGTCAAGGCCACCGCTACTCGGGACGCTGGAGTGACAGTGCCTGGCGCAGGCAGGAGGGACAAGGGCTTTCAGGGCTGGGCTGAAGCCTGGAAGCCTGCACAGCTGGGCCCGGTTTTAGGGTTTAGGGTTTAGGGTTTAGGGTTCTGAGAAGGTAGTGCTAGACTTGGCATGACGATCAATCCCCCCATGATCGCGGGAACCTCTGGTCTTAACCTGAGCAAAGCAGACATGGCGCGTTCAACCCACGTGACGTTGTGCTGATTGATTCCCACGCATCACGGTGCACAGTATATATGTGTATATATTATACACACACATATACATGTATATATTGATATATTTTATTATACTAAATTAAACTCTGTTATATTATACTATATTATATTATATTATATGATATGATATCATATTATATGATATGATATGATATGATATTATTGTATTATATACTAAATACATAAATAAGTAACTGAATATAAATAGATAGAAATAGATAGAAATAGATAGAAATAGATATAAATAGATATAAATAGATATAAATAGATATAAACAGATATAAATAGATATAAATAGATATAAATAGATATAGATACATGTATACCTATGTATATATATATATATATGTATTGATGAGAGAATTCGGTTTTCTGACTTCCGTAGGCCCATCGGCCTTCCCTCCGGCATCACCTTCGGGAGCGAGTTCATCCAGATCGGCAACTTCCGCCTGGCAGCGCTGGACCACAACCACATGAGCATCTCCCATCAGAATCTTAGGTATACGTGGGAACAATTCTTAGTTTCTGGGTACCATGATTCCTAAGAAACAGCTGAAACACATGCCTTCTCCCAGGGTTCCCAGTTCAGTGAAGGAATGGGCAGACTGCGCAGATCTTCCGAGGGCATGATGGCACCCTTCACCCAGGGCCGAGGACCGATTGGAATGCGTGGCAAGGACATTGGGGACGCAGTGCTGGTCCCGCCGGAGTGGGCTATGGGGATCGGTTCTTGCAAATTGGCAACTTCCGCATCGGGGTTGGGGACGGATCTTCGCAGCATTTGCTGCTGACCCACACCAACCCCGGGAATGGCAACAGCCAGACGATTCAAGTCTCTCGGCTGTCATGTGCAACACTTTCTCGTTTCGGCCCTCTTCCGTAAGCCTGACGTCCGCGATTTTCTCATGCCAGGTGTACAAATACGATGGCACGGTCCAGGGGCGCCAGCCGACTTGGACCACCCATTTGGTCCACCGACCCACACAGTGGCACTGTGGTGCCATCCAGACGCTTGTAGCTCATTGGGAAAGATTGTGGGGGGGCGCTCTCCTAAGAAGTCAACCCCAAACCCAAACCCTAAAACCCTAAACCCTAACCCTAAACCCCAAAACGCCACGTCGAGTCCCACACCAAACCACTTCTGGGTTGATATGGAACTAAGGAGCATCCTCGGATCTTGCCCAGGAATCACCACAGGTGATGGCCGCAGGGGGGGGGGGGGTCTTTGCCTTTAGCAGAAAGCCTTGACGGTTTAGGGTTTAGGGTTTAGGGTTTAGGGTTTAGGGTTTAGGGTTTAGGGATTAGGGTTGATCTAGACACGGCGAAGGAAGGTGCACCGCCAAGCCGCGTTCCCCAGCAACCCCCAGAAAGCGTGGAACGCATGTGAACGCGGCGCGGCTTCCCAATGACCAGCCTCCGGCTCCAACCCGAAACCCTAAACCCTAAACCCTAAACCCTAAACCCTAAACCCTAATCCCTAAACCCTAAACCCTAAACCCTAAACCCTAAACCAGGCCCCGGGTTCATCCAGTTTGGGGACTGGCGCCTGGCGGCGATTGACTGGTGGCACTTCTCCATCTCCCACCGCACCATCCACACATCTATGAGCTTCGGGCTGAACATTTAGGGTGCAGAGTGTGGAGTTTAGGGTTTAAAGGGTTTAAGGTTTAGGGTTTAGGGCTAGGGTTTAGGATCAGGGTTGAGGGTTTTGTAAGTAGCGGGTACGTTGCGAAGAAAAGAGCACCGGTGAGGTGAACCAGGTGATCTTGTCAATCATAAAAAGAGAGAGGCGCATACCACTCACTGAAAGGGGTGAGGTCAAGGTAAGAGAAAGAGATCACAAGGAGCGCGCGCGCACGCAGTGCTTTGAGCCCTGGCTTCTTGTCACAGTGGAGCCTCAAAAAGAAGCCTGACAGGATCTTCACTGCTGATGGGCATCACCACCCAGGATCGCGAAGGGATTGGAGCGGCTGGGGCCTTGAGCCCAGGCACGTGGCCGCCGGAGAGATGGGGGAAGTGAAGCTGGGAGATCGATTCATCCAGTTCGGAAAGTACTGGCGGATCGGCGAAGTGGATTCCAGGCACTTGCAGGGCCCTGTGTATTGGGGCAGTTTAGGGTTTGCTCTCCGTGTAAGGTTTGAATGTACCGTATTCATACAGTAAACATCGTCTACAAGGACAGACCTCCTGATAGCGAGGACCTCAATAAGGCAGCCCTGCGCTAGATCGCGAGATGCTAGGCACCACCCCTCTCCATCTCACCCTCTCGCCATCTCGCCTTTCAGCTGAGCTTTGCTCCTCTCTCCAGTCATTTACCAGTACCCCCTAAGCCCTAAACCCTAAACCCTAAACCCTAAACCCTAAACCCTAAACCCTAAACCCTAAACCCTAAACCCTAAACCCTAAACGGTTGCATTTCCAGGCATTTCTCCGTCTCTCATGTTCATGGCAAGACTTCCTACATCTACCGCGCAGATGGGCATCTGTTCGGGGGCCCCCGCACCGACTACAACCTCTGGTCTCGCAAGTACCTTACTGGCTCAAACCCCAACTTTTCAACTTTTGGGCCTCTTATAAGGTAGTCTATTCTGAAGGTTTCACAACTTCTACTTCCTTGGGTTTTGGGCCAGCAAGGTACACCGGCAAGCCTAAAGGCGTTTCCTTTGGGGATCGCTTCGTGCAGATCGGTAGCTTCCGAGTAGGAGCCGTTGATCATTGGCACTTCTCCGTGGCGCACATGGATGGCAAGACCGTTGAGATCCTAGGCAGGCCCTTGGGACATGTTGCGCCTTTTCCTTCTTTCTTTGGGTTGAAGAGGATCCTACTCAGGAATTATAATTTTTCAGAGGGTATGTTAGGGGCCATCCCAGGATCTACACCGGAGACGGGCATCGACATATGGGGAACGGACACCGCACCGACTGGACGACCTTTGGTCGTCCGCTGGCGGATTGCCAAGTTCTACCCGAGAGCAAGCAGCTCTTTACATCCAGCTCGCTGGTCGCCTTGTACAGCCCCGCGCACAAACGCTACCTGCAGCTGCACCTGGGATGCATGAGGTTCCAAGCAACCACAGCAGAAGCCAAACCCGAAGCCCTAAACTCCCAAACTCCAAAACCCAAACACCCTTTTGAGCCAAGGAACAAGCACACACAAGACATGGCAGCCACTGGCGTCATGGACGGGCCGGTGGATCTTCCCTACGGCATGGCCTTCGAGCGCTTCGCCGTCGTCGATGCGGGCAACGGGAACGTCGCGCTGCACAGCGCCCTCAGCAACCGCTTCATGAAGATGGCCGGGGACCAGATGACCGTCAGCCCAATCAAGGCCGGTACTCCTAGCTCCCCCCCAAAATTTGTGTCAGAACAAGAATTCCTTCGAGGTCGGTTGTTTTTTTTGGGGGGGCCGGAAGATACAAGTTTGATTTAGGAGAGACACATCTCAGGCGGCCAAGCACTTGCCGGCTGGTTGGGGCTCAGAGTTCTTTCGAGTCGTCGACGCAGGAGATGGAATGGTGGCACTCCACAACCCAGGCAACAACCGCTACGTCACCATGGAACCGAGTGGACATGTCAGAGCCAGCAGCCACCAACATGCCCACACGCTGCCTTCGGGGTGGTCATGGGAGCGCTTCTACATGGTGCCTGTGAAGAACTACCTTCAGCCAGGCACGATGGTGGCCCTGCATCCCGGACGGGGTTCAGAGGGATGTGAAGAGGGTTGTTAGTGGGCGTTTTGGGTTTATGCTCTTGGGGTACAGGAATCCCGGAGTGACAAGAGCCAAGGCACAATGCTGCTCACAACCGCTTCCTGCGCATGCACGGCCACTACATGGATGGCAGCGGCCACCACCACGCCGCCCTCCCCGATGGCTGGACGTGGGAGCGATTCAGAGTGGTGGATGCAGGCAACGGCATGATTGCATTGTACAACCGCATCCACAATCGCTACGTGAAGATGGGCTGGGACGGACATCGTCATACAGTGAGTTGCAGTCCGCATCCGCCCACGGATGCTCGGATGCAGCAGTTTGTTCCCCAACACTACAAACCCCGAGCCCCCGCACAACAGGGCGTGGAGACCAAGGATGGTCGGTCCCTACTAGGAGCTGGGTTCCATAGGCCGACATGGCAGCATACGGGACTGTGCCAGAAGTCAAAAATAGCAAGAGAAGTACAAGTAGCAAGTAGTCTAATCGCCTGCCAGTCAAAATCGCCTAGCAGTCAAAGCCGTCATGATGAATTGGCTAGGGCTGAGGGGTTTCGGGTTTCGGGTTGAGGGTTTAGGGTTTCGGGGGTTGAGGGTTTAGGGTTTAGGGTTCATGGACTTCCAAGGGCAGCAGCGAGCTCCCAAATGGCTGGGGCTCTGAGAGCTTCGTGCCCGTTCCGATCAATGCAGCGCACAACGACGTCGCGCTTTGGCATCCGGACCACCATCGCGCCTCGTCTCCCGCTGAGCTTAGGGTTTAGGGTTTAGGGTTTGGGGTTTAGGGTTTAGGGTTTAGGGCTTAGGGTTTGAGGGTTTAGGGTTGAGTTTTTTGGGGCTTTTTCTCAAGCAGGTGGCAACAAAGGCTTGAGTCGTGAGCCTGGACCCTGTAAACCCTGCCTTGGTGACAGGTGCGCTCACACTGAATGGCAACAGAGTCGAGGCGAGTCAGCACCACGTAGCCGCCCAGGACAGCATGGACAGCAGGTTGTCAAGATGGGTTTAGGGTTTAGGGTTGAGGGTTCAGGGTTTTGGGTTTCGGGTTTAGGGTTTAGGGTTTGCCACTCCCCGGGACTTGGCTTCGGACCGAAGAGTGAGAAAGCATCAGATCGCAGGGTTTTCTGAAGAAGCCCCCCCCCCCCTGCCAGGACATGAACGTCCACTGGACCTGGCAGACCTTCCGGGTGCTAGTGTTGCCTGACCCAAAGACCTAAGGCGCAGAGTGGGAGAGTGGGCAAGATGCACTTTGGCCCAGTTTCGATGGAGAGGTGTGTGAGCGTCCGCGCCGTGTTGGCGGACACAACCGAAGGGTACCTTCTGCAGGCCGAAGGTCTCAAAAACCGAGGGGGCATCTTCAAAGCCCTTTGCAGGCCAAAGGCCTCACACCTCGCACCGATCCGTCTGCTCGGCTGCGAGAAAAAGACCGCCGAGAGCTTCGGAGTCCGAGGCACCTCCCAGCCTACTCTAGCTCGGGGAGAGGTTTTGACATATTTTAGAGTTTAGAGGGGGAGAAGTAGGAACTTCTTTTAGGGTTTAGGCTTGGGGAGAAAGAAATATTTTCGGGTTTAGGGCTTTAAGGGTTAAGAAGTCCTGGCAACCATCCTGAACCCCTTTGACTCCGGTAATCCTGATAGACGACTATGGAATCTTGCCGGCTTTGACCCTAAACCTAAGCCCTAAGCCCTAAACCCTCAACCCAAAACTGAGTGAGCCCAGGGCTGTCGAGCAGGGCGAACGCACCGAAGCCGGCAGGCGAGGGAGCTCGGAGCCATAAGCCCTCCGGCTGGCGACGGAGCTCTCAGTCCCGTAGGCTGCGTGGGGGACCCGGCAGGTCGCTGGCGAGTAACCCGTCAGGCGCCACCCAAACCTTCGGGCAAACCCTAAACCCGAAACCCTAAACCCTAAACCCTAAACCCTAAACCCTAAACCCTAAACCCTAAACCCTAAACCCTAAACCCTAAACCCTAAACCCTAAACCCTAAACCCTAAACCCTAAACCCTAAACCCTAAACCCTAAACCCTAGCCTAAACCCTAAACCCTAAACCCTAAACCCTAAACCCTAAACCCTAAACCCTAAACCCTAAACCCTAAACCCTAAACCCTAAACCCTAAACCCCACTCGGGCCATGGCTGCGTTCCTGGATCAGGGGGCTGCCAGGTCCAGGCAAGGCATAGGGTTTAGGGTTTAGGGTTTAGGGTTTGGGGTTTAGGGTTTAGGCTTTGGGGTTTGGGGTTTAGGGTTTAGGGTTTTCCAAACAAGCAGGGGTCTGGGTTTCAAGGCAGAGTCCCCGTCCAGGCAGTTTCAAGCAGGTTTTCCAAATCCCCAACAAGGATGCAGCATTGCCAAGGGCGAAGGGCAGCCAGCCCCCAATCCCAAACCTTTGGCTTTTTGTTCCTGCACATGGCTGCTGTGTGACCTACTTCGCTGTCACACCCCGCTAGCAAGGAAACCCTAATCCCGCAAAGGTCAAAGCGAGGGCGGAGCGCAAGCGGGGCGGGGCTCCACAAGTCGGGGCGCGTGCCTGGGTGCTTTTAGCACCAGCGCGCCCCCTCAGATGAGACACCCTAAACCCTAAACCCTAAACTCGAAGCCCTAAAACCCGAAACCCTAAACCCTAAACCCTCAGCCCTAAGCCCTAAGCCCTAAACCTCTCTCCGCAGTCTCAAATGAAGCTGCGCCCCGGTGCCTACCTCGCCCCGGTGCGACGATGGTGACCGTCTTGGCTGTGCTCAAGCTCCCGCTGGCCGTGCTTTGGGCCAGCTTGGGCATCTCGAGCTCCTTTGTCATGGTGGGGTAAGATTTTGCGTCGTTAAGGGTGCTTAAGCTCGACAAGGAATAGAAATTTAAGTTTCTTAAAAACCATCCCAACCATGCACTAGGCTCGCTCAAGCTGTCATTGTCATCTTCCGTCAACGCCAGCTCCTACTCGAAGCTGTCCTCGGGGAGCAATGCGAGCACCCGGCTCTTCCACTATGGCTCCACGGTGGCCATCTTCAACCCGCTACACAAGCGCTACGTGCAAATGCCCCTCGTTTGTTTTTCACCGTTCGCTTTTTTGAAGGTTTAGGTACCCATCAGAATTGCGACCCTTTGTGCTGAGTCGGTGCTAGATTTTGACCATAGAAGCTCACGGGATCTGCGCGCCGGCGCGTCTGAGGAACAAGCATCACCAAACTATGAGCTCCACCGGCGTCCACCATGATGGGGATCTGTCGCTGCCGATGCATTGGACGTACGAGCGCTTTACCCTCGTGGATGCTGGCCATGGAAGGGTGGCTCTTCACAACACGCTCAGCAACCGCTTCATCAAAATGGCCGGCGACCATGTCACCATCAGTCCAATCAAGGCCCGGCAAAAGCCTGAGACAGCCTGAGGCTAGATTCTGCAAGGCGCTCATCGGTCAGGTCACGCAAGCAAGCCTCCGAGAGCTTGCGAAGTTATCTTGCCTAAAGCGGGAGCTTCCATCTAGGGGTGTGGAGGGGGCGGGGGTTGCCACGAAATGACGTATCGCGGGCGATTCCGCACTTTACGGTTAGTTTGAGATCTCATTTCTGATTAAGAACACCCGTTTGGTTGCGCATGCCCTTAGGGCCTCCCCACCCTTGCGCCCCACCCGCCCACTTTATAGTGCAGGTTTTGCACATGACGCTATGTATATGTACTGTGTTACTCAAATGTTCGAAGATGCTTTGATATTGCATCGTCATTTGGTGTATATGGTGAATTATTTGGGATGTGTTTGCTATTTAGTTACCAATCTATTCTGTCTGTTTCCTTTTGATGACATGCTCAGAGTGTAACTGCTAGGCGACATGCAGACTTAGTTCAGGTCATGCATAAATACATCGCCATTGTGTACATGATATGCTGTCATGAGTTTTGGGTTGTCTGCACGGTTCTGTTATACAGTTCCATTATGTACGTTGTACGCGCAAGGTGTTATGGTGTATTGTCATCAGAAAACAAGGTGACGTAGGTTGCTTTATGGAACGTTCCGCTTACACAAGCCTTGAGAAAGGCCTTGGCATATCCCACTATGTTCAAACTACCAGAATCTGCCGAACTGTGTTTCGATAACAACGCGGTTATGCAAGATGTTGCGCGTTTGTACGGAAACCAGGCTGATTATACGCATACAAAAGAACATCGCACAAACTGAGTTAGACAAAGACATGTGATTAAGAACACATAGAAGTTTGATAACAAAGACAAAAGAAGAAGCTAAGACCATGACCTTCAAGAATGAACACAGTTCCCACGAAACAAGCTCTAGATTGATGTGAGTTGCAATTTCGCAAACATATTTATCGTTGGTGTCTTGACAACCACTGTAATTCTTCCCTGCGCTCGGTGTGGGGCTGACTGATTCTGACTCAGTGATGATCCTCGCCCAGATCTCCTGTGCCAACATCCCTCGGGAGTTTCGAGAGTCTGAGCATGCTTTCAACTCATGGCGCGGTTGGAAATATCCCTAAACCCTAAACCCTAAACCCTAAACCCTAAACCCTAAACCCTAAACCCTAAACCCTAAACCCTCAACCCTAAACCCTGGAATCCCTAAACCCTGGAATCCCTAAACACTGGAATCCCTGCAAGAGCTTTCGCCTCAGTCCCTCACGCCCCAGGAGGGGCTTGGTAGAGCATACTTTTCTGAAGGGTTTAGGGTTTAGGGTTTAGGAGTTTTGGGAGGCCAGCAACCACCTCCCACATGACTGGGGTTCCGAGTTCTTCGAGGTCGTCGATGCAGGACATGGCATGGTCGGGCTTCACCAGCCGGGCAACAACCGCTACATTTCCATGAGACCGGATGGACATCTTTATGGCCAGCTGTCTGCCATTAGTGCAAGAAGAGTGCCCCAAGCCGAAGCCCTGAAGCTAAAGTGGCTGTTGCACCGCGAATTCAAAACCCAGAGCCCCTAAACCCTAAACCCTAAACCCTAAACCCTAAACCCTAAACCCTAAACCCTAAACCCTAAACCCTAAACCCTAAACCCTAAACCCTAAACCCTAAACCCTAAGCCCTAAACCCTAAACCCTAAACCCTAAACCTTAACCCTAAACCCTAAACCCTAAACCCTCAACCCTAAACCCTAAACCCTCAACCCTAAACCCTAAACCCTAAACCCAGAGCCCCCACAGTCTGAGGCAGTCCCCACCATGGCAGCGACCATGTGCCCCATGGTTGGACCTGGCAGAAGTTCTTTCTCGTGCCCGCAAGGCCTTACCTCGTACCCGGGTCCGTTGTGGCCCTGCACCTGAACTCAGCTGGGACCACTGTTTGGTTTTCTGGCCTAGGGGGGATCATAGCTGCTTTGGGAGTTGCACGAAACGCTCTGAAGTTCAGGTACAACAGGCCCGCCAATCGCTTCCTCCGCATGCACAGCACTTTCATGGACGGCAGTGGCCACCCACCCCATCCCCCCAACTTTCCCGAGAATTGGGGCTGGGAGAGGTTCAAAGTGGTGGATGCCGGCTTCTTATCCTCCATAGCAAAAGTAGGAGTGTTTTTCCCCTTTTTGCACCTTTTGTGGCTTAAAGGTTGCGCGCAGTGTGCGCACTAGAACATGTTCAGGCTTTGGCAGGATTGCGCTGCACAGCCACTCCTGGCATCGCTTCGTGAAGATGGACCACCACTCGGTGACCGTCAGCCCGCACTCTGACACTGGGCTCAGGGTTTGAAGCGCGCGTACAGGGTTTAAGGCCTCAAAGGGTGACGAAACCGCTCTAACATCCTAGAATACCCTGTACCAACTTGCTCTGCCCAGGATGGCAACCCTAAACCCTAAACCCTAAGCCCTACACCCTAAGCCCTAAACCCTGAACCCTAAACCCAAAAACCCTAAACCCCTAAACTGGCTCCGCCCAGGATGGCAGCCATTGGCCCCAGGGTTGGCACTCCGAAGCCTTTGTTCCCATTCCCATCGACCCACGCCACAACAAGATCGTGCTCTGGCACCCCGACTTCGGGCGCTTTTTGGCTCAAATTTTAGGGTTTAGGGTTTAGGGTTTAGGGGGCAACCCTGAGCCCTGGGCCTTAAGCCCTAAACCTACCCAAACCCTTAAACCCTAAACCCTAAGCCTTAAGCTCTAAGCTCCAGGCCCTAACCCGAAACTCCGAAACCCTGAGCAAGACAGCAAGAGCTCCCCGTGGAAACGCTCTCGCCGTGAAGCTAAGATTGCATCAAGCAGCACGGTCACACCGTCATTCGCAGCCCGCACATCAACGCCCAGGACCGGAGGGCAAATGCGTAGCTGAGCTTAAGCGGACAGGTTTCTTTTTCTCGCAGCACTGAAATGCGCTTAGCCCACCACGAGCTCAAGTTATGCACTCTTCGCTGCCCTAAACCCTAAACCCACATCTTCCAGGACGTGCCGCACTCGTGGGCATCAGAGATTTACGAGGTCGTGACGCTCTCAGACCCCCCAGCGGCCTAGTTGGCATGCGGAGTCAATTGGAGCGGCGGCTGAAAGGCAAAACAAGCTCGCCTCACTCAGGTAGGAACTGCACACGGGACAGGCGATTTTGGGCTGGGATGCAATCTACGGCTGAGGATCATGCAGAGTTTGGGACGCCACAACAGCTTCAGTGTGAGCTTCTTCAGTCGGCACGTCTTCTTGAACACGTTCATAAAGCTCCCGGTCCGTCGAGTGCGGAAAATGGACCGTCCCAGGTAGTACGCCCCCCTTGTGCCTTCAAAGCCAGCATGATCGCGTGGTGCAAGCCCAAGCTAACACTTTAAAAAAAAAAAAAAAACTGTGGTCGCACGGCACATGTGGGGCCCTTTTGAAAATTTGTGGTGCTTTACTGTAACTTTAGATCTTTAGCCTTTTTGGGCTTGTTGGGTTTATTAACAAGGCAGCTAAAAATCACGAAAGCTAGCCCCCGAGGAGCTAGCGGAGTATCTTACTTAAGCGAAGCTTACAACCTGAAGGGTATATAGGGTCCCCGGAGGCTCCGCCACGAAACCCAGCAAACCCGGTCGGTTTCCAAGCGGCGACCACAGGTTTTGGGGAAACGGGCTGGCGTTCATTTCTTTCGTATATGGGTGCAAATGAACGCCGTTTTCTGTGGATCCCAGGCCCTCGAAAACCTTTCCAAGTCTTAAGAAAAGACTCAGAAGCCCTGATGTTGATGTGAGTCTGGCGTCCCTCAAAGCTGGATTGGACAGACTTTCATGATGCTCGCGCAACTAGCTTTCGTCCCAGGCCCTCACCCTCAAGTTTAATTTATAGCTACCCTCCTAAGTGCAGCCAAGGAAGGAGAGAGGGTTCATTTGCACATCGTCAGGATGACTCCAGGTCTTCGCTTCATACAAAAATCGCATGGTCTGGGGAGTTTTCCAAAATGGTTCTCCAGGTGCTGCACAGTTTTTTTGTTTTTTTTACGTAAGCTTGTTTTTGCCAGCCGCAAATCCATCAGCCCTATGCATGAATGCGCAAGAGTTAAGTTTTTCAATGTGTGCGAATGTCGTTGGCGAGAGAAACATTTCGGTTTTGTTGCAGGGCAGAGACTAGTATGAATGACGAGGTTTCACGGCAAGACAAGAAGAGGAAAAAATGACCCGCACAGAATGTTTTTGCCACATGTTTCTGTTAAATTGCTTGCATGGCATGACAAGCATTCCGCAGCATGCATGGCTCCTGAGGAAGCGCCTTGTTGTTCTTTTGCTTGCACAAAATGTTCGCTTTGGGGGATCGTGTCAGCTTCCATCGCGAGAAGGCCGGAAAGCATGGTAATGCACAAATGTTTTCCACATCACTGAACATTGGCGCTGCTACCTACCGGCTTTGCTATTGTTGTTGTTGCAAGTTGTGTTAGCTCTCTGCAGCTCTGTACATCCTATAGAGTATGCGAAACCTTGTTCAGCGATATTCAAGGTTTATGCGAAGACCTTGTGCTCAAGGGTTTATGACCCGCATATAGCATAACCCCGAGCCACATTTACTCAGTATTGCACTATATGGTCAGAAACAGAAGGGTTTAGGGTTTAGGGTTTAGGGCTGTGGGGGGGGGGGGGGGGGGGGGGCGGGGGCCGGGGGTCAGAACACTCCAGCGGCTTCTTTGTGGATGTTGCCCGAAGCATAGATTGCCAAGTGCCACATTCTCGTGCAAGATGGCAGTAGCTTGTACACACAATTGCTGGTTTGCTACACAGGGATGCAGGTTTGTGGAAGAGTGCCTGTAGCATATGTTTGCGGCAATGGTGCCGAAGAATGATTGCCACTCGCGCCCTTGTTGTTGTGGTTATTGTTTTGTAGAGCTGTGATTTTTCCAATCAACTATGTTACTAATCTTCTGAATTCGACGACGGTCCTTGCTATATGTGCTGCTGCACGTTTACGACGTTACTCCTACAAAGGCTCTCGATGCAATTCTTTGCCTGTGGACCCCCTTTTTCAGTTTAAGCCCTAAACACCTACATCTTAACCCTAACCCCTAAACCCTAACCCCTCTTAAACCCTAAAATCTACATCCTGAACCCGAAAGCCTAAACCCTAAGCCTTCAAGACTCCTTCGCAAGTGCCTCGAGCCCTATACCCTAAACCCTAAACCCCAGACCCTAAACCCTAAACCCTAAACCCCAAACCCCAAACCCTAAACCCTACAGGCTCCCTTGATCGGTACCATTCGCTTCATCGGGCCGACCGGCTTCGCTGCTGGCGAAGCTCGGCTCTGGTTTGTGGGGGTTCGGCGCTTTTTTGGGGCCCTTTAGGGTTTCGGGTTTAGGGTTTAGGGTTTAGGGGATGAGGGTTTCTGGGGGTTTGGGGTCTAAGGACGATAGCCCTTTAGGGGATGAGAGTTTCTGGGGGTTGGGGTTTAAGGGGGTTGTGCTAAGAGGCTTATGGAGTCTGGCGGGTTTAGAGGCTCGCGTTTTGGTTGATGCCAGAAGAAGGTTGCTGACCCTGATAGAAGTTGCAGAAGGAAGGTGAACAGCTCCTTACCAGGGATTATAATAGGGCATATTATAATCTTTATTAAGGACTGTTTCTAGTGATTGTAATAAGGGATACTATAATCCCCATTAAGTGGAGCAGGGAGAGGCAATAGGAACTTCACGGTGTTGATGCAGGAATGGTTTTTTCAGGAGGATTGGGGTCTCTTAGCTTTTTGGCAGTGGAAGGCTCCCGTAGGCCCCGGTAGGCCTCGTCTTCTGAGCTCTGCGGCAGCCGGAGTCGGCGTTCGAGTTGCATGGGTACGTATACGTAGAGGGATACGTCGGATAACTATGGTGGCCTTGTTGAGGGTACTTAGAACCCGACGTATAAGTACAGATATCCTCATTCCAAACCCAAAGCTGACCCAAAATATCCCAGCTGGCCCTCAATACTAAAGCCAAGCCCTCAGTTCTAAGCCACAAACCATCAACCCTCAAACCAAAACACGAGAACTCTAGATTGTTGCAGACGTTGTCTGAAGACGCCCCAGGAGTGGTTGGGCCTGGAGTTGGATACCAAGGCATAGGAAGGACTAAGGGTTGAGGGTTTATGGTTGGATATTCTACGCTAGGCATTGCTCAAACAGAGGTCTGTCATCGCGTTTAGTGGCCTGGAATAGCTGCAGATAATACATACGTTTCCGTGTCGTTTATTTGTTCCCCAGAGCACTGCCTTGGGAAATGACAGCTTCATTCTCGGCAGTTTAAAGTACGCGTGTATTGTCAGAGCCATGCTGGGGTTTGCGGTTACCGACGTTCAGCTGCTGCGTTCCATCGTTGACTGAAGAGATCTCCCCGGTGTTGAGCCTTGTTTGCGTGGCGTACGGTGTACGTCTGCTAAATGTTACCTCACTCTCTTGGATTTTGGGGTCGGGAAGATGTTGCAAGAAAAGTTTGCTTGCCGGCTGTGTCTTCTGCCCTTGCTTGGCTTGCCATTTGAAGCTCTTCCGCCATGCTTAGTTTGAGGCCATGAAACATATATTCTTTGTGGAGATACTGCTGCTATTGTATGCCCATTATGACCTTGGTGGCTGGTGTTGAGATTTGCACATGCATCCACACCTCCTGGTGGTTGGTGGCTCGGTGTGAAAATTCCACTGGCCAGGCAGGGCTAAACAACGGCACCGTGAAGGGAAAGCCCTATTTCCAGTGCAAGCCAGGGCAGCCCGCCACATTTATCTTGAATCGGAGGGATGCTGCAAAGAGGACTCCAGCTTAGATCAAGTGAACCAAGAGAGACTCATATCACAACTTGACAATCACAATACAAGCATGGCCGGTTGAGCGTCCAACCTTGGCTGAGTGATGTTGCGTGTGCGCTTTGGAGCTCTTGGCAGGTACGGGCTTTTTGTCCGTCCAAACATCCATGCCATATCCAAGGTAGAAGTGTGGGTCTGAGCTCGAGCGGCATTTGTTGAGCTACATGGAAGGCTGGTAAGGCTAGTACATGCTGTGCAGATAAGGATGGGCATGTCAGCGAGAATAACAAAGAGGGGGTTGCCGAAGGTCTGGTGTTTGCTAGTTTGCAAGAGTTTTCGGAATCGTTGCTAGGCTTTAACTTAACATCCGAAAGAATTTACTTTGACACTAACTAATGGGGGTAAAGCCAGTTTGTGCAATGCGTTTCGAACGCACATCCAATGAGCCCTCCCAAACTTAGGCCCTATGTGCACCCTTAAAGGCCCTTCAAAACCCAACGGAGCTCCACAGCCCCCTCTGAGGCCCCTGAGCCTGCAGCGACCAAGGGCTTGAAGCCTTGGGGTCTGGGGGCGGGCAGGGCTTGAATTGCTTGCGGGTGTGTGTTTCGTACCCTGTGTTGTCGTTGTTATTTTTTTTTTGTTTGTGTGTCTCGGTCGTGTAGTGTTGTGGTTGCTTTTGCAAGCGGCGGCAACATGGTACCCGTTTTTTCTTGGTTTTCTTGCGGGTGGGTGGGGCGGGGGGCGGGGGCGGTGGGGGGTTGGTTCCGTCAGTGCTGACCTAAATCCTTTTCGGAGAGGTGGTTTCTCTTGAAAGGGAGTGGGATTTGCTCGAAGCCCAAAGCAGTGTAAGCCAAAACTCCTAAGCCGTACACCCTAAACCCGTGAACCCAAGGGCAGAAAGCAGTGCAACAGCCGTGCTATCCTAAACTCCCACAGCAGTGCAATCCAAAGCAGCGCTTATGACACCCACCACCCCATTCCCTGCACAACTGCTTCCCTGCCGTGTTCTCTCGAAGACCAGGTGCTCTTGCGGTGTTTTCGGTTTTTGGGGTGCACTTACGCTGCAAATTACGTCACAAAAGGGCAAAGATTTGTTTGTCAAGAATGGCAGAGCCGTTGCAAAGCTTTGACCCCGGCAACTCGACAGGAAGGCGCACCCAAAAAGGTTCTCTGAGTGCACTGCCCTGAACTCCCAACCAACAAAGTGACCCGAGCATCTTGCAAAACATAAACCAAACATTTTGCAACAACACCCTCACAAATCGGCGTTGTTTTTATGCAGCCAAAAAATCATTGTACCTCGGGGGAAGCGCTTACTTTCAATCAAAATTTGCTACTTCATCAGGGGTTTGTGTGGCTGCTATAGCGACCCCAGCAACGGCCAACGACAAGGCAGGATGTTGTCAGGTGGGCGCTTGAGCTCGGAGTCAAATGGCGTAATGTCGTAGGCCGTAGACTTCTCACCGCAGCTTTCAGAGATGGCAGTTGGGGCTGTTAGCATTCATGGGCTGCGCGAGCCATGCGGGAACCCATGCTGCCTGCCCTTGATGCAGGTTTTTCTCGTCTTGCTTGCCACCCTCTTGCAGTTTAGGCTCGCTGTGGCAAGTTAGACCAACCTTGGAATTCAACAGCTTCAAACGCGAAAAACGATGCGCAAGATGCTCGTGTCCAGGTCGTAAGGTGCAGTGTCCTGCGTTGCAGGTTTTTGACGCAGAGGCTCTATGAAAGACTAAGACGACCTGTCCTCAGAGCGCGCATCTCGCTGAAGTTCGGTTCTTCTTGGGAAGACCAAGGCTTGCACGTCTCGCGAAGGAAGACATGTTTGCGGAACTGCCATCCTTAGACCTGGGATCGCGAGAACTCTACCCTCAAACCCTGAAACCCTAAACCCTAAACCCTACACCCTAAACCCTAAACTCTAAACTCTAAACTCTAAACCCTAAACCCTAACACCCGAAGCCCTAAACCCCTACAAGGCGTTTCAAGTCGGGTTCGTAGACGTTGAGCCGGTGAGTGCATCCACGGATTCTTGCTAAGGCTATCCCAGGCCAGGTCACGGAAGACATATATACAAGGACTAGACTCCCTGCGCCCTACGAGCACCCCGGTCAAGTCTCGCCGCGATGTCCTTCTGGCAGGCTTTGACTACGGCTCATTGTTAGAAGTGCCCGGGGGATCAGTCAAGATCAGTGCTACCTTGTACCCCTAAACCCTAAACCCTAAACCCTAAACCCTAAACCCTAAACCCTAAACCCTAAACCCTAAACCCTAAACCCTAAACCCTAAACCCTAAACCCTAAACCCTAAACCCTAAACCCTAAACCCTAAACCCTAAACCCTAAACCCTAAACCCTAAACCCTAAACCCTAAACCCTAAACCCTAAACCCCTAAACTAACCCCCTAAACCCTTAACCCTTAACCCTTAACCCTTAACCCTTAACCTTAACCCTTAACCCTTAACCCTTAACCCTTAACCCTTAACCCTTAACCCTTAACCCTTAACCCTTAACCCTTAACCCTTAAACCCTAAACCCTAAACCCTAAGCCCTAAACCTTAACCGTAAACCGTAAACTCTAAACCCTAAACCCTAAACCCCTAAACCCCTAATTGGGTCAGACATCTTCGGATGGCAGCTGCGACCCGTCCTCTGCCTTGAGAAGGCGCAAAGGTTCGCTGTCAACGCTGAGAAGAACATCTGAGGGCTTGTGAAGAGCAAAAAAATGGCGCCCTGATTATTTTGCCCTGTTTTGTGCGGTTTTCAGGAGTCACCAGCAGAAGCTTTTGTTCTGAAACCTGGAGGGCCAAGGTGCGTGCTTACCTGCGAAGGCCATCGATATCTCCTAACATGCCTGTTGAATGAGTTCACATCTGGTTGAACCCTTTCTGCTTGCTGAAAGCGTTCAAAGAGGTCTGCCGCTGCACCGGCGGCCTTCTCTCTCGGTGCACGTGTGCTGTCTGTGTCTCCGTGTGCACGGAAACAACGATCTTCGATGTTGGGCCAGCCCTGGAACCCCTAGAATCGGGAACCTTTCTGCGTGTCTCTAGACGAGCTCAGAGGACAGTTTCTCTTCCTAATTTCAGGTCTTTTCAAGATCCGTAGACCCCTGGCTGTTTCCGATGTGAAAAGCAGGAGGGTGCCGCTTGAGCCAATTCCTGAGAGGAGCATCAATTAAAAACCCGAAGCCCCAGACTCCAGTCGCCGTATCTAGACTGTCGCTCTTTAAGTGAAAAGACGTATTCCGCAGGTCCGCGGACAGCGTTTTTGGCCATAACTCCCGGCAATTGCTGAGCCAGAACCCTAAGCCCTAAACCCGAAACCTCTAAGCCCTAAACCCTAAACCTCTACACCCTAAACTGTCCTGAAAGTTGGTTTTCCGGGCAACGTCCTGGTACGGATTCCGGTACTTCCATCTGTTCATGTCCAGGACTCGGGATGCGGATGTTACGCGGCCACGCTTTCTGATCTGGTGCGCGCGCGCGTGTCGGTGTCGGTGTCGGTGTCGGTGTCGGTGTCGGTGTCGGTGTCGGTGTCGGTGTCGGTGTCGGTGTCGGTGTCGGTGTCGGTGTCGGTGTCGGTGTCGGTGTCGGTGTCGGTGTCGGTGTCGGTGTCGGTGTCGGTGTCGGTGTCGGTGTCGGTGTCGGTGTCGGTGTCGGTGTCGGTGTCGGTGTCGGTGTCGGTGTCGGTGTCGGTGTCGGTGTCGGTGTCGGTGTCGGTGTCGGTGTCGGTGTCGGTGTCGGTGTCGGTGTCGGTGTCGGTGTCGGTGTCGGTGTCGGTGTCGGTGTCGGTGTCGGTGTCGGTGTCGGTGTCGGTGGCGGTGTCGGTGTCGGTGTCGGTGTCGGTGTCGGTGTCGGTGTCGGTGTCGGTGTCGGTGTCGGTGTCGGTGTCGGTGTCGGTGTCGGTGTCGGTGTCGGTGTCGGTGTCGGTGTCGGTGTCGGTGTCGTGTGTGTGTGTGTGTGTGTGTGTGTGTGTGTGTGTGTGTGTGTGTGTGTGTGTGTTTGTTTAGTGTTTAGTGTTTAGGGTTTAGTGTTTAGGGTTTAGGGTTTAGGGGTTTAGGGGTTAGGGGTTTAGGGGTTTAGGGGTGTAGGGGTTTAGGGGTGTAGGGGTTTAGGGGTTTTGGGTTTAGGGGTTTAGGGTTTAGGGGGTTATCTCTGTTTGTGTCTAAGGTGGCGTGAGGGGAGCGTCATGCTGTTGGAGTGCTTCTTGCAAGCCTCTGAGCGAGCGTGAGTCGGCGAATTCATGCAGCGAACCCATTGCAAGTGCCAAAGTACCAAAGGGTTTAGGGTTTAGGGTTTGGGGTTTTGGGTTTGGGGTTTAGGGTTTAGTACCAAAGTAGGCTGCTCAGCTCGGGCTTTCTGTGTTGCCGTCGTCGCTCTAGAGTCTTTGAAAAAGCGTCCGAGCCATGTGTGAGCCGAAGATCTGCGAGAACACGTCGCCCTCCTCCGTCGCTCGCCACGCTCTCGTGGAGGAGGAGGAGCAGGATCTCCCTCTTTCTCTGAGCGAGGGCGAGCTCTTCATGGAGCCCGGCCTCCGCGACATCGAGTGCCGCATCCGCGCCGTGGAGCAGCGGTGCAACTTCAAAGTGGCATCGCAACGGAGGATGGCACGTATGGGGGGTTTCCGAACATAGGGGGTACCGAATTCGGGGGGGGTGTCCCTTTAAGGGGTTCCATTCTCTTTTTTGGGGTTCAACGGGGGACCCCCTTTTTTGGGAAGCAGCCATTTGGGTTTGGGGGGCACATATAGGGTTAAGGGCTACTAAAAAGTCCACGATGTTTTGTGTGCCATGGCAGATGGGCAAATCTACTGCAGGATCACTGCGATGTTGCAGCTGCTTGTGGAAGACCATGCGCGGCTCATGGACATGCTTCCTGCGTCCCAATGCGCCAGTAAGCTTCCTTGGCCTTCACTAGTACTTGGAGGTTCAAGGTATGTGTTAAGGGGCTTATGAGTGGGTTATAGCTGCACTTGTAGTTGGGTTATAAGTACACCGAACCTCCAAGTAGTACCTTTTTCTCTTGCGGCTTTGCCCCACTTGGGTGGCTGTCAGTCTCTGTGTGTGAAGCCAAGAGGAGGGTTTAGGGTTTAGGGTTTAGGGTTTAGGGTTTAGGGTTTAGGGTTTAGGGTTTAGGGGTTGCCCGGGGTGCCGAGGAAGCTGCGCTGCTCGTCCCTACCCGTCCAGCCGCGCGCGGGCACCAACAGCTCCGCCAAGAGCCTGCGGGCCGAGGAGGGCAACAGGCTTCTGATGCTTGGTAGCCCAGTGGTGCGCTTTACTCTTTTTTTTGGGTTATGGGTTCCCTTATAAGTAACCAACCCCAAAAAAGGTGTGCCCTTATTACCCTTTCTTTTTGGGTTATGGGTTCCCTTATAAAAGAAACCAACCCCAAAAAAGGTGTGCCCTTCTTGTAATGTGGTTCCTGGGCTGCCAAGGATGGATTCCCAGCCGCCGCCTCCCAGGCCTCCCAGGAGCTTTGTCAAAGTTGGGTAACATTTTTACATTGTCAAGGGTACTTAAACCCAGTAAGGAATATAGACATAGTTTGTTGAGGGTACTTAAACCCAGAAAGGAATATAAATTAAACTTTTCATGTTATCCCAGCCATGAACTAGCAAGCCTTCAACCCTCAACCCTCAACCCTCAACCCTCAACCCTCAACCCTCAACCCTCAACCCTAAACCCTAAACCCCAAACCATGAACTAGAGGAGGAGCACGACGACCTTTCCCATGAAGGTGCTGCCGGAGGGAGAGCCGGAAGTGATGGGCTGCAAGACCAGCGGCTCAAGAGGCGGAAGCCTGAAACCCTAAACCCTAAACCCTAAACCCTAAACCCCAAACCCTAAACCCCAAACCCCAAACCCTGAGGCGAAGCCTTGTCCGTGAAGGAGGTCCTGGCCCGCCAGGCGGCCCAAGCGGCCCAACTGTCCAGCCACGCTTTCGGCGACCACCTGCCGCTGCTGCTTCGGGCCCCGGACTCCCCTTGCGGGCTCTGCTGTTTCAAGCTCTGGCTGCTGGGATTCCGTTTATTTGGGGGTTTAGGGTTTAGGGTTTAGGGTTTAGGGTTTAGGGTTTAGGGTTTAGGGTTTAGGGCCGAACATTTGGGATGTTCCCCCCTCTACTAACAGTCCTTGATAGGGATTATCGTACCCCCGACAATGAAATCCCTTTTCAGGATTGTTAGGAGAAGGGGGAACATCCCAAGCCGAATATGTAGAAAGGGCTCTTTGTGTTTCATGCGTGGAGCGTTCCTCTGACCTGTCTGCAAACCAATCTTGAGCCACAGCTTTGTCGAGGGTAGTCTAGCAACCGTTTTGCAATCCCCTAGTGGTGTAGAGCGCGGACGACAGCGGCGCGCACCGGGTTCTAACCAAGCTCGTGTGTATACTTGGAGGTTCATGGGTACTTGTATAAGTAGGGTTTAGAGTACACCTGGTTAGGATATAACAATACCATGCTGAGAAGTACCCTCCAAGTAGGTACCCTAAACCCTAAACCCAAAACCCAAAACCCCAAACCCTAAACCCTAAACCCCAAACACCTCCGAGGAGGGGCCTGCTAGCCCTCTGCGGAGCAGCCGCCTTGTGGGATTCTCCCCGAACAGAAAGAGCACAGCGCCCGGGTGGGCACTGATCCAGTTCTGTTGCAAAGGGGTTTGGGGTTTATCAGGGTTTAGGGTTTAGGGTTTAGGGTTTAGGGTTTAGGGTTTAGGCTTGAGGGGTTAGGGTTTAGGGTTTAGGGCATCGAGGGCATCAAGCCCCAGAGCCCCGGCCGGTATCAGCGTCAGTGCCAGTGCCGATGGGTGCAGGCTCCCGGGGAATCCGGAACCACAGTCCGAAAGCCCAAGCGGCAAACCTTGACCTTGAAAGCAGTCCGAGGCGATGCAGGCACTTTTTGCACGTGGCCGCCACCCTCGTCCTTGCAATGTTCGCAATTGCGATAGGCCCGCTGAAGTCGCAATGTGGTATAGTGAACAACCCAACGAGCCCAATACCCCGGACTTAAGGAGAGTCTACCCTTAGTTCACATTGGGATCCTTATGATTTAAGGGTCTATTTCCTTACTTGAGGGGTAGTCGGGCTCTGGGTTGCCGATTCTCATCACGCTGCGCGTGAAAGTCGGGAGCCCTCAGCAGGACTTCTCCGCTTCGTCAGCTTGGTGCCACAGGAAGTCGAGCCCCTGCGCGATTTCACCAGCAACGCCACGTTCACAACAGACATTGCGCCTTGTCATTGGGGTCGGGAAAAAGGATGCTTATTATGGGGGGTCCTTACTAAGAGGAGATGAGACCAGATCCAATCAATTTTGATAATTTTTGGTTTTTTGATTATTTTAATTAATTTTGACTAATTTTAATTAAATTTTGATTAATTTGAGAAATTTTAATTAGTTTTGATTAATTTTGATTAACTTTAATTTAATTTTGAGGAATCTTGATTAATTTTGATTAATTTTAAGTAATTTTAATTAATCTTAACAAATTCTAATAATTAATTGTAATTTTAATTAGATTATAATTAATTGTAAAAAATATTAAGTAATTAATTAAATTTCATGCAATTAATTTTAATTAGTTTCAATTAATTTTAATACATTTTTACGTAATTTAATTAATTTTTTTAATAATTTGAGTGAATTTAGCTAATTTTTTATTTAATTTTGAATAATTTAGTTTAATTTAATTAATTTAGCTAATTCTAATTAATTTTGAATAATTTTTTTAATTATTTTACTTAATTTTAATTAGTTTTAAAAAAGGTTATTTGGAATTCTAATTAAAAATATTATTTTAGTAATTTGATTTAATTTTAAGTAATTTAATTAATTTTAATAGTTTGATTGGATTTTTATTACATTTAATTAATTTATTAGATTTAATTCATTAATTTCAAGTAAATTTAATGTTCATCACTTTGTAAGTAATTGAGTAATTTTTAATTAATTTTAATTAATTTATTTTTTTTCTAATTTACTAATTTTACTTAATAATTTAATTAATTAATAATTTAAAGTCATTAAGTAATTTTAATATTTAATTTAATTTTTAATTATTTAATATTAATTTAATTAATCGTAATCAATTTTAAATTAATTTTGATTAATTTTGATAATTAATTTTATAATTTTCCTCAATTTTAATTTAAGTAATTTCAATAATTTTAAGTAATTTTAAGTAATTTTAATTAATTTTATTAATTTAATTAATTTTAATTAATTTGATATTTTAATTATTTTAATTAATGTAAGGAATTAATTAATTTTAATTAATTTTATAATTTTAATAATTTTAATTAATTTTATAAAATTTTAATCAATTTTGATTTTAATATTCAATTAGAATCAGATTAAAAGTAATTTAAAATTAGTAAATGACTTAAAAATATATTAAAAGTAATTAAAATACTAAGATTAATTAAATTAATAAAAAAAAATTAAAAAATCACTTAAAATTAATGAAATTTATCGAAATTTAATAGATTAAATAAAATCATTAAAATTATTTAAATATTAATAAACTTAATTCAAATTAATTAACCAATTAATAAAGTTAAAATAATTAAAATAATAAAAATGAATAAATTTAATTAAAATTAATTAAAATAATTAAAATTTAATTAAAAATTCATTAAAATTAATTAAAAATAATGAAAAATTAATTAAAAAACATATTTAAAATTAATTAAAATTAATTAAATTTAATTCAAATCAATTAAATCATTAAAATTAATTAAACTCAATTAAAATTAGTTTGAAAATGAATTAAAATAATTCCATTAATAAATTAATTTAATTAATTTTGATTGATTTTAGTCAAATTTTAATTAATTTATAAGATTTAATTAATGAATTTGACATTAATTTAATTTATCATTTTAATGTATCGAATTTGAATTAATTTGTTTAATTTGATTAATTTGATTAATTTATTAATTTAAATAATTTTGAGGAATTGAATTTGCTTATATATTAATTTCGATTAATTTTAATTGGTTTTAATTGAATTTCGTTTCATAATTTCAAGAAAAATTTAATTAATTTTAATTTAATTCAATTAATTTCAAGAAATTTAATTAATTTTATTGAATTATGTTTAATTTTAATTAAATTAATAAATTTTAATTAATTGCAATTTAATTAATGAATTTGATTAATTTTAATTATTTTGAGACATTTTATTATTTTAATTAATTTTCATTAATTTGAATTAAATTTTTATTAGTTTTAGTTAATTTTCATTATTTTTATTAACCTTTAATATTTTTCATTAATTTTATTAAAAATTATATTTAATTTTCATTCATTTTTTCTTTAGTTTTTGTCATTTTAGTTAATTTTATTAATTGTGATTAATTTAATTAATTGTAGTTAATTTTAATTAATATTAATTAATTAAAATTAATAAATAAAAATTTTTATTATAAAATTAATTAAAATTGATTAAATTCTTATGGAAAAGTTAATTCAAAATTAATTAAAATTAATTAAAATCAATTAAATAATAATTTAAAATTGATGAAAGATGAATTAAAATAGTCAAAATGAATTAAAGTAAAAATATCAAAATTAAACAAAATAAGAAAACAATAAAATTCAGGGAATTTAAAATTATGTTAAAAATTGATTAAAATTAAATAAAATAAATTTAACAAATTAAAATTAACCTTAAATTAATTTAAATCATTAAAAGTCATTAAAAATTAATAAAATTAATGCTTAAACTTTTGAAATTAATTGAAATAAATTGAAAGTAATTGACAATAATAAAATTAATTAAAAGCAATTAAAAATGGTAAAGGCATGTTTTAAGTTATTTTTTATTATAATCGATTTAATTAATTTTAATTAATTTTAACCAATTTTTAATCAGTGTATTTTAATTTTTAATTCAAATACATTATTTAATCTTTTCTCAATTTTAATTAATTTCATGGTTTTGTGAATTCTAATTAATTTCGTTATTCATTTAATTAATTAATTTTTTATTAATTTATTTATTTTAATTAATTTTACTCTTTGAATTTGAATAATTTTGATTGATTTTGATTAATTTTGAGTCATTTTTAAAAACTTTTTGTAGTTATTTTAATTAATTTTAATTCATTTTAACTGACATGTTAATAAAAGTTTTAAATATTTCATTCATTATTTTTAATTCAAGACAATTCATTCATTAATTTTAATTAATTTGATTTATTTTTAATTTGTAATTTTGAAGTACTTTTGAAATTTGATAATGTAAGAGTTTTTAATTCATTTAATTTCAAGGATTTCAATATTTCAAATAATTTAATTACTGTAATTAATTTTCATAAATTTTAATCAATGCTTAACTTATTTATAATGTTACTTCTGAATTTTATTAGTATTATTTTTTCTTTTTGATTTAATGAATTTTAATCAATTTTAATTAATTTCAATTACTTTTCACATAAGTGTGCTTTTCTAATTCATTAATGAATAATTTTAATTAATTTTTAATTATTTAAGTAAGTTAATGAGTTTAATTAGTTTTAATGCAATTGTACTTAATTTTAATGATTTTGATTTTGTTAATTTAATAATTTTTGAGTAATTAATTAATTTTGATTAATGTTTAATACTTTTGATGATGTATTAATTTGTAATTAATTTTAATTAATGTTTACTTAATTTTAATTTAATTTTATTCAATTGTAAGTCATTTTAAATTTTAAATAGTTGTGTGTAATTAAAATTTTAATAGAGTTTTATTTAGTTGTGATACAATTTTCATTTAAAAAAAAAATTAATTAAATTTAATAAACAATCAATTAAAATTTGGCATTAAAATAAGTTTCGAGTAAAATTTTAAATTAAATTTTCAGAAAATTTTCAATTACTTTCAATTAATTATAATTCTATATATGTCAACTAATTTTCATTAACTTTAATTAATCTTTTTCATTAATTTAATGAGTGTCACTAATTTTCAATAATTTAATTAAAGTTTAATGGTTGTCGTAATTTAATTTTAATTTCTTTCATTTTAATTTTAATTTAAGTTTAATTTTAATTTTATTTTGAATTTAATTTTAATTGTATTTTTTATTTTTATTTTTAGTTTTGATGTTAATGTTAATGTTAATGTTAATGTTAATGTTAATGTTAATGTTAATGTTAATGTTAATGTAAATGTTAATTTTGGTTTTAATTTTAATGTTAATTTTAGTTTCAATTGTAATTTTAATTTTAATTGTAATTTTAATTCCCCACATCTTTGTGTGGAGTTCTTACTTTTGGGGCTGTCCCGCCTCCTCCTTCCTCCTTCCTCCTCCTTCCTCCGTGCACCACATCACGCGCCACATCATGCACAACATCACGCACCACATCACGCACCACATCACGCGCCACATCACCCACTACATCCACGCACCACATCACGCACACCGCATCACGCACCACATCCGCGGTATTTAGAGGCCGGCAGGCGCGGTATTTAGGGGCCCTGGACCCTTGCCGCGCGCGCGCGTGCTCGGGGCGCACGAAACGCTGGCGGGCGCGACGCAGGTGTCGTTTGTGTGGACCCTTGCCGCGCGCGCGCTCGGGGCGCGCGAAACGTTGGCGGGTGCGACATAGGTGTCGTTTGTGCTGGCAGGCGCGGTGTCGTTTGTGCTCGCAGGCGCGGTGTTTAGGGGCCCTGGACCTTTGAAACGCTGGCGGGCGCGACACAGACGTCGTCTGTGCTGGCAGGCGCGGCGCTCAAGGGGTCTGGACCGGTGCCGCGCGCGCGCTCGCGGGGGGCAGCGTTGGCGGGCGTTTCCGGGGCTCTGGACTGGTCCCCCTGCGCCCGTCTGTGCTGCCAGGCGCAACGTGCAGGGTCCCTGGACCGCGCGCGATACGCAGCGCGCGCCACACCGTATTATATAGGCATCACGCGCCTTGCGCAGTGGAGTCCCGCAGCCATTTCATCTTAAGATCAGCGTTAAACCAAGTTTTAAATTTAAACCAACTGTTGTAGTTCCCCACATCTTTGTGTGGGGTTCTTACTTTTGGGGCTCCCGCCTCCTCCTCCTTCCTCCTTCCTCCTTCCTCCTTCCTCCTTCCTCCTTCCTCCTTCCTCCTTCCTCCTTCCTCCTTCCTCCTTCCTCCTTCCTCCTTCCTCCTTCCTCCTTCCTCCTTCCTCCTTCCTCCTTCCTCCTTCCTCCTTCCTCCTTCTTCCTTCTTCCTTCTTCCTTCTTCATTCTTCCTTCTTACTTCTTCCTGCGCCCTGCCTCCTTCCTCCTCCTTCCTCCTTCCCTCCTCCTCCTTCCTCCTTCCTCCTTCCTCCTGCCTTCCTTCCCCTTCCTCCTCCTCCTTCCTCCTCCTCCTTCCCTCCTTCCTTCCTTCCTCTTCCTCCGTTCCTCCGCCTTCCTCCTTCCTTCTTCCTGCCTTCCTGCCTTCCTTGCTTCCTTCCTTCCTTCCTTCCTCCTTCCTCCTTCTTCCTTCTTCCTTCTTCCTTCTTCCTTCTTCCTTCTTCCTTCTTCCTTCTTCCTTCTTCCTTCTTCCTTCTTCCTTCTTCCTTCTTCCTTCTTCCTTCGTCCTTCGTCCTTCCTCCTTCCTCCTTCCTCCTTCCTCCTTCCTCCTTCCTCCTTCCTCCTTCCTCCTTCCTCCTTCCTCCTTCCTCCTTCCTCCTCCTTCCCCCTCCTTCCTCCTCCTCCTTCTCCTCCTCCTCCACTTAGTCGCTCACTCACTCACTCACTCTCACTTACTCACTCACTCACTCACTCACTCACACACTCACTTACTCACTCACACACAGTCACTCACACTCACTCACTCACTCACTCACACTCACTCACTCACTCACACCACTCACACACTCACGACCTCACTCGCTCACCCACTCACTCACTCACTCACTCACTCACACCACTCACACACTCACACACTCACACACTCACTCACTCCGCGACACAGGTGTCGTTTGTGCCTGCCACGGCATTTAGGGGCCCTGGACCGGTGCCGCGCGCGCTCGGGGCGCGCGAAACGCTGGCAAGCGCGACACAGGTGTCGTTTGTGCTGGCAGGCGCAGCATTTAGGGGCCCTGGACTCTTGCGAAACGTTGGCAGGCGCGACACAGGTGTCGTTTGTGCTGGCAGGCGTGGCACTTAGGGGTCCTGGACCGGTGCCGTACTCACTCACTCACTCACTCACTCACTTACTCACTCACTCACACACACTCACTTACTCACTCACACACACTCACTCACACTCACTCACACTCACTCACTGACTCACTCACACCACTCACACACTCACTCACTCACTCGCTCACTCACTCACTCACTCACTCACTCACACCACTCACACACTCACTCACTCCGCGACACAGGTGTCGTTTGTGCTGGCAGGCACGGCATTTAGGGGCCCTGGACCGGTGCCGCGCGCGCTCGAAAAGCGCGAAACGCTGGCAGGTGCGACGCAGGTGTCGTTTGTGCTGGCAGGTGCAGCGTTTAGGGGCCCTGGACTCTTGCCGCGCACGCGCTCGGGGCGCGCGAAACATTGGCAGGTGCGACACAGGTTTCGTTTGTGCTGGCAGGCGCGGCATTTAGGGGCCCCGGACCCTTGCCGTGCGCGTGCTCGGGGCGCGTGAATCGTTGGCGGACGCGACACAGGTGTCGTTTGTGCTGGCAGGCGCGGCATTTAGGGGCCCTGGACCCTTGCCGCACGCGCGCTCGCGGCGCGCGAAACGTTGGTGGGCGCGACACAGGTGTCGTTTGTGCTGGCAGGCGTTAGGGGCGCCCTTCCATGCTGCGCGCTTCTCGTTGGTTCGCAGCTCGCCAAGTGGTCATCGTGCAGACAAACGCTGACAATAATGGTCTGTTCTCTTGTACGTGGAAGTTCAGCAGAACGCACTGGCGGCTGTGAAAGCTGTCGCTGAAAGCCCGCTTGCCGGATGACAACAGAACCCGAAACTCTTGAATGCCCTCAATCAAGCCCAAAGCTGTCGCCCTGAACCCTATGCTTGGACGCTAGCAAAACTGTAAAGTTTTTCTACTACCTGGGAACCCCACCTACCAACCCAAAAGGGTTGATGAGCATGTGTGGATTTGTGACTCATGTTTTACCGACAGCGCTTTTACTGGTTCAAGGAAAAAGAGCGACTTGAAGTTTAGCATGGTAGCGGAGCACACTGTGCATCCGGGACCGAAGCCATGCCTCGTGGCCGTGATGATGGTTTGGGTTGGAACCCTGATGCTGTGGAGCCAATGGAGCTCACAGAACCTACAGAGCCCATGGAACTCACAGAACCCATGGAGCCAATGGAACTCACAGAACCCATGGAGCCGATGGAACCCGCAGAGCCCATGGAAGAAGGGGAACAAGAAGAAGAAATGGAGCCACGAAGAAAGGAGATCAAGATTCACCGTGTTGGCATGGGAAAAGGCTACGGATCTTCAGCAAGCAGTTCAGCTGAAGGAAGTGAAAGTGCACCAAGGTATATGCCTCCAAAGCCGAAGAAGAAGCCCGAACGACCAGTGGTGGAAGGAAGAGATTACATTCCCTTGGAAGGGGGAGAACCAGACGGGCCAGTGGAGATCGGGAGTCCTAGTTCCTCTAGCCCCGAAACTACAATGGTGTACCAAGAGGCACCACCTACACCAAGAAGGGAGCCGAGAACACTTTCGTCTGGGCACATCGCCTTGGAGCTGCAAGAGCAGCAAGTGTCTGCTGAGCAACGCAGGCGAAGGCAGCTGGAGAGACTCTCTGCACTCGCAGCAGAGACGGAAAGGATCCAACGGCGAGCAAGGGAACGAGCCTTGCAGGAACCAGTTCGGTTTCCAAAGTCAGGAGGGCCACCGCCACCAGCGGGCCCAGAACCAGAGCAAGCTCCAGAGTGTCCACCGCCAGGAGAAGAACGAGCTCCAGAGTGTCCACCTCCGGACCCAATGCCGAGTGGTACGAAGCTTCCTCTTCACACGCTGGACGGGGAACCCAGCAACGCAGCAGTGGCGGAACACATCCGCCGGAATGAGGAAGAGTATGCTGCAAGACGTGCCGGTGCAATTCCTTCAGGAGACGAAGCAAGAGCCAGGGAATCCAAGGAATTTGCTCGTGGAGTTGCATACTTTCGAGCCAGGTACGGCCAGCGAAGCCAAAGCAGTGGAACAGCGAGTTCCAGCCGAGACACGGGGCCTGGGACCCTACAACCCAGGACGGGACCTGGGACCCTACAACCCAGGATGGAAGATGCGAGAAATGAGCCAGGGAGCAGTTCCAGAGGACCACCTCCGAAGGAACGACCTGCTGGAAGCAAGGCGCCACCTCCAGAGCCAAAGGGACCACCACCGAAGCGAGGGGGAGCAACGCAAGCCACTACGCTCTACCCGAATTCTCCTTGGAGGAGAGCAGAAAGGAGGAGAATGCGAGAAAGGGGCGAGGAGCCAAACCCTGGAAATGAGGAAGATGAATGGGGAGATTGGTCAGGACGATGAGGTCGACTACCAGAAGGAGAAAGCAGAGATCGACTACCAGAAGGAGAAAGCAGAGATCGACTACCAGAAGGAGAAAGCAGAGATCGACTACCAGAAGGAGAAAGCAGAGATCGACTACCAGGAGGAGAAAACAGAGATCGACTACCAGGAGGAATCAAAATTCTATGGCCTATGTACAAACAAGAGCCTCTACTCCGACAAGACTATGAATGGAACAAGAGATCCATTGGTGATGTGGATTTGGACCAGTATTCCAGGAGCAAAGAACCTCTACGACCCCAAGACTATGCAATTCGATTACAATGGAGCAATGGCAATGATGCTTATGCTTGGAGTATCAGGTGCGATCATGTTGTGCATTGGATGTTTGCAAGCGACAGTGCACTTGCAGTCATGTCGTCAGTCATGTTTGTGGAGATTGCAACATTCATGTTTTCGGAGGCGCTTGAGCAGAGGGGCACGGAGAGATCACTTGCGTTCGTGTGCTTGTGTGAGAAAACAACAGAGAGGAGCGATGCTGTGTGTGCTTGTCGTGTTACAGTTTTCTGCAGTGCAAGGGATGCAGCAGAATGGACCACCCCAACAACCCACAGAACTTTCTGAAATTCTGACTGCATTGACAAGGGCGACCCAGGTTGGAATGAGTGCGCTACAAAGGTTGGAGCAACAAGCAAGCAGTTCGGATGATCTGAACCGAAGGATTGAAAGTGCGACAAAGGCGATCAAGGCACCAGATGTTTGGAACCCACAAGCCTCGGGAGAGCATCCACCGGATTTTACAACCTGGAAACATCAGTTTCTGAATTGGCTAGGTTTTGCCGATTCGCAGTACTCAGAAGCTCTAAGTATGATTGAAAGTCTGGGAGCAACGCCGATCGATGTTTCGACTCTCACTACAGTGGAGAGAGAACTTTCGACAAAGCTTTACCACATACTGACTTCGTATATGCGGGGAGCAGCAACGCAACTGTCTCGAAATTGGAGCAGGGAGCGATGTGGGTATCGTCTCTATCAAAGTTTGCTTTGGGAATACCAACCAGCCACCAAACAACGAGCTCTAACCCTCAGTCAAGCGATTGGGATGTTTCCCAACTTCGATGGGGCCAAGAGCATGGTGGAGCAGATTGGTTCACTGGAAAACCTTGTTCGGGAGTACGAGATCGCTTCAGGAAAGACCTACGATCGAGATTTGTTGATGGGAGTTTTGCTTCGATGTTCACCGAGGGCGATTCGAGACCACCTTACTTTGACAATGCCCGAAGGAACAAACTACATGTCAGTGAAGCAAGCGATTCTTTCATACGAGCAAAGCAGCAAAACTTGGGATTACCAGACGGTGTTGAAGCAAAAGACCTTGCAGAACACAGCGAGCAGTTCGAATGCAGATCAAGGACCAGCACCAATGGAAGTGGATGCAGTGTACGAGAAAGGAGGAGGAAAAGGAAACAAAGGCAACAAAGGAAACAAAGGAGGAAAAGGATCCTACTCGTGGTCAAGCTTTGGAGCAGGATTTCGCCAATGGAGAAAAGGTGGACGAAAAGGAAGCTACAAAGGAGGAAAGAAAGGACGAGGCAAAGGTTTCCACAAAGGAGGAAAGAAAGGCGGAAAGAAAGGTGGAAAGCATGGCAAAGGAGGAAAGAAAGGTGGAGGAAAGAAGTTGGACAGAGATGTTTGCCGATTCTGCAAGCAGCGAGGACATTGGGGAAACGAGTGTCCAAACCGCAATGTTCGAGAAGTGCAGGCGAGCGAGGCCAGCACCGAGGTACCCCACTCGACAGTCGAGTCTGTTACTCCGTCGCAGAGTGCGAGCCAATACAGGATAAGGAGAGTGAGGAACATTGATTTCCATCACATTGCGAACACACCACCTGACGGCACAGAGCACTATGAGCTTAGCGAAGTTTCAGAAGAAGAAGGTGATTGGTTCACCAGAAGGATAGAGGTGCAAGGACCAGAGTGCTACTACATCGGGGATGAGAGTGAGAACAAACAAGATCATGAGAGTGATGAGCTGTATCAATGGTATGAAAACAGCTTGGAAAGAGTTCAAGGAGGATTGGGACCTCCAGGAGGATTGGAACCTCTGAATCAAGGAGGATTGGAACCTCTGAGTCAGGGAGGATCGGAACCTCTCAATGTGCGAATGGTCCAGTTGGACACAAAGCAACATGTGGTGATCTTGGATTCAGGAGCAGATGTGAGTTTGTTACCACGAAGATTGTCGGATGCAGGCGTCGAAGTTTCGACCCCAACCTCTCTGAGGTTGCAAGACGCACAAGGGGGTGCGATGCGAGTTGAAGGTATGCGGCGAGCAGTTTTGCAGTTCAGTAGCTGCAGTGTGACTGAGGACTTTGTGTTGTCGGACACCAATAACATCTTGCTGTCTTTAGGAAGGCTACTCAAAAATGGATGGAAGTTTGTGTCAGTGGGATGCAAACAGCGCCAGGGGGGCGAGACCTGGGGAGAAGAAACCCAGGCGGGGGAACTTGTATCTCCCGATGGTAAGGCACGGGTGCCTGTGGAATACCAGAGGAATAGCTTGAGATTGACAGCGGAAGTTAGAGGAGTCGAGCAAGTCAGGGCAGTCAAGGTGACTTTGGCCTATGACTTTGGTAAAGTCCCAGAGAAGGATTGGAGCCTTCTACCGAATGGAACGCCAGTCCATCGCCATTTTGGACTTGAGTTTGTAAAGCCGCCGACAGGTACTTGGAAGTACAGGACCACCATCGTGAAGGTGGGCAACGAATGGGAAGTGATTGAAGCAACGGAATTGCTCGAGCGAAAATCCGACTTGGAAGATCGAATACCGGGATTGCTTTTTCGATCAGAAATTCTCACATTCTTGCACAGGACACCAGAGTATCTGGACAAGTGCTTGGTAGAAGAGGTAGCACCAGAAGAAGCACCAAAGGAGGAAGAAAAGAAGATGGAAGAGGAGCCAGAATGGTTTGGAAGAGAAAGAGGAGCTCCAGAAGAGTTGCAGGTGCCAGTGCCGAAAGGAGTTGTGAAGCAGCAAGGAAAGGCAGGAGGACACCAAGAGTTGGAACTCGACATGGGAAGTACTATTGTGGTGAATGGAGAGTCACTCACAGCAACGAGTGAGATTGAGAAGCTGCGAGAAGGTTGTCGGTATTTGGGTTTGAGCGTCTCAGGGTCAAAGGTGAAGATGTTCAGGAGACTGTGCAACTACCTCACCGAAGACAGAGATGAGGACGCAGAAGAAGTTGCAGACAGGCTGAGGAAGCAAAGGCCCAAAGCAAGAACAAGACCCGGAGTGCCCGAACCGACAGAAGCAGAGATTGAAGAGCATATGGCAACCCACATGCCAATGCAACCATGGTGTGATTTCTGTGCAGCAGCAAAGTCGAAACAGGACCATACCCCACAAAGCAGTGAAGCAAAGTATGAAGACCCAGGAAAGCCAGTGATCCAGATGGACTTCATGTACATGGGTCAGAACAGTGTGAGTCTGATCATTCTTGATTCATGGACTCGATTTTCGTGGGCGATTCCAGTGCCGGGGAAAGCACCGACGAAGAAGTTGGCCGAGAAAGTGGTGAAGTTTTCTCTCGAGATGAACTACATTTCCGAAGAAGTTCTGTTTGCGATTGATGTGGAGCCAGCGACAACAGCCTTACTGGATTTGATTGTAGCAATACGACAAAAGTTAGGCTACAAGGCTGGAAAGTATCCAAACAAGCCCTACCACAAAGGAAGAACAGCGAGAGTGGAACGCCACATTCAGAACCTCAGGAGACAAAGCCTCACGATGATTGAAATGGTCGAGGATCGGATTGGGGAAAAGATTCCTGAAGATCATGCTTTACGAGCGTGGGCAATTCACCACGCAGCATGGTTGTTCAACAGGTACCACCTACACTCAGGGACGCAGAGTACAGCTTTCCAATTGGTCTACGGGAGACCATACCAAGGGCAGATTTTACCCTTCGGAGAGTATGTGTTTGGTCTGGCCAAGCCTGGAGGAGTGAAGAATCGATCCTTGTGGACAGGAGGAATATGGGTTGGAAAGGACGACCGGGACATGGACGTGATTACATCAAAAGATGGGATCTTTACGTCAAGATCTGTGCGGCGCACACAACCAGCGTGGCGCGCACGTGAGACCCTTCAACTTCAGGGTTCTCCTTGGACGAAGAAAGCCCCAAGGCTAGGGCACACCGCGCATGCGGCACCGTTACCGAGAATCGTGGAAGAACCAGGCAAAGAGAAAGAAGGAGGAGAAAATGAGCCAGAGCCAGCAGGAGATGAAGCAGGATCTGATGTGGAAAGTTCAAAGCATGACACAATCAGTGATCTATTGCTGAGCAGTGGTCAACCTACACCTCGAAGTTCATCAACGGATTCCAACCAAGGCGGGGGACAAAAGAGAGAAACTGAAGGAGAAGAAAGAGAGGAACCTGCGAAAGCTAGTAAAACAGCAGATGCTGAGGAGCCACCAACGAAGCAACAAAAGACTGCGGAAAGTTCACCTACAAGTGCTGATCCTGGAAGTCCGAAAGGAAGTCTATTTCCACCGTTGTACGCCGGACAGGTAGAAGAACAGGAAGACGAAACAGGATATCATGAAGATGACCTTTGGGAAGAAAGAGTCTGGAAGGAATGCGAAGAGGAATATGAAGCGGATAGTGAAGGAGAAGAAGAAGATGAGGATCGACCACCGAAAGTCAGCGAAGAGGAACTTGAAAGATTGGATGCAGAGGCAGGAAAAGCTGAACTTGACAAACTCGCCAACATGAAGGTTGTGAAGACGATCAAGAAGGAAGAGTGTTCAGAGGAAGGTAAGTTTCTGACACTAAGGACAGTTTTCGATTGGAGAAAGAGAGATGGAGTTTGGAAGCGTAGATGCAGAATTGTGTGTCGGGAATTCCGTGCGGGAGCCCAGAGCACGGAGGAGACTTTTAGTCCTACGTCAGGACACGCAGCAGTGCGAATGATGTTTCTTTTTCATCTCATCTACAATTGGGAGCTTACAGTTCTTGACATTCGTGACGCATTCTTGCAAGTCAAGCAGAAAGCTCTGATGTATGCTGATATCTCACCGTGGATTCGAACACTACTTGGTTTGGATGAAGACCATGTATGGAAAGTGGAGAAGTGTCTGCCAGGGCAAAGATCAGCGGCAGAACAATGGTTTACCCATTTGGTTGAGATTTTGAAGCGTTTGGGATTTGAGCAATTTGTTGGGATACCCTCAATCTTGAAGCACCGAGTGAAGAAGATTGCAGTGTCGATTCATGTCGACGACGAGCTAGTTGCAGGTGCGAAAGGCGAAGGAAGATGGCTGATATGCGAGCTAGAGAAGTTTTTCAAGCTCACAGTTGAGGGACCGTTCCCATCCCACCGGGGATCGGGAGAACAGCTTCATTACCTGAAGAGGACCTATGAGTTCCTTGAAGAAGGAATTTTGGTGACAGTGTCGAAGAAGCACTACGAGAAGCTTAGAGGACTCTACAAGCTGGGGAACCGAAAGCCAAGACAAACCCCAGAGCACCAGCTGATTGGAACAGTGGACAATTCCAAAGAACTGGAGGAGAACGAGTGCAAGAAGTTTCGTTCAGCGTTGGGAACACTGTTGTACATTTCCCAAGACCGATGGGATTTACAGCATGTGACGAAGTGTTTGGCAAGTAAGATGTCGAAGCCAACGGAACAAGCGTTAACCTGTTTGAAACAAGCTTTGCTCTATGTGCAAGGAACAGAGCAACTGGGATTCCTACTGAAGTACACAAAGGTTGGAAACAAGATGATGGATGCGATCTATCAAAGAGAAGAGCAAGAAGAAGAAGACGAAGAAAAGAAAGGAACACACAGTATGGAAGTATTCACGGATGCAGATTGGGCATCAGACCGTGAAGCGAGATGGTCTACATCATCAGTGATTGTGTGTGTGAATGCAGTGCCAGTACTTTCGTATAGCAGGACCCAGAAAGCTACAGCTTTAAGTTCGGCAGAGTCCGAAGTGCTAGCATGCTCAGGAGGAGCATCAGAAGCGATGTTACTGAAGAAGTTGTGGATGTTTCTTGCAGGAAAGTTACTCGTGGAGATCCGGATGGATTCAAGTGCGGGAAGACAATGGATGATGCGAACAGGAGTCGGAGGACTCAAACATATCGATCTGAGAGTATTATGGCTTCAGCGAGGGGTGAAGAACAACAGCTTCAAAGCAAAGCCAGTGCCTACCAAATTAAACATTGCCGACTTGAATACAAAACGCTTAGGAGTATCTCGAAGGAGATTTCTCATGTACCATATTGGAGCCATGGTGTGGAATGGAGAAAGTCATGAGCGTTATGGGAAAGAAGAAGCAATGGAACATGTGGCAGGTGAAGTTTGCCGAAGCCAAGTTCGAGCACTACGTGCAACTTTGTTGAATGAGCGAGGAAGCAAGACGGCTAGAGCGATGTACTTGACAATGATGGTGAATATGATTTCTCAGATTGCAGGACAGCCAGACGATTTTGGAGGACGAGAACGAGAAGAACGAGAATTTGTTTTCATCTATGTGAAGGAAGTGAGTGGATGGATTATTCTTTTCAGTGTGCTACTAGGAGGAATTTTCGCTTTACTCTTGTTCTACATGGTCGAGCAGAAGGTGAACGAAGGACGACAGGAACCACAGGAAGAAGGACCACAGGAACCACAGGAAGAAGGACCACAGGAACCACAGGAAGAAGGACCACAGGAACCACAGGAAGAAGGACCACAGGAACCGCAGGAAGAAGGACCACAGGAACCGCAGGAAGAAGGACCACAGGAACCGCAGGAAGAAGGACCACAGGAACCGCAGGAGGAATTCACTATTCGAAGATTTGTGCAAAAGTATTGTCCGCCCGATGAGGATGATGTTCAACGTACAGCAAGGGCAGTCAATATGTATTTCCGTGATGCACCAGAGGATTCAGCGACAGGCAGTGGTAATGGGATGCCTGGAATCAGTACAGTACCAGCAAGCCAAATCCATGTGAATGACGAAGAGCTTGCAAGGCGATTTCAAGAATGGGGAATGGTTAATATCATTCCTATGGCACAGGATGTGGACGAACAGCTACGAGCACAACCCCATTATGTGTACACGCCTCATGGCAAGAGGTACCACCGACCTACATGTGCAGATGTGCAAAGGTCAGAGAGATTCACTTACAGTGCAGCAGTGCATGCGAGATTGCACTACCGTCCTTGTGGCAATTGCAGGCCCGGGACCATGTGAGTGAATGATGGAATGTTTCACTTTTCCGTACAGTGTGAGCTACAACGAGTACAAGCTTACCTGAGCGAAGTGTTACCCACGAGGAAGCAGTGGGAACAGTTTTCACCGAGTGCAAGGACTCCAATAGGGAGAGCACAACGAGGCCATCGCACAATACCAGATGAGCCCAACGACATACCTGTACAGTTTCTACAAACCCGTTACTGTAGAGTGATGTTGAGCTTACAGTTCGCACAACATCAAGGCGGGGTGTAAAGTTTTTCTACTACCTGGGAACCCCACCTACCAACCCAAAAGGGTTGATGAGCATGTGTGGATTTGTGACTCATGTTTTACCGACAGCGCTTTTACTGGTTCAAGGAAAAAGAGCGACTTGAAGTTTAGCAAAAACTAAAGACACAGCTCGCGCTCACTCACTCACTCACTCACTCACTCACTCACATATTCACTCATTTCACTCACTTACTTGTATTCACTTATACACTCTTAGCGAAGATCGGAGCCGCTAGCCAGGAGACGGAGAGAGACTTATACACCTTGCTTTGAGAAGCAACACTGTGTCACTGGCTCACACACACACGCAATCACGCACTCACATTTCCGCACTCACTCACACTCACTCACACTCACGCACCCACTCGCACTCAAGCCCTACTCTCTTACCATCTCACCCTGTGTCACTTCTCTACCCTTTGCGAATAGATAACTTTGCGTGTGGGGTTATCCGGTCCTTTAATTTAATTAATTTTTAATGGGCACAATTAAGTGCGGCTTGAGGGTTTGGGTTACAGGTGGAGTTGCTGAGGATGCTTGAAAGTGACTAGAAGGTTTTTGTTTTTGGTGGGAGCGCCCCTTACGCGACGGGCGCGTTCCATTCGTTTTGGCGATTCTGGTTGATTCTCGGGTTGGGTTGGGTGGTGGGGGGGGGGGGGGGGGGTTACGTGCTTTTCGAGAGCACAGGGGTTCATGTTGTAGGTTTCGGGTGCACTCTCTACGTAGTTTTAATATTATTGCGGGCACTATTGTTCTCTTCATTTCGCCCGCATATTATTTTCTTCTTTCTAATGTTCATTTCGTACACTTGTAATATAATTCACGCGTGTACTCATTCACACACCCAGACAGTAGAATAATGGGGGAAAAAGACCACTTCGTTCACGAGTTTACGCACTAATATTAATACGGTTCATTCACAGGTTTGGTTAATAATTCCAAGGTTTTTAGTGCGTCCATTGAACCTCAGCTCCTTCATGTCTTACCGCGTAAACGCATGAATCTTATGTTTCACTACTTTGTAATGAGTGTACGAACCTGTAGAAAGTGCGTGAAAACCGCTCTAAAGATAGAAACCCGGGCCATAATTCTATATCTTCATGAAGAACCCCGTATAATTCTCTTATTCACATAGTAAACCTTAGGACGTTCCCCTAATATTATATTCGTTCTCTATTAGTAATATTCCCTAGAGATTGGATATGCAATAATATTATAAGGAATGAAGGGAGCGATGAAAGGGCTTTTAATAAGTCTTTAGGAGCTAGACCAAATCCCCCAAAACACCTCTAAAAACCTTAGAATTATGTGCTCTTTGCCTTCATTTGTAGGGTCATTCATTGGTTTACAAAAAGCCCAAACATTAGGATTACGAAGAGAAAGCCGAATTAAATTATAACGAATGAAATGAGGCATGAATTTAATAAAGGATTTCGTACTAACTCCTTAATAATAGAAAGTCCATAGAATATTGCACTCAGATGTGTTCAGAGCTCTCTCCAAGCTGTGCCCAGCTGCCAACAAGTGCAGCTGAACAAAGTTTCTCAGACGGTCCGCGGCAAAATGTGCTTTTTGCCTAGGCGGGAACGTCATGGTCGCTCGAAAATAGACACTGTTACACACTTTCGGCCCCTGCAACATAGCAATTCTTAAGCAGACATGTGCGTTTTGCCTGGGTTTCAGCACATTCCACATTCTGGCCATGCCAAAAAACACACGTCGCGCTACAGGCGCTCCTACCTTGTTTTTGTCCTGGGGTTTACCTGTAGCCCAAACAACCTACCTTTTTCAGAGATATATAAGGAGCTCATAAGAAGGAACCCCCTAAAAAGGGTGGGTTTTTCGGGCGTCATATTTGGGGTCTACTTAGGTATATAGGGGCTATATATTTCTATATGAGAGAGAGAGAGAGAGAGAGAGAGAGATTTGTATATGCATATATAAGGGCTATCAGGGGGAATAGGAGTAAGGGTCCCTTCTAGGGGGGCCCTCCTTCTACCCCGTCGGGCTGAAGAGTGGGTTTCAACTGAGTTCTGCTGGCCCCTGACCCTCGCACCTTGAACTGACAGGCTGCCGCCCTCGAACATGAGAGAAACCCCACGCCGAAGAACTCCTCAACCCCGCAACCCTAAGCCCTGAACCATAAGCCCTAAACCTTAAACCCTAAACCTTAAACCCTAAACCCTAAACCCTAAACCCTAAACCCTAAACCTTAAACCCTAAACCTTAAACCCTAAACCCTAAACCCTAAACCCTAAACCCTAAACCCTAAACCCTAAATCCTAAACCCTAAACCCTAAACCCTAAACCGCAATGCAAGGTTCTTGGCCTTGCCGCTCCGCTGTGCCTGAACTTTCTGGGAGGAGCCGTCTTGTCCCAAACTGACAGGGGCCTTGGGTTAGGGCTTAGGGTTTGGGGTTTAGGGTTTAGGGTTTAGGGTTTAGGGCTTAGGGTTTGGGGTTTGGGGTCTGGGGTTTAGACGATTTAGGGTTTAGGGTTTAGGGTTTAGGGTTTAGGGTTTAGGGTTTAGGGGGCAGGGTTTAGGGTTTAGGGATTAGATTGCACGATGCGAAAGAGAAGAGTGGACATCAGACAGACATCATCCGGCCGTCATATGCGGTCGTGTTCATGGTGGACACGGTGTTTTTTTGACCTGAGTCGGCGTCTTTCGGTTCCGGTCCTGAAAACCCTAAACCTCGAACTCTAAATCCTAAAACCTAATAACTAAACCCTTAACCCCTCTATGGGCTGACTATGGGGTTTGAGCTCACTCTCGCCGGGGTTGATTTGGCAGGTGTCAAGCCCGGCGTGTATGCACGGCGAACGGAGTCTTGTTTACAATTCGGTGCGGCAGGCATGTTTCGAGGGATAGGGTTTAGGGGTTTAGGGGTTTAGGGGTTTAGGGGTTTAGGGGTTTAGGGGTTTAGGCGTTTAGGGGTTTAGGGGTTTAGGGGTTTAGGGGTTTTAGGGGTTTAGGGGGGGTTAGGGGTTTAGGGGTTTTTAGGGTTTTGGGGTTTAGGGGTTTAGGGGTTTAGGGTGTCGGGTTAGGGTTAGGGGTTTAGGGGTTTAGGGGTTTAGGGGTTAGGGGTTTAGGGTTTATGGGTGTAGGGGGTAGGGGTTTAGGGGTTTTTCGGGGTGTAGGGGTTTAGGGGTTAGGGGTTTTAGGGGTGTAGGGGGGTTGTTAGGGGTTGTAGGGTGTAGTGGGGTAGGGTGTTAGGGTGTAGGTAAGGGGGTTGTAGGGGTGTCGGGGTGTAGGGTGTAGGGGTGTAGGTGACTAGGGGGTGGTCGGTGGTGTCCGGGTGGGGTAGTGGTGTAGGGTTGTGTAGGGGTGGTAGGGGTGGTAGGGGTGTAGGGGTTGTAGGGGTGTAGGGGTTTAGGGGTTTTAGGGTTTAAGGTTTTCCAGAAATCTGACTACTCTTCGAAATGATTTAGGTTTAGGGATTTTAGGGTTTAGGGTTTAGGGTTTAAGGCTTAGGGTTTAGTTTAGGGTTTAGGGTTTTAGGGTTTAGGGCATAGGGTTCAGGGTTTTAGGGTTTCGGGTTTACGCTTTAGGGTTAGGGTTTAGGGTTTAGGGTTTAGGGTTTAGGGTTTAGGGTTTAGGGTTTAGGGTTTAGGGTTTAGGGTTTAGGGTTTAGGGTTTAGGGTTTAGGGTTTAGGGTTTAGGGTTTAGGGTTTAGGGTTTAGGGTTAGGTTTAGGGTTTAGGGTTTAGGGTTTAGGGTTTAGGGTTTAGGGTTTAGGGTTTAGGGTTTAGGGTTTAGGGTTTAGGGTTTAGGGTTTAGGGTTTAGGGTTCAGGGTTCAGGGTTTCGGGTTTCGGGTTTCGGGTTTAGGGCACCCAACATGAACCACTTGCCTGGAGTAACACGCCCCGCCTAGCAGAGTCTGGTACTATTTCCTGCGGTACACGTATTCCAAAAGGCCAACCACAACCACAATTTCAGAATTTCGCATTAATTCACATGTGTGGGTTTGGGGTGGGCTGAATTCAGGTGAGTGTAGTTTTCCAGCCACCAACCACTCAAGCCCAGACAGCCACCCAGCCCAGCATATCTTCAACAATATATATATATATATGTGTATATATATATATCTGAATATCTACTCCTACTACCTATCCGCATGCGATGTATGGCATGCTGCAAGCTACGAGTGTGAACGACGTAGCCAGAAGTAGCCACCCAGTATCGCTACGAGCGCGAAGTATGTAGCCCCAAATCTCGCCACTTGCTAGCTGGAAGCGTGAATTAGCCAGATCCCCTAAATACACAGAACCTGCGAACCCTAAACCCATATCCTTAAACCCTAAACCCTAAACCCCAAACCCCACACCCACAACCCTAAATCCTGGTCCTCGGGCAGCTGCTGCCTTGAAAGCGAGATCAGGAACGCGTGCGGGAGTCCTGCCGATATTTGTATGCGCTGCTCCTTGGTTGGTAAAGTGGTGCCCTTTTGCTCTTCTCGGGTTCTCGGTTCCGTCATAAGAAGCAACCAGGCCTTCCTTAAGGGGTAATTGGGCTCCCTAAACCCTAAACCCTAAACCCCAAACTCTAAACCCTCTTTGGGAGGCTCAAAGACAACGAGCTCCTGGAGGAGTGGCAAGAGATTGTTGGCAGAGACCTGGTGGGCCTCACTTCCGCTTCTTCGGCTTGATTTGAGGGTTTAGGGTTTAGGGTTTAAGGTTACAGAAGCATGAAGTTTCGAGCCTGAGGGTTTAGGGTGTTTAGGGTTTAGGGTTTAGGGTTTTTAGGATTTAGGGTTTAGGGTTTCTGGTGTTTGCTTGGAGGTTCAAAAGGGTGCTTGTAAGTAGGCCGGGAAGCTATGGTTATAACCTTAATTAGGGTACTTAGAAGCACACTTAGAAGCACCCATGAACCTTCGAGTAGGGTGTTCGGACCTGAAATAGGAGGGCCCAACGCAGAGTATAAGAAAAGCTACCCATTCTGCCAGAGGGAAGCACTTCACCCCCCCCACAACCCTTGAATCCTAAACCCCAAAGCGTCGATGCCCGAGGTGTGGTTCTTGATCTGTACTTTGAGGGTTGCATCAACTTTGCTGCACGAAACCTCGCGGGCGCCTGGGCCGCTTCGGGTTGAGGCTTGGGTTCACCCAGAGACATGGGCTTCGAGCTGCCCTAAACCCTAAGCCTGAAACCCTAAACCCTAAACCCTAAACCCTAAACCCTAAACCCTAAACCCTATAAACGCCAACCTGGGTTGTGGGGCTCCTCTGGGACCTGCTCAGGTTCGGGAGCCTCGGAAAAGAAACCCCCCAAAAAAACAATCTTCCGGCTTGGGTCAGGCATACTCATAGGTATGTGGAGACAAACACTCTGAGTCAGGGGTTGAAGCCAAAGCCATCAAAGCCCCTAAGAGCCCTTGGGGGGCCCTAAGCGCCCTACAGAATTCTGCAAACAAGGCGTCGGTGGCCTGCATGGTCGGCTTTGTCGTCTTCGCGTCCGTGCTCACCGCAGTAGGCTTCTGCCGGTTGCCATGTCCATCTCAAAATCAGAACCTCTGAGCCCGACTCGAAATCCATCATTTTTCTGTCCTCAAGCCTCAGCATTGCATGCCCTCTAAGCCCAATACCCTAGCCTGGAGAGGCTTCGTGCTCATCGCCACCTGGCGCGGGCTGGGCCTGCGAGTCCAGCGGCTCCTGGGGAGCATGTTCAACAAATTCTCAAAGGGTTCATGCCCTAAACATCATGTGCTAAACTTCTGAGCCTAATCCTCAGGCCATGGGTTTGGGGGTCTGTGGGAAGTGTTGTACCGGGCTCCAAGCCGAGGTTTACCGACCCTTTCAGAGAAAAGGAGGTGAACCTTGCAGTTGTGCAAGGCGAGTGGAGAGAGCTGGGCGCTTGCATGCGCTCCATGTCGCACGCTTTACAGGTGTGCATCGTGGTATTGGCACTGGCTGTGGGCACAGGATTGATCGCAGTGGCTTTTGACGTGCTCAGTGACGGGTTTGCCTTGACCATGCTTCCGGCTGTGCTCTTCTTGGCACTGCTAACAGCAACTTTGTTCCCCGCGGCGCTTGCAAGCTCGGCGTGTTCGCGCTTTCCTTCCTTCGTAGCAATCTATGACCCCGGCCCGGAGATGGCAGAGCAGTTCATCCAATTTGCAGACTTCGTCGCAATGACCGATTGCGGATGCTTCCTCTGGGACACTAAGCTCACAGCTGGCCTTCTCCAGCGTGCGATGTCCATCACCATAGCATTGGCTGCAGGCATCTACCGCAGTGGGGTGGGATCCTGGTAAACTGGTGGGTGAACTGGCTTCCTCCTTGCTCGCGCTGGAACTCAATAGCTCAAGGGCCTCAGCCGCACACAGCGGTGGCTCAGGCGACCGTTTCACCTGTCGACTTAAGCATTTAAGACTTTAAGGACGGTTTCACCAGTCATCATACTGGGAGTTTACGAAAATGAGGGACCCCTAACATAGACTCCCAAATAGTAGGATTCCTTTACAACAAGGACCCCAATAAGGTACCCCTCACTTCAGAAAACCCCCATATCGGCCGGATTGCCTTGGAAAGTGCTTGCGCCGCATTGCCCAGGTGTCTGAGCATTGCGCAGCACTCGCCACGACTGCGGCGCCTCTTAGGCGAAGCAACACCCTGTGTTCGGAGCTAGTGTGAAGATTCTGAAGAATCATGGAAATCCCTAAGCCTTAAACCCTAAACCCTAAACCCTCAAGACAAAATAAATAGAAATTGTATGTGGCACCAATCTGAATTTTCAAAGATATTTGTCTAAACAGCTGACAAACAGAGTTTAAGTAAATTAATCCAAAGCGGGAGGCCGGGAGGCCAAATGTTCAATTTACTTAAACCTGTGGGGCCTTCCCGTGCCCCGGCAAACCTCCCAAAGCCCTGGCTGCCAAAACCCCAAAAGGGCCCAGCCCCCCAGCCCCCGAGCCCCCCAACCCCTCTCAGCCCCCGCAGCCCCCCAGGCCGAGCCCCAGCCCAGGCCCAGCCCCAGCCCCAGCCCGCCCAGCCCAGCCCCAGCCCCCCAGCCCCCCAGCCCCCCAGCCCCAGCCCCAGCCCCAGCCCCAGCCCCAGCCCCAGCCCCAGCCCGCCCCCAGCCCCAAAATGAAAAGGTGGTTCCAAAAAAAAAACGTTTCGGTCAAAACGTTTCGGTCAAAACGTTTCGGTCAAAACGTTTCGGTCAAAACGTTTCGGTCAAAACGTTTCGGTCAAAACTTTCGCTCAAAACGTTATTGGGACCCAAACCCTATACAATTTCTATAAACCCTAAACCCTAAACCCTAAACCCTAAACCCTAAACCAACCCTAAACCCAAAACCCGAAACGCTAGTTTTCGTTACAAGCGCGAAGCGAGCCGTGAAAAAAAGCTCTCCTTCGAAGGGTTCTGAAGGAAGTGCTGAGGCCTGAGGCCAAGGGGTTGCCCCTCGGGAGAGGTCAGAAGATCACTGGGAGGTGAGCAAGTCGCCGAAGTCTTTACGCCTAGGGTTTAGGGTTTAGGGTTTAGGGTTTAGGGTTTAGGGATTAGGGTTTTTAGGGGTTTAGGGTTTAGGGTTTAGGGTTTAGGGTTTAGGGTTTAGGGTTGCCAAAGCTCTCTAAGTCTCTAAGTTGCTGTGGAGAGAAGAGGCGAGGGAAGCTAGGAAATCTATGGAATAGGTGGGCACTAGCATCAGAGTAGTGTCGCATAGCACATGGGGGAATTGGAGGTTGTGAGTTTAGGGGGTGTAGGGGAAAAGAGCACCGAGCGGTACTATCGGCGCTGCCCAACCCCACGTGTGCGTAAGGCCTCCTGTCAATTTTTGAGTTTTTCCGATAATTCTCGTGAGTTCTGCATGAAGCGAGGAGCGTGAGAACGATTCAGGTCCCCGTCAAAAGCTGCTTAGGCCCCCCTCAACCCTAAACCCTAAACCCTAGCCCTAAACCCTAAATCTTTAACCCTAAACCCTAAATCTTTAACCCTAAACCCTAAACCCTAAACGTACGAAGGACCTTGCCTGTTGCCATTTTCGAGCTTGCGAGCTCCTCTCCGCTTTCAGCGAGTCCTTTGCAAATCCGGTGATCTTGTGCCCGGCGCAAAAAGCGCTCAGAGATGGCAGGTTTCGGGCTCAAACGAAGGGTTTAGGGTTTAGGGTTTAGGGTTTTTCGGGATATAGGGTATAGGGTTTAGGATTTAGGGTTTAGAGTCTAGGGAAGCACGTCCTTCGAGTTGTCCGGCGCCCGCCTGCTCTACTCACAGCGGTTCAAGCTTGAAAAGCGGCGACCGCATTGGGCGATAGCTTGTGCGTGTCTTTGCCGGTGGTGGTGTGGTTGCCACGCTTGAGTGCCGGAAACGGATCCTTTCTGGACCTAGGTCCCGGGTCCTAGGTATGTGTCCGAATAGATGAGTGATCATCTTGATGCATAGCACATCTGCAGCACTCGTTCAGCAAAGCACGCTATCCGGCACTCAAGCACTATGACCGTATCATCACTAGGTCTACGCTCAAGTAACGGCCATCCATTATAAAGAGATCTGTTCACAAGACGCCGGTGATCCCAATACATCATCGGACACTTCAGAGAAACAGACCTGTTCTCATGTTGGCTGGTACAAACGCACAAGGCTTGGAAGAGCTCCAGGGCATGAGGGTGGAGCGCCCTGGGCCCAGCTATTTCCTGCTGAGGTTTAGGTCTGGGGGGGCTCCACCCTAAACCCTAAACCCTAAACCCTGAACCCTGAACCCTAAACCCTGAACCCTGAACCCTAAACCCTAAACCCTAAACCCGAAACCCCAAACCCTAAACCCTAAAACCTGAAGCCACGACCTTTTGGTTTCGTGAGCCTGGGCCCGAGATGCCCTTGTCCAGGTGCTCTCAGGTTGCTGGTAGATCCGGGATCCGGAACCAGATTCTGGTCGGTCGCAGAAGGCTTTAGGGTTTAGGGTTTAGGGTTTAGGGTTTCGGGATACTTCTCCATAGTGGGTTCGCTGAGGCGTGCAGGGAGTGTCTCCTGAACGCCCAGCCATGAATACCCCTCACATGATCGAACTCCAGGGAGGAGCACCACAAGGACCTAAGCGAAATGATCTCGGATGCTGAGACGCTCGCTCCCCCAAGTCGTTTAGGCTCACAGCCTGGGGTTTCGGGGTGGGGCCCGTGGGGATGCGGTGGGCAGGGTGTAGCTGGAGCCATTCGCCCCCTAGATCTTGATCCAACCCACATCCTCATCCCAGATTCCTAAACCTTCAACCCTGAGCCACAAAAATCACCCTTAACCCTAAACCCCTAAACCTTAAACCCCAAACCCTAACCCCTAAACCCTAAACCCTAAACTTCTCGAACTGCAGTCCGAAACAACACAAAGCGTGAGCGATGGCGGTGGAATTGTGGCTCAGAGCCCATGACTGCGCCCCAGGATTTTCTTTGGCTCTCCAAGCCCAAAACCCATACGGAGTTTAGGGTTTAGTGTTTAGGGTTTAGGGTTTTGGGTTGGTTCATGGGTTCTTATAAGTAGGGTTATAGGGCCCCTAAATAAGGTTAGAACTATAGTTGCCCTACTTCTATCCCTACTTATAAGTAACCATGAACCTCCAAGTATACTGGTTCTTAGTGTATGCCCCTTTTTCTACCCTTGTAGGGGATGCTATACAGTACCTACTTCCTTCACCACCCCCCCCCCCCCCCCCAAAACCCTAAACCCTAGACCCAAAAGCCCTAAGCCCTAAACCCTAAACCCTAAACCGTAAACCCTAAACCCTAAACCCTAAACCCTAAACCCTAAACCCTAAACCCTAAACCCTAAACCCTAAAGCCTAAACCCTAAACCCTAAACCCTCAAGACAAAAAAAATAGAAATTGTATGTGGTATCATTGTGAATTTTCCAAGATATTCGTCTGAACAGCTGACAAACAGAGTTTAAGTAAATTAATTCAAAGTGGGAGGCCGGGAGGCCAAATGTTCAATTTTCTTAAACTTGTGGGGCCTCCCAAAATTGACCCCCAAAGCCCAAAATTGCCTTCCCATAGCCCAAAATTGGCTCCCAAAGCCCAAAATTAGTCCCAAAGCCCAAAATTAACCCTCAAAGCCCAACACAGGCCAAAGCTCAACATTTGCTCCCAAAATTGGCCCAAATTTCCCAAAATTGGCATTGGCTCCAAAGCCCACCAAAGCCCAAAATTGGCGCTTCGCAAGCCCAAAATTGGCTTCCAAAGGCTGCCAGTGCCCAAACTGGCTCCAAAAAATCAACAAAATCGGCCCAAAGCCCTCCCCCCCTCCCCCCCCCCCTCCTCCCCCCTCCCCCCCTCCCCCCGCCCCACCCCCCCACCCCCCCCCCCCCCCCTCCCACCCCCCAAAAAAATTAAAAACGTATAAACCTGAACCCTAAACCCCAAACCCTAAACCCTATTCAAGCCTTCGAGGTTGAGTGCCCCACGGCGGGTCCACCTTCCCTCAACCCTAAAAACCCTAAACCCTAAACCCTAAACCCTAAACCCTAAACCCTAAACCCTAAACCCTAAACCCTAAACCCTAAACCCTAAACCCTAAACCCTAAACCCTAAGCCCTAAACCCTAAACCCTCAACCCTGGCTGCCAAGCCAACATTACCCCGGGTGAGGGATGCCATTCACCTGTGCTCCAACATCCCTCAGCTCCCAAAGTTTAGGGTTAGGGTTGGGGTTTAGGGTTTGGGGTTTGGGGTTTAGGGTTTGGGGTTCAGGGTTTGGGGTGTGAGTATCAGACCCAGGCCGATTGATCAGCAGCGAGTTCGCGTGGTCTCAGAGCGCAATGACAAGGCTGGGGCGATCGGAAGCGCAGGTTAGTAGTAGGGGAAGTACTTGGAGGTTCATGGTACTTAGTAGCCTAAAAATAACTGTACTTCTAACCCAACTATAACCCTATTAGGTTACTTAAGGGGCTTATAAGTGGGTTATAGCTACACTTATAATTGGATTATAAGTAACTTGAACCCCTGCGCAACTTTGAGCCCTAAACCCTAAACTCGGGACCCTAAAATTTAAACCCAAACCATGAACCGTGAACGCCCAAAACCCTGCAGCCTGACCCCGACCCCAAACCCAACACAGGGGGGGTGGGGGGTCTACTATGAAAAGGGGTGTGAAAATGTTGGCGTTGTACTGAATCGATTTACCCCTGCTAAGAAGTGCAAATCCTAAACCCCAAGCCCCGAACCCTGAAGCGGTTCCAGGTTTACATCAAAAGTTATGATTTCCTTTGTTTGTTAAGCACATCAGCTTTTACGGCTTCCTTTTTGAATGCAACTTAGCTTAGGTTCCT